TTTTGACTTTTTGATTGGTGGGCCTCGCTTCTTGATGCCTTTCTTATCGTCTTCAGCTTTCCGCTTTGCAGCCGGCTCGCTAGTCACTAAAATAAATATTTTGAAGCAAATAACGCGTCAGGTCAAATGCATAACAAACATTGTTTAGCCGTTTGTTTTGTTAGCAAAATTTGAGTGAGGTAATTATTGGACAACTAGCATTAGACACAAAAAACAGATTCAGATATAAGGGTTCTCCTAACTTATCAGTACAATGCAAAACTTATCAATTTTCAACTTATTCTGCTTAAAATTCAGAGCACTCACCAACTTTAGCCGCAGAAAAGAATGAATCGATGCGTCCTTGTTGGCCAGCTTGGCGTCCTTTTTTCATTTTAGCCAACGATGACCGTACGCGTTCTTCACTAAATTTTTAAAAAAATGCCAAATACGAAAAGAAATTGATTACCTGAAGTTCTTTTCACCACACAAGTAAGCAACAACGCCCTCTACATCAGCCTCTTTCCAAACCATCTGAATTTTTTATAGAAACTATGAATGAAAAAACAGTTACCTCAACATTTTCACCATCGGCCACTTCTGGGTTCAAGAAGAGCTCACGCGCACGAGCGTACAACCAATCTTCAGGAACTGCGTATTTCTGAAAACATATATTTGATTCTAGAGAAATTATGTCACCTTAGTGTCAATTTTTGCTAGAATGTTCTCAATCGATTTGTGCTCCTTGATCAACTCATAGGCTCGTTTAGGCCCAATGCCCCTAAATTTATGAGTTTTAATTTGAGAAAGAAAATGAACCTGATAGTAGGACAATAATCACATCCAAGCAAAATGCACAAATCGACGAACTCTTCACGAGACATCTCGAAGTCGGCGAGCACACGAGCAAGGTTAATTTCCTAAACAAAACGTTAAATTTAGATACTTGACATATGATAAAACACCCTGTTGCCAAAGTAATGTCTACAAAAAACCGTTGTCAACACCAACCTTAATAGGCATTTTCTTTGCTTCGGAGAAAGTCATGTGTCGCAAGAGAACACTTGAACCAAAAGTCAGCGCATCCATATCCTCTGTGGCAGTTGCGTAAACCTAGAGTTACGATAGTATTTTTAAAGAAACCGAAGTGTTGAAAAGTAAAAACTGTGTCTATTTTTGTTTATTAATAAATTAATAAAGTGCCAAATAAACAAACTTTTCCCGCTTTTGCCAACGCTGCACATTGAGCCTCAGCTTCGCAAGGTGCTTCAACAACGGGCACTCCCATCAAACGCAAAAGGCGTTTAACTTCTTCATTTTGATCTTTCGACACCTAAACAGACTGTCGAAGATTATTGTTGAAGTAATTTTAAACAGACAATTACTAACGGATAGGTTCAATAATGATTCGAACAAAGACCTTACTCGAACTAAACGACGTTCAAATCGATCCACTGCTTCAGCATCGCCTTTTTCTTTTGCTTCAGCCAGTTGCTTCTCAGCTTCATCCCTAAATCAGTAAATAAAACGATCGTTTAATCAGATTATATTCCTAACCAAAAAATGTTTACCTTTTTTCCTTTCTTTTCTCAAGTTCACCAGCTTTCATATCTGGAGGCTTTCCATCAAACACGTAGGCTGGCTTGATCCCATTGTCAATCATACGAATAGTCCGGTAGAACATGCCCATCAAGTGACTAAAATTTGCATATAAAAATCGACCATAAAATCTTCGTGTTAAATTTTGTCATTTTCAACCATTCTACAACTGAAATGTGGTCATTTCGTTGGTATTTTCTCGTTTTGATGCTTTCAACGTCGATGCCTTATCCAATTCCGCCCAATCCCTATAGAGACCATTATGACCCAGATAAAGAAGAGATGAGTTGATTACAATTGGTATTGTTAAATCGTTGAGTTTAGAAAGTTGATCTAAAAATTGCCATTCCAAATATCAATGAACTGCATGTGCTGAATTTACAACTTTTCGAGCCACTCATCTACAAAACAATAGAGGTACTTTTGTTCGGAGTTAAAAACTGCTCATGGCTCCACACTTTAGAATGAACTCTTCTTGTCCGATTTAGAAGAACAGGGTGCCAAACGCGATCCGAAAATTGAAATTCAATGGGATTTAGATCATAAAGCGGTATTAAACTTTTACAGATTCATTTTATAGTTTTTAGATCCAAAACGGTATGCAATCAGCACTCGAGCCTGTAATTGATGACATTGCCTCTCGTGCAGTGCTGGTCAGCAAATTCGTTTAGTTTAACTAATTTTTCGATAGGACGCAGAATTCACGATGCCGCCCGAATCGGATTTTGCGGAATGGATGGTGCCCCAATAAAGAAATGCAAACCGATCTACGGGATAACGGCAATTACTTCTTAGGATTACAATTTGAATTGAATAAACTTTCTCACCTTGTTACTTCGCCAGATTCATTTTGCATTTGACTACCATCTTGTCGAACAGCGATCAAAAATTGATAAAGGGCCATCGATGCATCGATTGCGACCTTAAAAAGGGATTAAATTAAAACAATTACAGCTGACTATGAGAGGGTATCAAACATCAAGTACGCTAAAACTTTATCACTTAAATGTAAAAGTAATGAATGTCGTTAAATCTAAAAAAGGCAAATAGTTAAACTTAAAAGTTAGATTGCAATAAATTTCAGCCGAATACCATTTAAAAAGTTTACCTTTCTTCCAAAGTAATTCTTCATTTCTCCTTGTTTGATAGCCGATGGTGCATGGTCGTTGATAACCTATAAAATTTCTCAATTTTACCAAAAAAGAAAACCGAAAAGCTGACCTTTGAAAGATCTTTAATTCCCATTGTAGTTGTGCAGGTGAAAAGCCTCCTTGTAAAAGTGATGAATGACGTCAAATCTAAAAAGCGCAAATAGTTAGAAAACGGCTTCAGAAAACACGCAACACGGAAAATTAAGACGATCTTATAAATTTCGAGTCAATCAAGGTTTCACTGCACCAAAAGTTTTTTAATTCCCTAATAATAAGTAATGCTTTTTAAACTTTAAACGTGTCCCTCTGAGTCGTGTCAGTTTCAAAACTCAAATGCGCCCAACCTGAGCGCAATTTTTTCTGTGTACATAGTAGTGCCATGAAAGCGAACACGATAAAACAAGAGTAAGCCATTTACAAACCCTTTATTTCCAAAGATAAAAATAAGAACTTAACAATGAATACCCGCAACGTAACAATGAAAATTAGAAAATCAACAAAAACAACAAAGTGCTAAATGAGATAATAACAATAAGACTGGTTAAAATAAAAGGAATATGTGAATTGATATTTGCCTACAAATCACCATCTGCATCGAGATCGTCATCAGAACCAGCACCATATCCTTCACCATTGTCGAAGTAACTAAAATCCAAATAATCCAGGGAGACAATAAAACGTTTGATTTGCTAAAACTTTGCTCTTTATTTCTTTTCGAAATTTGTTTACCTAATTTGTCCGAAAATCACAAAAAAATAGTTAATAATTCAAAAAAATAGGAGTCTTACCCCGTTGCATAATCGTTATCCTCTTCAAGATAATCGTCATCAGAAACCGCTTCATCGCCGACTCGCTCTTTCTCTTCTTCATCTTCGACGTCTGATGTTTCTTCCTGGAAGTAAAAATAGTAAATTATCTCAATTTCATCATTTCCCAAACCTGCTTTTCTTCTGGTTCCTCATCCTTTTCTGCAGCATTTTCTTCTAGGCGTTTTAACTTTTCGTTGACAAGCTCTCCCATTGCATCGTCCAACTTGAAAAACAAATTAAGGTACAAAACATTAAATTATACCTTGCGTTTCTTGCTTGGATTTTGCTCTAAATTCTTCTTTTGCCAACAGAGTTCCTCGGGTATCCGAGACCAATCTGTCATAAAAGTTGTTTTTATCAAAGTATCCAAATATTACCTGGTTGTAGTTTTGTTCTATTAGTTTCCCGATATTTATCCGTGTAACGCTTAACGTCTCCGCCGATTTTCTTTTCTTCGAGAAAATACGGGCTGTCTCGGAAACTGAAAGCAGACAAAATATTTATATTCAACAACACCTAGACTAACCCAAATTTGAGCAGATCGTCTTTCGTAGCCACCATGTATTTCTGTCGATCGCATTCCTCTGCCGGCAAAACGCTTCTTGTAAGCGGCTAAATAACAAATAAATACGTCATATTGTGAGTAGATTTCTGAAAAAAGTTATTTATCACTCTCAAAAAGACAAAACTCGGCTATCTTTAAAAATTTCACTGTGGTATTCTAGGTTTGAAGTGCCAAAACCAAGACGGAATTTACTAAAATTCCGCCCCAAATTCGATCAGAAAAAACCTCAAAAACTCACCGGGAACAGTGGAGGAGGTTCGCTTCTTGCCGGTTGAATGTAGTTGCTCATTTCATGGCGATTGATGCCAAGTGCTGAGGCAACGGCTCTCACGGCCGCTGAACCACCTCCACCCCTTTGTCCTCCAGACATCTTTAACTGAAAGAAAATGAAACAGTTGGTTGCAAACTTGAAAGTGATGATAAGACAAGGGAAAAAAATTAGAAAATTGCTTCGAAATTTCTTTTTACCGTTAAGTAATTTGCATTTGTTTTACGAAGACAAGCTCCCACGAAAATTCAAAAAGCCATTTTCTCCTATTTTCTCACTTCCACCGGTCTCATTTCTCAAAAACACGGTTATTCTATTTTTTTTTCCTAGTTCACTATTTTTTATTTGGAATGCAATTGCTAATACTTGCTGGAGTAGTTGTGGCGTTATTATGGTACCTCAACAAGAGAAAGGGTGATGAACTGACGAAAAAAGAAACACCCGATCCGCCATTAAATGCCCAGGGATTGTGGTTAACTTCATCAGATTTAAGTCATCATCTCGCTTTAGAAAAGCTCACGGCCGATCAGCGACTCAAAACAAAAGACCCGACCAGTCGTCTCTACAACTCTACCTCTGTTCGGTACCAAACCGGCGCTTGAGATCATTCCTGAGTCTCCAATCGTTACTCTCGGTCCTCAAGAAACTGTCCCAATAGCCGTGCCCAGATCAACTCGCAATTTAGAGACACGAATCGACGCAAAGCCTACCACGATCCCATCTGAACAAGTAAGTTTTTGCTGAATTCTTGACAGACAACCGCCGCCTCCTCCTCAACCACTCATAGAACCCGTTAAAACGGTTGGTTTGAGTTTTAAGCACAACAACACTAAACTTTTCTAGATTACTGGGGATTTTGTTAAAGAACCAACACCGGAAGCAAAACTGCCGAACAAAACTGCCGAGCATCACTCCAACGGTACTTCTTCACTACTGAGAATTAAAACTTTCTCTTAGCCCATCGAAAAACCTGCAGTCGCTCCTTGTTTGGAAACAAGTCCTTCTGCAACAAAAACTACCGTAATTTCGATGATAAGTTCGAATAAATTCTAAAAGTTTTAGAACATCGATCTGTCGCTTTGTTTTTGTCGAGTGCCTACCAAACGAATGGAAATAGAAACAAAAGTGGTAAGAATTTTTCAAACAATTCGGCTAAAGATTCACCCGTTTAGTGGCAATTCGATCCCACGTTTTGCTATGAGCCTAGTCGCACCTACATCGATCCTATTCAGTTTAAACTCCCACGACCAATCGATATTTGCTCACCGATTAGTGAGCCTTGAGACTTCTGCAACTGATAACTTTTCAATTCAAGCTGACAAAAAGACAAGCCTGAGCGCGCAAGCTCGTGGACTTCGGGGAAACGATGAAACAGCGGAAACTCGTCAGTCATTCTTAACCCCGTTCGAGCCAATTTTCCACGCTATCGAATATGCCGATCAACATGCGATCCGAATCGAAACCCTTCTTCACAACTACGATTAGCTAGAAACTGCCAGAAGATATTTTAATGTTACAAAAAATAAATATTTTGTGCTTCTTCTTTGAATTTTCAAAAATGAATCAATCAATGGAAAACATTGGAATGATATTCAGCCAAAAACCTCTTTAAAGACAGAAAAATTAATTGATTTATTTCTAGAAGATCAAACAACAATAAATTGGACTAAATAAAGTATTATACAAAAAAATGTACAAAGGTGGATGGAAATTCAATAAAAGCAAAAATATGAAATATAAACTTCGAGAACAAACCAAACTTATGCACACAAAAGAGACTAAACCTAACAAGACCCATAAGAGAAACAAGTTAAAACAACGTGCGATCTAATAGTTTCTACTCTAGAACTAGCTAAAAAAGGTGGTATTGTCATTTAAACAGAAAGACTAAGAGATCGAGTAGACAAAGATGATTTCGTAAGTGATGGTGTTGCTCATTTCTTTTAAGCGGGCGCCGTTTCTTTCCTCTTCTCTTTGTTCCAATCCTTTAGTCCTTTTGGTAAGTTTGTGTCCTCATCCATACCACCAGTACCTGAACAACAAAGTTAGAAAGTCTGAATATTTACTTAAGTACTACTTTTAGCATATTTTCAATAAGCAAATATATTTATTAAATCCTACCTTCAACCATTTCCTCATAAGTGTGCTTTTCACCAAAGGGCCTCTTGCCGACTAATTCAATCATATCCTCACGAGAGAGAATTTCTTTTTCCAATAATCGAGCAGCAACCTAAATGCAGTAGATAGACTCAATATTCAAACAAATTTACAACCTTCTCAATGTCATCTCTTTTGCTCATCAACAACTCCCGTGTACGAGTCAATGCGTGGTTAACCATGTCGCGAACCTCAAAACAAGCAGATTATTCATTTGAAAAAAGCAAACTTCTTGATCAATGAGCTGAGCTGTCGCTTCTGAGTAGGGTTTGTCGAAGGCCATTTCTCCTGGTTGAGCAGTTTCAAAAGAGAGCGGACCGATTTTCTTTGACATTCCATATTTCACCACCTAAATAAAGTATTCTTATTTTAGTTTCAATTTTTGCAAATGACTTTTTAAAATTTAATGTGGATTTAATGTAGCCTGCAAACAAATCTAACCAAAGATTTATTAAACCCTAAAGGAAAAAACACTCAATGTTTTCTGACTGCGGTGCTATTTGAAGAAGGGTTTTCATTTGGAGCGAGATTTGGAGGAAGATCAAGAAAACTTGGTGCTTCACCATAAGCCGACGCAGGATCGTCTATGTCTATGGGTCCAGACTGGCTTGGTAATAGTTGTGACTGGAGGGGATAAAATTGACTTTGAGTTGGGGCATCAGATTGAGACTGGGCTGGAGCATAGAATTGAAATTGAACTGGGGTATAAGACTATGGTTGAGATGGAACATTCACAGAAGGAGCATAGTTAGTATCAATGATGTGTTGAGGTTGAAGAGATTGATGGTAGACGCGTGAGGCGGCTGGCTGGTTGGTGACAAGTGGTTGTTGTTGGGCATCGCCAGCAGCTGGGAAACCACCTCCAATGAAACCTACAATTAATCTAGAAACGAAATGTTTGCATGCTAACCAAAAGAGCCTCCGAAAGATTGAGCACCATCACATGGAGGAGTAGCACATGATGGTTGTGGGGCTTCACAGGGGGGCGTTGTACAGATTGGCTTTGGAGGTGCGCAAGGTGGTTTAGAGCAGACCGGTGGTGGGGGAGCCGGGATAGGATAGGCGTAATATGTTGGTTGTCCAGAGCCAATCAAGAAGCCAAAGTCTCTGGTCGCGGTGACGTGATCAACGGAGACAGTTTGAACGCATGGTGGCTGAGTGCACACTGGTGGTGGCGAGGGACAAGGCGGAGCTCGGCAAACTGGTGATGGGGCACACGTGCAAGAGGGTTGCTAAATTTTTAGTCCCTAATGACAGTATTTTTACAACCTGTGGTGGACAGGTGCAGGGTTGTTGTGCTTGTTCATAGTCTACATGACAAGTTATCGTCACCGTGCCTCCGGCCTCTGTGGTAGTGTGGCAATCATTAGGCACTCCTTTAAATCCTCCTTCACTGGGGTAAACAAAACTTCGATGGGCGGGTATGAAATGTCCTAGTGCTAAAATTCCAAACCGTAAAGACTTATAAGAGTCAACAAACCAAGTCTAGAGACAAATAGCAGAAAAAATGATTGAGGCAACATTGCAAACAATAATAATTCTTCGATTCAACATTGCGGTTATATACGGGTAAGATATTGTATCATTTCTGTTCAAAAGAAAGAGAATCGTACACATGATTGAGGGGAAAGGGGGCGGGAGGGGTGTCGTGTCCGACTAGGAAGTTTAAACAATAGCCAGTTGTCTATCTGTGCATAGACCCGCATACTTCATTTATGACTAAGCAATGCGGTAACTTGGTGCTTATTGTGCCAAGAAAATTTTTTGTACAGTACCGATTTTGGATTTCACTTTGAGTTTTCATTGTTAGAAATAACTCTAGAAAACTCACTTGAGCATACGCCATTTGTGTCACTTTTTGCAAGTCATCTTGGGCACCCGTTGTTATTCTTCCAAAGACAATTTCTTCTGAAACTCTTCCACCAAGAGTCATACACATTCTCAAATTTTAGTTCGATTTTTCTCTAAATATAACACACCGATCGAGAAGTTGTTCTGTTGAGTAAAGATATTGCTCCTTTGGTAAATACTGTGCGTAACCAAGACCTTTGCCTCGAGGAATGATCGAAACCTAAAAGAATCATGTAGAATCAGTAACTTTTTATTGTATTATTAGATTCTTACTCTTCGCTAGAACTTTTGTTTTGTACGCTTTAGTTATGCTTGGTGCAAGCATCTCGAGAGATTACTTTTTGAAGTTAAATAAAGTTTCTTATTGTTGTACCTTCAGTAGTGGATCGGCAAATTGCAAAAACCATCCAGCAATCGCGTGTCCCGCTTCATGATAGGCCACCGTTCGTTTCTCTTCTGGTTGAAGAACCTATTTCATATTTAACAAATGGATCTTTACAAAGCAACAAACTTGACTCTTCTTTTCCATTCCAGCTACCACTCGCTCAATCGCCATTTCAAAGTTTTTCATCGTTATTTCGTCGTTTGCATCTCGGGCCGCAATGAGAGCTGCTTCGTTGCAAACATTAGAGATATCGGCTCCTAAACACAGTTTTATTGCAAAAACTTTGTGTATTTGTTTTACGTTGTGTCCTAAATAATCAAAATTACCCGAAAAGCCTGGAGTGTGAGCAGCAAGTTTTCGACTCAAGGCGATTTTGTCAAGTGAAGTCTTCAATGGAGTGAGATGGACGCGGAAGATCGAGGCACGACCCTGTAAAACTTCAAGTAAATTTGAAAACCCAATTATAAAATTAACATAGCCACCACATGCTACGATACTTACCTTGATATCTGGAACTGGAACGTAAATTTGACGATCGAATCGACCCGGTCGAAGCAAAGCTGAATCCAAAATATCCACTCGATTCGTTGCAGCCATCACCTAAATTTAATTTGCAAATTCTTGCTGAAATTAAATTTACAACTCAAATAACACAGCCCACATATTAAAACTCACAATCACGTTGCTCTCATCGGTCGAGAAACCTGGAAAACACATAATTGGTAAAAATGATAATAATTTTACCGTCCATTTCTACGAGCAATTGATTCAACGTGTTTTCTTGTTCGCTATGTCCGCCCATTCCTCCTTTTCCACCTCTGGAAGCAAACATAACTATTTTCAATAAGAAATACCAACCTCTTTCTACCAACTGCATCAATTTCGTCAATGAAAAGAATACAAGGTGCATTCTTTCTCGCCATCGCAAACATGTCTCGCACACGTGCTGGGCCAACCTAATTAAATTTTTAAAAGACAAGACCATAGCCACATACCCCGACAAACATTTCTAAAAATTCGGATCCTGACACCGTAATAAAAGGCACATTTGCTTCCCCCGCGGTTGCTTTGGCTAGCAAAGTTTTTCCGGTTCCCGGAGGACCCGTTAGTATTGCACCCTAAAAAAATAAAGTTGAAAAAAAAACAAGAAACTGACCTTCGGAATTTTAGCACCTAGATTTTTGTATTGTTGAGGATTCTTGAGAAAGTTAACAAATTCCATGATTTCAATCTTGGCCTCTTCACATCCGGCAACATCTTTGAAGGCAACCTATTTGACGAGAATAAAGAGATAAGGCATTTCAAATCACCTTGATATCTTCTTTGTTAATAACCCGTGCTGTACTTGATCCAAAGCCTCCAAACATACCACCGAGGCCACCACCGCCTTTAGCGCCACCTGAAGTTATTTGTACATCCTAGGTCATGGCTTTAATTTACCTGCTCCCCCAGACATCCTTCGTGACATACGAACGAAGTAAACGATAAGGAAGAGTGGGAACAACCAACTAATTATCGTGGGCAGTTCGCGTTTGCTAGAATTTGATGTTATCTCGATAAAAAAAATTAAAACATACAAATCAAATTCTTCTTTGTAGAGCACGGGAATTTGTTGATCAGCCTCATAGCCAAGATGCATTTGAGCGGCGGCCAAACTTCGCTCGAACGAGTCAACACTTCCAATATTGAAATACGGTTGCTGCTAAATTAGGCGTTAGTGTGCTACTCTTCTATGCATAACTAACTCCAACATATTTGCCTCCAGAGTGGACAATTCGGACCCATCGTTTATTCACAACTTCTAATCGATCAACCTATAAAAGTTAAATGAATAAATCAAAACAGCACAACTTACAACTCCAGCTTCAAGACAATCGTGAAAGAACTCTTTCCAGGATATTTCTTTGTAAGATTGTGAATCCGTTAATGCGTAGAGAATACCTATTACTCCAACGGCAACCGCAATATTTTGCCATTCTCCCCTAAATTAAGACAATTACCCTCTGAAATCCAACTTTTAAATGGATTGCTAATGGATAAAAAAATCCACATATCATCTAATTTGTATCAGTAGCAAAAACTTACAGGAGAGGTCCCTTTCCATCGGGCTTTTTCTCGCTACCACCTAAAATCAAATTTGCACCAAACAAAAACTAAAAACTACCGGATCCTGTGCTCTTTTTCTCTTCTGTGCTGCTTTCTTTTTTCTCTCCTTGCAAATCTTTTATCCATTTCTCCCATCCACTCGAGGCACTGAGAACTTTTGTCGCTTGCTCGATTTTCTAGAAAATATTTTTGACACGTACTTAAATTTTAGGTCGCAAAGTTTATGATACTTTCTGGATTACGTGAAAAACAAGCATATTGCGCTATGCTTATAACAACCCCATTACTTTTGTTTTTCATTGTAAAAATCCATAAAGGAATTTTACAATGAAAAATCCGAAAATGAACTCACACTGAAGAAAATCGTCAAAAATTTGTCCTGGCTCATCAGTAGTCTCAGTTCCTTCTTCGTTAGTATGGGGTTCTAAACTCATAATTAATTTAAAAGCATGAAAAAATGTTACCATTGTTTTCAGCGTTGTGGAGGCGAACTTGCGCGACGACAAGCGTAAACTCCATGGACGCGTAAGTATTGCTATCCTCGTTGAGCGAAGCATGACTAAATATGCATTGGTATTTTAAAAATAAAAAAAAAATACCGACTGGGGCTACCAGTGGTGAATTTATCGCATACACGAAATATATCAATCACAATACAACGACACACACAATACTAGGCTATATCTTAACTTAACCCACGTCATGACAGACGGCTCCCTAACCCTAAGCTCAATGGGGAACTAAATAGCTTTTTTTGGTGGTGAAGGGAAGATGACGATGAAGGAGTGGCTTGTCACTTTAAAGAACTGGGGCCACAACCACCAGACTGCCCTCCAGAAAACCTCTCAACCCGAAGGGAAAGGAAATCCGAAGGGGGTGACCATGTCGCATGTGGGGTTCGAACCCTCGACCTTCCGATTAAGATAAAAGACACTTAACCAGTCAGCCACACGTGCTCCATTGAGAAAATTACTTGAAAACTTGAATAAAAACTAAATTTACAATGACAAGATGATAAACCCAACAACATTTAAAAATTTCATCAGGATTAGATGAAAGGGGGCAACATTGAAAAAACGTAAACAGCGCAAGAAGCGTTCGGCTAGAAAACGAGCATATAGCCAAGGGCTTTCAAATTTTTTGCTCTTCACTAGGTGCTCTTGGATTTATTTTCAAAAGCAAACTTCTATTTTTGTATTTCTAACGTTTAAGATTTAAAAAGTAGTTCTAGATCAATCGCTACACGATGACCGGACGTAAAAGAAACAACCCCGATAAAGATGACGAATATATCATGAAGCGCCAAAAAAATAATGAGGCCGTAAACAGGTACTTTGCACAAAAATTGAAATCGTTTTCGAAAATAGGAGTTTAAAATATGATTTTCAGAACTAGACAAAAGAAACGCCAGGAGGAGACGAATACCACGCAACGCGTTGAGGAACTCCGTAAAGAAAACGCTGAACTCGAGAGAAAAGTTGGTTTAAAAGGCAAATTCAAGAAGATCAATTGATGTAAACAATAAAAATTTCAGGTGGAGAGCTTGCAGAATGAGCTGAAGTTTTTGAAAGAGATGTTTGTTGCGTACGCGGCGGGGAATAAACGCAAGAACAGCGAGGCTGAGGCTACTGGAGCACCGGGGCCAAGCCGGAAGAAATAAATTTACACAAAACTGTGCATTTTCTGTGTGTTTTGTACATGCCAAATACGGGTCGCACTTTTTGTTTTCAAAAAGTTGTTCAAAGAATGAATCTAGTGAATTTTGCTTGAATAAATACTTGGTCAAACATACAAAGTTGATGATACTGCTTCGATTGCTTGAATATCTTTTGTTCGAAGGTTTTGAGTGCTATTTAACTATTCAGGACATTAAGTGAATATCTACTATGAGTTTTTCAGTAGTATAAAAGACTGAACCGTCGTTTTTTGTCATTTTATTTTTGAGAAGCTCTAGTTTTAGCCAGTTCTTATGGGTACGTACATTTTATACGTATCTGTACTAATTTTTTTTATTTCAGGTAAGAAGATCGAGATGACAGCCACAACGAAAGCGTTTCGGGCTCGAAATCCGGACTCAAACAAGCAAATGCCGATCTATTTTGCTGATGAGATGCCCGATTTGGCCGAGGCGGCTTCGATCAGTCGTGCAGTTGCTCAAATGCCAACGGGAATGGAGAAAGAGGAGGAAATGGAGACACATTTACAAGATGCAATCATTTCACAACAGGCTTGTTCTTCCGGTCTCAATGTTGAAGCACGGGTGATTCCTACGCCAAAAGTCCATTCGATTGACGAGAACCGATACGCAAAGAGCTACAAATTGCTTGGTGAATGTTCGTCACAATTTTTGAAGGTTCAGGCTTGGGAAGCTTTGGAATACGAGCGACCCGAGTACGATTGTGACAGTGAAGACGAGAATTGGTTGAGGAGCAGACCGCACATTCTGGCAAGCGATTTGGAGAAGATCTTTGAAGAATTGGAGACACGCTCTTCGGAAACGCAAATTTGCCTGCCAGATACAGCCCGAAAAGTGATACAAAGCTACGATGTAGCGCTTTTGGACGATGTTTACGATTATTGGTTGGCGAAACGCAAAGATCGGACGACGTCGGGCATTGGGACGGGCTTGATATCAAAAATTCGAACAGAAGGCAAAAAGGATGGCCAAATCAACCCATACATTGCTTTCCGACGAAGAATTGAGAAGATGCAGACAAGAAGAAATCGGAAAAATGATGAAGATGCATATGAGAATGGTCTACGGATAGGCAGAGACTTGCGTCGAGCTGTTCAATTGGCGGATATGGTGAAACGACGGGAAAAGACGAAACTTGCCTTAATTGAAAGTGAGATGGAAATCCTGCAAACACATGTTGATCTGGAAGAGTACGATTCGGTGCTGTACATGCAACTTGTGAACGTGCTTCGAGAAAAGTTCAGTGAGCCATTCTGGGAGGATGTTCCAACACCCCGCAAGAAGCAAAGAAGAAGGAAAGCCATTGTTTCGATCGATCGTGAAATCCCAAGTAAGGCCTGGCTTAAGAAGAACGCCGAAATGTGGAATGTTCCCTTAGCTAGTTCAACAGCAATCAGTGGTGCTTCATCCTTACCCAATGGTCACCCAATTTCGGCGTCGGAGCCCGAAGAACCGGAAAGTTATTTCACATTCAGGCCTCGAAAAGGTTGTCAATATCGAAAGCCGTTGCCCTTGTTTCTTTCACCCTCAATTCGGAATCTCAGCTCATTGAAATCTCAGAACGACAAAGAAAGGCAGGACCCATCTACGTCGGACGTAGATCCTTTCTCACAGAAGAATGTTGTGAGGCGAATTGGACGAGGTGGACGCCCTATAGTTGAACGTTTGATTCGTTTCGTGAGACCACAGAAGATCACTGTGCCTGTTGCTTCTTTACCTTCGTGTTCAAAGCAAATCGAGGAGGTTCAAAAGCAAGTTTCACACGTGAAGAACAACCTTGTTCCTACGAGGAAGGAGAACGGCCCTTTGCTGATCACAAGGAATGAGGTCACTCCGTCAAATTCCAATGCGAACTCCTCCTTTTTCAATCGAATCAGCCCAGTGTTTGAGAACTCGCCGAGTGAAGAGTCCCGATCTTGTTCACCAGTTTTTCTATGGCATCAACCGCCTCCACCTTCGCAATCCACAAATCCAACGCCAAAACTGCCGGCATAAAGATTTTTAAAATTGTTTTCTCTTTGTCTTTGAAACATTTCGCTTTGTTGTCCATTGTATTTATATATCGTTGTTAATAAATTTGTTTTAGATGGCCAGCGATGCATCACGTTTTGCACGGGCCGCCATCGACTGTGAGAAGACGTCGACCGAGGCCATCGATTGTGTGGAGAAACTGCTTGCTGGGCTGAAACAGGATTCAGATCGAGATGTGAGTTGTTTTGTGCTGATGTCGGGTTAAATTTAAATCAAAGTTGAAGTAATTGCTTATCTATAATTTCATGTTTAGGGTATTTCACTCCTTGAAGTGAAAAACCACGATCTACTCGCCTATTTGACGGATATGGCCTTTTTGATGGAACGCATGAGCAGTGGAGGTAGCATTCAAGTTGGAGGATCGGTCGAGAGGACAACAAAATATCGCACCGTAGGAGATATTTTTCTTTCGATTAAAATCTTGTAATTTAGGTACTTGAACGAATCAAGCCGATTGAGAAAAAAATGGAGGCACAAATCACAAAACTTGTTCAGGTTAGTTAAACTAGTTTTCTTTGTCATCAGCCCTTTTTTTTCAGGAAACCTCGTCAAAGCAAAAACCCAGTGTTTCCGTTGTTTCAGAAAAGGTAAATTTCAAGGTTTACTATTTTAAATTTATTTCAAGGAGGGTGCAAAAGAAGGTGCAACGAGTGAATCCGAAGTTGAAGATGAGTCCGAAGCTAATGAGGCACGAAAACGAGTGCCAACAAAGATTCTGGCTGTTCAAAACACTGGTTTTCATGAAGATTATCCTCGACCAAAACTTTTCAAATTTAGCTGAACGGGATGCTGAAAGGAAGGAGAAACGTGTTGAGAAGAACAAAAAACGGGCGTTGCGATCAACTCTCGTTCAGGAACTCAGGCAACAATATAGGTGGGCATTTAAACATTTTAAGAAATGTTAGATTGAGTGCATTAGTTACCCAATTTCGTTTTAGTGAAGCTCCCGTCGAAGAATACAACGATGTGATTGGTTCAGACAGAGTACGACAGTTGGATCGAGACAGATTAGAGTAAGTAGTATTTCTAATAGCAAAAATAAGCTTTGCTTTCTGACACGAGGAAACGTTCCTGATGCGTACTCGCCTTGACAAGCACGAGATCAAACGACGACGAAAGGAGGCCAATGTTTCGGCCATCGATAAATTACTTCAATTCGGCAACTATATGGCTGGTTAGTGGTTGTTTATGCTTTGCTAAGATATTTTACAGCTGACGATGATCTACGACAACAGGTGCTTTCTCACAAGAAACCAAAACGTGGCCAGAAACGAAAGATGCCGGGTGGAGGAGGAAAATTTCCGAATAACAAAAAGAAGGTAGAGCTCAAAATCATTTTTGAATAAAACATGTCGTTTAGAAATTTACACCCCGGCGAAAATGAACGTAATTAGATTTTTGAATTTTGTTGTTATTAGGCAGATTTGTTATTATTGTTGGGATGCTTGTTGTTGATGTTCTTTCAATAAATTTTTACAAAGAGGAAACGTGAAACGGAATATGATGTGAACACAAAAATGTTTTTGCTTTTTTTTCTTAGCGATATGTATTGTTTTAAAAAATGACTTTAAAGTTGCATTTCAAACAATTTTTTAATTTTTCTTTTTGGATGAGTCAGCTAATTTCGTTGTGTCGAGCCGTTCTCAATGAACATTTTGGCAGTGTCGTGGGACAGGTAAATTGATTTTGTGCTATCGTAGCTACTAAACTGTGCCAAGACTTCTATGATATAACATTTCTTTATTTGAAAAAAAGAATAAAACGTTTTACTGATAGTTTAATTTTTCATTTAGGTGGGTGAAGTACTATTGAAAGAAAGCGCTCAATTTGGAATACTTGTGTTTCGGTTAAAAGACAAGGTAATTTTTTTGACTAAGCAATTAGGTATTATTCTTTTTTTTAGGTTTCCCTTGCACAGATACGGAAAGCGCTTGCCATTCTTGAGCAACATAACCTCGTCAGTTTCGAACTTGTCAACGCGCAACGAATAGTTTACAAGTAACTCTTTAAATGCGAAAGCAGTATTATTTAAATTTTAGAGTCAACCCTTGGGATGTTCTGATGCTTTTAAAAATTCCAAGGTAACAAAACAAATTCCTTTCCAATGTAAAATTTATTAAGATGTGGTCTGATCATCAAAACACTCTATCAGGATGTTGCTGAGTCGATTTACGAAGAAATTGTGAGTTTAAACTCGAAGTTCGTCCAATGTGATAGTTTAGATCAAAGAAGGACGAATGACACTGTCGGATACGCTGCGCAAAATGAAAGAACGGAATCCAAGTTTGAGCTTCGAAGAGGTTGATACATTCTTCTAAAGTAAAGACTTTGCTTTAAAGGCTCGCTCCAAATTCGAGACACTTGCAAAGGCAGAATTCATCATACGCGAGCCACCCATTGATTGTTACATAAAGGTTTGAAGAGTTTTTTTTCAGTTTTTAAAAGTTATCGTTCAGGGTTGTCCAATTTTTGCACAAAAATTTGAACAGTTTGAAGTGCCAGCAGTCACAGAGGCGAAAGTTTATTTATCAGGTTGGATTATAGATTATATCCTTTGTAAATTTTAAATAAAACGGTTTTAGGGAGTCTTTTGAAAGTTTAGAATGGTTTTTAGAACCTCCAGCTAATCGAAAACGCAAGGCAGAGAGCGGTGATAGTGACGCTGGAATCTATTGGAAAATCAATTGGATGCGGTATTAGTGACAGATTCAGAGTTATTATTTGTACAACTTAGGTTTGAGCGTTACATCCGAGACGAGTTGATACTCGATCAAATCGTTGGGTCAAAAACAAATTCGGTAACCTATTTTAATTTTTAATTTTAATTTTAAAAAAACTTTTTAGCCTAGAGATCAACTGTTCAGAGGCACCATTACCGCTCTTTTGAAAGCTTGCGAAACGCGTGCAACAACAATATTCGCACTGGAAACGGTTCCTGTTTCGGTGGGTAATTTTTATCTCACACAAAATACTTGCTTTAGCTCTATGATATCATCAAAACGGCCAATGATGAGAAAATTGCAACCATTGAAAAGGGAAATGCTGCTTTTGTGCTCTCGGTGAGTTTCATTTTTAGTTTAATTATTTTTTTTTACCTTAGACAATTATTGACGAGTCAAACGGTGTTCTCCGCAAAATTGGCGAATCTGGAGGAGGATTGTATGTTATTGGTTAGTGTTTTGTGCATTTAAAATGTTCCACACCCAATTTGGAATTCATTGATCAGTTTGAACCTTTTTAGACTATGGTCGTGGAATGCAACTTTTGGCACAATCGCACATTGAATCGCTGATCCGTGAGCAATTGGATACAAAAGCCGTTCGCATTTTCCGACTTCTACAGCGCACAGGATATCTCGAGGAGGAACAAGTGAGCCGAATGTTATACTGTATCCCTTGCCATTTTAGATAGAGAAGTTGATCATGCTGAACCCGAAAGAGACCCGGGAACTGTTGTATGCAATGAATGAAGAGAATTACGTTTTTGTGCAGGTGATTTTAATTTTATTTGCTTAGCTAACATCAACATTTAGCCACTTGGTAAAACTTCTGATTTTGCACCAGCAAGGACGTTCTATCTTTATCGTACAGACTTCAATCGAACTGTCAGATTGGTCGAGGAAAGCACATGCAAAGTGGGTTTTCGGTAAATTAAAATGATTATGTTCTTGTTTTCTTCATAACTTTTTGATTTAGTTTTTGTTAAATCTAATGTTGCGCCGAGAGCATGAAGAAAAGGAACATCGAGCCCTGTTGGATCGAAACGAGAAAATGGAAGCAATCATTGCAGAAAATGTTGACAATAATGAGGAATTGGATGAAGCCGCTCGTTCACAACAGGTTCTTAAGAACAGTGACAGTGAATTGAACATATGCAGAGTTTAGAGAGCCGAAATCGAGCAAATTTACATGAACGATGCGGATCGGACTTTGCTCGGACGACACAAAAATGCGAAGGTTGAACTTTTAAACTCGTTCCAAAACCGATCGCTTTTAGAAAAAGCTAATGGGCAGCGAAATCGAGATCGAACGAGTACTCTACCTTCTGCACACTCATTTGGTCTTTGCAGAGAGGGCGATTCCGATGAAGAAACGCGGACGCACGCGGAAACCACTTATTATTGCCTAGTTGCCAGTCAAAGCTTTTACGGGTGGTTACATTGTTAAGTTTGTTATCTTTGTTAAAGTTTATAAAGTTATTTCATTAGTCTCTCTGGAGTCCTTACATTCAGTACAAAGTTATGTCGACCAAACAAATCTCCACATTTCAATCTGCAAAATAGTTCACTTCTTTTTAACAACAACTTTTGAGTTTTTCCGTGGCACCTTCACCAAAATTAGTTTGAAAAGTTTATGTAAAACAAAGTTATTGGGATAACTGAATAACCGGTTCGATATAACAAATACAAGAGATAATTCACAGCGCTTTCTCCGATGTGGCCCGATAAAGCAAATCTAGATGTTGAACTACGTAAAGAGACAAATTAGATTTATCCTGGAATGTGCCTAAGACCTTTGAGTATGCGAAGGTCTATATAGCAAAGATGACTTTGTTACACGAGTCAACAACATTGAAATAAGAACAAGATAGGAGCAGTAACATTTCTATCAGTCAAACACGTATCTTTTAAACATGTTCCTTCGAGAAACTGATTGATGACTAATAGAAATGTACCAATGAAAGAAACGTTATTAATTTAATGACTGTAAAACTGACAACGAGCTTGCGATTAAAAATTAACACACCAAAATGGAACGGAAAAGCGGAAAGTTTGCACATATGTAATTATTGCTTGACAATTAACGATAAAAATACTAAGGTAACAACTTATTGTTAGCAAGGTGAGGAAACAAAACATAAATTCGAACATTAAATAAAACAAAATAGAGGGAAAAAAATTGAAGAGAAGAGATTGCTGCTTGGAGATGAGCGAATTATGCGACCAGGGATACCGAATTCTTCACGACGGTCAGTGCATGGTGTTGAGATATATCACTAAAAGAATCAATTAATCGAATTATAAAAACAAGCTAACTTTTTCCTGTTATCTTTCTGCAGACTTGGTACTTCCATGGATGCTTGTGAAGCAGAAGTTTCAGCCGGACTCTCACACTCAGTGCTTTGACGTCGTTTTTCTAAAAGATAAAATTTATTTATCTTTCTAGTCTACGAGTTATAAATGAATCATCAACTTACCCAGAAAATGCTCGGCTTCAAAGCGAGCTATCATGTCATTCCTTCGTGGTGAGTAGCAACATCCGTTGATGAAGAGACGATGCATCATAAAGATTCTCCCAAATGCAACCGTATTTCTTGGTGACTAAATGCATCAATTGTTGGTAACTCATTTACAACTCACCATCTTAAGTGTTGATGAAGCATTTTCGTATTCTGCGTACTCAAGCATATGATTGCGGTAGAAAACTAAACATTCTGTTGTGAAAAGTAGAAAGTCTAATCACTAACCCAGAAGCATAAATGCCAATTGAAGATCGCCGTCTTGCACGTAGAAAGCAACAGTGATTTCAGGGTTTGCAACGATGATTCGACTGATTCTTTTCCAATATGTCCTAGAAAGGGCAATTTTAGAAGATAGTCTAAAAGCTTTACCATTCAAAGTCAAAGCGTTGCTCTGTTGGTTCTTGCATTGCACCTTCAATGAATTTGACTCGATTCAAATCAACACTTCTAAAAACAAATCGAAAATTTTCTAAAAAGTTCAACTTACTCATCAAGAAAATTCATGTGCACCTCAAATTGCTGCAAGTCAGTGGTTGAATACATGGCTTTCTCTGCGATGCGAGCGACAAATACCGGTGAACATTCATAGAGCAGTAAACTCTTTGTGTGCCAGTCCATCTAAAACAAAAGATTCAGTTAAACTCCATCAAAATTGCTCACATTGAAAGTGAAATCCTGCGTTGAAGTACATTTGATGAAAGAGACATTATGAGCATATGATTTGGCCACTAAAGATAAATATCCAATATCATCGAAGTTGCAGAAATGCTTACCAAACTCAAGCAAAAAAGGACTGATTTGTGAATCGGCTATCACCAGGTGCTCAATCAATTCAGAGGCTTCAGTCCAAAACAGTGCGTCAAGCCATTTTTGATTCTAAATAGTAAATATTGAGTGATACCACATTTTGGTCGTTCAAGTTCGGATTATTCTATCTTAATTGATTTCAAACACAGTCAAATACGCTTCACCACAAGCAGCAATTTGTTTTAAAGTGAAAACAACGTGTTGTCATTGGCTTTCAATAGCCTCATGATCAACCAACAATAAACTCACTTTGTTGACCCCAACGACGGTGAAATTGGTGGTCTTGTGAAGAAAAGGGAGTAGCGTTTTCCGAGCAAGGTCCAACTAAAAAAAATGAACTCAAGCTTAAAATTAAATGCAACCTCAGTAAGGTGAACTTCCATTGGTTGTCTTCCATTGATGCCAAGTTTTACCACACTGGTGTCATTTGTAGCCTAAAGGAAAAGGGTTTCAGCTTAATAGTAAGAAAACTTGCTTGAAACTCCACAGATTTAAGTTCAAAGTTGGCAAAGTGAGGCTGAAGGACAGTTGCGGCAAGTAGATCAGCTACTGTCTAAATGATGTAAGATTCAAGGCAATTAAACACGGGTCATTTGCTGCAAGCCTACTTAATCACTTCTATCAGATAATTCTAAAGGAAAATTGGTACTATGGTCTTTTTCCTGATTTGTGTCATCAATTACTCCAGGAAAAATGATTTTTGTGAAAAAGTAGCCTCGCCCAAAGCCAATAGTACCGGCAAATTTACTCTAGACTCCTTTTCCTAATCTACACCATGATTCACCATCTTTATCGTAATTTGGTCAAAGATTTACCGAATCTCTGGAGTTGAGCACATAGTCGAAGACTTTATTCCAAAGTGGCGACGGAAGATCGAAAATCTCCATTTCTGAAACAAGAAAATAGAGTTAACCTTAAGCCAATTAGGAAATAGAAAGAAACATTCGTGCTATAGTAGTTGGGGGCAGTGTACATTCATCTCTATTGAGTCAGAGCGCACTAATTTTTGTTTCCAAGGTTTTCAATGGCGTAGATTCTTGATTTGGTATTTATTTAAGCTTTAGTGACTTTTTTTTCTAGCTATTCCAAGCAATTACTGAGGGTTTTAAGCCTCTTAATTCGGTCCCGCACCTCTAAATCCAATGGATATAAAGCCACTCTTGAAGGCTCGGAATGGTACTACTGCAATTGATCGACCCCAGCTAAATCTTTGCGAATTTGAGTTTGTTTTCAAGCAACCTGAGTCCAAATAAAACAAAATCAGAGCTCTAAACTAAAATTTTTATATTTTTGTTTGTTAGTCATCAGCCATTTAAAAACTTTATTTTTAAATGTTTCCACTAAGCACCACGGAGAGGTTGCTCACTAGTTCAGCGTGGTCCTACAGAGGACCGTCGGGTTAGGGGTTTTAACTGCTGTCAATGCTTAAACGATTCATTTGCATGGGTACAATTCCACCAAATTAAGAGTTTTTAAATGGTTAATGGCTAACAAACAAAATAAAATCAAAATCAAAAAAGTAAAATTTTCTGAACAATTTTTCGTTTTGAGCTCTGATTTTGTTTTATCTGGACTCAGCATGCTCGAAAACAGAAAAAACTCAAATCCGCAAAGATTTAGCGCAATCAAAGGTCCATCAACTGTAGTAGCACCCTCGGAATTGTTGCTCAAACTGGTATAAAAGTTGTTTAGAATGGTTTATAAATGCTTCTAATGAATTCAGTACAGCTAATTACGCGAGAAAAAGTTTTCAAAATTAGTGGCAAGTTCGAAAAATCGGTCTTTACAAACTGCCCAAAATGAAGCTTGAGCTTTTGGCTTTCCAATGGTAAAAGTTTCAGAGCATTTGAGTGGTTTTGTGCAAAGTTATAAGGTTTCTTGCGCGACTACTCCAAAAATACGATAATATCGATAGCCAAGTCTAACCCCAATTACTATAGCACCGAAACATTAGTAGTTAAACGTTTTCGAGCTAAAAATAATGACGAGCGCGGGAGCAAATGAACGAAAATTTCTCCGATTTGTGGAATTTATAGTCATCTTGTAATGAAAATTGAAATTTTCACTCGTTAGCTGAATATCTTTGATTCAAATTTTGCCTATATAAAAAACTCAACCAACCTCCTATTTACTTTTGCACGTCAAACTTTTGTTGAAACAAGTTTTTAATGTTTTAGGAGCTTCTGCAACAATCACTTGTATATATGGCTTTTTCAATGCGCTTCGTTTTGTTTGTGGTTGATAAAGATCGGTGCAAAATATATGATGCAAAAGAACGTTTGAGGTCAACTTCCTATTTACTTTTGCACGTCAATAGCTTTGCCAGTGAGTTCATAGAATGATTTGCTTATTGCTTTATTTGAAGTCTGACAGCATCACATTCAAATTTTTATAAAATCCGATAATTGTCAGCTTGTTTTTTGAGTAAAATGTGCCCCTTTCGGCTGCGTTTTCTAAGAAGCACCTATTTTAAAAAATACTATTATAACCGAACTGCTAGTATCCATTTGATCAGTCCAACTTTTGTAGAATAGATCACAGGACACAGTGAATGTAACCAAAATTGGACTGATTAAATGAAAACTGGCGGTTTAAGTACGATAGGGTTCTAAAATAGGTACTTTTTAGAAAATTTAGTTTAGTACAGTCGAACTTCGATATAACGAACCCTATATTCCCGGCCAAACGCTTAATAAAATTTTAAGAAACAACCTTCGATATAACAAACACTTTTTGAATACGTTACCGTCTATTTGATTTCCATATAACGAATTATTTGCTAAAATATGGGCAATGCAAAATGGATTTCTGCTTTTTGACTGAATGTTGAATTTTTTACTGAATTGAAAATTCTTTACAATGGGCTTGCTTATTTGTAACGTTTTTTATCTTAAGTTCAATTCAGTAAAAAATTCAACATTCAGTCAAAAAGCAGAAATCCATTTTGCATTGCCCATTGTAAAGAATTTTTTGTTCTTTAATTTTTGAGAACATTCTTATATTTTAGGTGATGGAGTGCGGAAAGTCAACTCGTCGATCAATCGATTTGTCTTTGAAGAAGCGAAGACTCAATGAATCAACTTCGAAAGGAACGACTGAATTGGCGAAGGATCTTGAATTGCCGCGATCAACAATTTCAACAATTCTTAGGAAGAGATCGGCCATTATGGAAGCGATCGATGAAGGATGATCTGCAAAAAGAGCACGATTGAAGACGAGCAAATACGAATCAACCGAAGAGTCTGCTTATTTGACTGAAGAAAATGCGAAGCCAAAACGAATGTTTTGACGGCAATCTGTTTCGTGAGAAAGCGATGGAATTGGCAAGCTTGCAAGGAATTAGTGATTTTCAAGCGATTGATGGTTGGTTGTGCTTATTTGGCTGAAGCAAACGCGAAGCCAAAACGAATGTGTTGGCCGAAATCTGCTTTGAGAGAAAGCGATGGAGTTGGCAAGCTTTGAAGGATTAGCGATTTCAAGCGATTGATGGTTGGTTGTGCTTATTTGGCTGAAGCAAACGCCAAGCCAAAACGAATGTTTTGACGGCAATCTTCTTCGAAAGCGATGGAATTGGCAAGCTTGCAAGGAATTAGTGATTTTCAGGCGAGTGGCAGTTGGCTGAAGCATTACGGAGGTTGCTTTTTCAACTTCTTGCTAACTTGTTAACTGGTTTTTTCAACTACTTGCTAACTTGTTTTCAAAAAAAAATTTGTTATAAAAACTTCTATATAGCGAATTGGTTAAAAAACGAATGTTTATTTGTTTCTATACAACGAATTTCGATATAACATACACTTCTATATAACGAACTCTTCGACCGATCACTTGCAATTCGTTGTATCGAAATTCAACTGTATGTCGAAAGCGTTTCCCAAAAACGTTTCTAAATTGTCTAAATTGATGTCAATCTCCTTTTTTCTTGACTGAACACTTCTTTTTGAGATAGGTGCAAGTCGTGATCGAGACTTTTCCCTCGCAAACTTTCCCACTTTCACTGTTGACAACTTTCCTTCGCAATTTCCTTCCAAAAATGCCAGGGAGAGCTGCCCTTGGAACGATGAGGAGTTTGAGATGAGAAAATGGAGTCACAAAGATAGATATGAATGAAAAGGAGAGAGAAATAGGCGGCTTTCCTTTTCCCCTCACTTTTCCTTTTGTAGATACTTTTCTCCCGCAAACCACCCACCCTGACTTTCTTTACTTCTTTCTTCTAACGAGTTCTATGGCTAAAGTTTCCCCCTAAAAGACCCTATAATCTCTATTCTTCTTTCAAAAATCTCCCCGACGCTTCCTTTCTTTTGCGTACTTGTTTCAATCTGAACTCTAGATCGTTCTTTGACATGATTCTTTTAGATTTCTCAAACTTTGAGCAGTTATTTTAAAAGTTTTAGTAAGTCTTGTTTGAGTTTGGCAATTCATGCTAACTTTTTCTGAAGACTCAGGTATTTCTTTCTTTCTTTATTTCTTTCTTTCGTTCTTTCTTCTTCTTCTTCTTCTTCTTCTCCCTCGTCTCTCCTTCTTTCTTTCTTCCTTTCTTCTTCCCCTTGTCTTTCCTTCTTTCTCTTGCCAAGTTAAGATACCGAATAGCTCAGTGGTTATAGCAATTGCCCGGAAAGCAAAAGGTCGAGGGTTAAATCCCCTCTCAGGAAATCTACTTTTTCTTACCGATTCCTTCACTTCTTTATTACAGGCCAGAGTCATACCAACAGCTACCCGTTGAACACATCCCTAGGGTAGATTGGCTTTTCATTAAAAGACTCAGTAGCAGGAACGCCGAAAGCTGTAGTTAGACTCGTATCAAGAGGTTGATCTGGCTCAGTCAGCCAATTCCTTCACTTGGCAAGAAAAGATCCTTTGTTTTTCTTACTGATCCTTTTCAAAAATTTATTCTCAACTGGATACATAAATGAATGTTAGAAATTGAATTAATTAACTTGTTTTGTCTATGGGTTTATTAGTTGGACGTTCAAAACTGCAGACCGAATAAAATTCCCGTTTGCTAAGTTTGTCATTTTTCGATCCGATACAAATTTATGAATGTAAAACAAATTCAACAGCCAAATCATTGAAAGCGTCAAAAATTATACAATGATTTGGAAATTTTGAATTTCGATCAACTTTCCCAACTTTCCCAACTTTTTGGCAAAAAGACAATTACTTCAGCTCTTAATCGGCATACTGTAGCAAGACAGTCAGAAGTCGGTATACTGTAGCAAGACAAGGATTCCCAATTTCCATATTTCAAATTTCAAATTTCAATCAATGACGTCACTTTCCCTTCAAATCCAAAATCAAGAAACTCTATTGTATCTGGGAAAATCGTTCGATTTCTCCTCAAAATCTCCGCTCATTTTTGAGGGAACTCCTTTGTCTCGCTCATTTTTGAGGGAACCTAAAAAAAACACAAAAATTTCTTTTTCTTTTTTTCCTTTTTCTTTTTTCCGTCTACAACCTTTGAAAATTTCAAATCTTATCAAATTTCCTCATTTAAATTATGGCCACTTTCAAATTTGCGACAAATTACATTTTCTTTAATCTTTTCAAATGTTTCTTTTCTGTCATCATCAGCATCAGCATACAATTGGAAAATCAGCAGTCAAATCATTTGAAACGTCATGTTTTTGGAAATTTTTTGCATTTTGATTGATTTTTTCGACTTTTTTTTTGTTTAAACTAATTGAATATCGAGATTGTTTCAAAGGTTTCGTTTTTTTTAAATACAGAATTGGATCTAGCTTAGGATCTATAATGTGCTAATCTATTTAGGATCTATTTGAGATTTTGGATCTAGCTTATAATGTGCTCGAGTTCGCGTACCCTTAAAGTTACCGTTACCTACCGTACACTTTCTAGGCGTTATTATCGGTGTTATTATCACTATGGTAGCTAGATTGAACACTGGAAAGGTATACCGTACCTGGTATACTCTACCGTAATCTAGAGACGATAGTTACCGTAATCTAGAGGCGATAGTTACCGTAATCTAGAGGCGATAGTTACCGTAATCTAGAGACGATAGTTGCCGTAATCTAGAGACGATAGTTACCGTAATCTAGAGACGATAGCTACCCTAATCTAGAGACGATAATTACCGTAATCCTCAGACAATACAGCTCATCGTTTAGCTGTTTTAATGACGACGATTTTTCGTGTCGACTCGTTTTTAAAAATTTTTAAAATTTATTTATTATTCATACTAGTTTTCAGGAGGATTCAAGAGGATCAGGGCTATTTATTGACTATATTAGTTTAGTTTTTCTTTAAATTTCCACTCTATCCAATCTCACCTACGCGACTGTACGCGACTGTACGCGACTGTACGCGACTGTACGACTCGATTGTGTCAGAGTTGTAGCCAGAATTTCTGTGTTTTTGAGAGAATCGCCAGTGCTTTGCCCAGAAGCCTTCAATCAATTTACACTCGAAAAAGGAAATTTAAACAAAATCCTCAGGCTAGATCATGACCAATGAAATTTTTCGAAAATGAAATTCAATCAAAAAAAATTTGCAAAAAGTTTTTGGTGAGAAAATTTGAGGCAGAGGAAGATCTAAGATCTTTAGCCATTATCTAGCCATAGCCATGATCTAGCCATAGCCATTATCTAGCCATAGCCATTATCTAGCCATAGCCGTTATCCAGCAAACTTCTAACCACCGCCAATCGATTCTCCGTATCGATTTACATCTAATACATGAGCTAAGATATCAATTTGAAGCTTGTAAAGCGAGCTAGAGTGGTTTAAAGTCGGAGTGTCAAGTCTTTTTCTGTCTCTACTCTACATTGAGCAACTCTAGCTTAGGCTTAGCTGAGACTTAGCTTGGCTTAGCTGAGACTTGGCTTAGCTTAGGCATAGCTTAGGCTTAGGCTTTCGCTCTACAGTAAGACTTTAAGCTCTACCGGCCTTACCGGATTGTACAGGATTCAGGATTTCTTGTAGCGTACCACAAGATTACGGTAACTATCGTCTCTAGATTACGGTAACTCTAGATTACGGTAACTACCAGACAATGTACTATTAGAATAAAGTATTGCTAAAGTGAAAACTGAACCCAATTTCTTTTCAGGGAATAAAATGTGGGCGTTATTCAGTTTGCTTTTCTCATTCGTGATCATCCTCGTCTCCCCTCAGCCTCAACAACCTCAACAACCGCTCCTCGCCGCGGGAAGGTCTTTTTTAATGCGTACGTTTAAGTGCATAAATCTAAAGCAATAGATAAGCAATAGATCGTTTTCGAAATCAAATCGACTTTCAGCTGATGATACATGGCGTCGCGAGGCGATCAAAACGCTGTGGGAGGAGCGGCAGAAGATGATCTACACTCCACTCTTCAAGTTTAACGTCAGTACTTATCGAAGTGTCAGTACTAACAGTTAAAAAGTCGAAATTCTAGTATCCCGGATTGCCGACAGTAGATTTGATCTTTAAAAATGAGACCGCATCAAGAACGGAGACACTTAAACATCGATACGCGTGGGCGCTAATGATGTGGGCGCTCGTTGAAGGGCATATTGGACCAAGTGGGTTTATGATGATCTTCTAAACCTCACCCTACCACTCCCGTTATCCTACCGTACCTACCGTGTCCATAAGTAGCTTTCTAAACGCTTCAAACTTTCATTTGACCACTAGGCCTTGTTGAAACCAAGTTATTGGACCAAGTAGGTTTATGATGATCTTCTAAACCTCACCCTACCACTCCCATTATCCTACTGTACCCTACCGTATCCATAACTAGTTTCCTAAACGCTTCAAACTTTCATTTGACCACTAGACCTTGTTCGAACCATTGCTGACCTTGTTGAGTACCTTCATTGCTGACTTTGATTTGAAATTCAGACACAACTGTTTACGAGGCCTCTTCTGGGAACACAGCTGCCTCATTAGCTTTCATGTGTCAACTTGTGAAAGTACGCTTTATTGCTGTTTGTCCTGATACGCTGGAGGACAAGAAATTTGCGCACATCACTAAATATGGAGCGAACATTCAGAAAGCTCCAAATGCAAAGAGGTATTCATGAAGAAGAAGAAGAAGACTTAAACTGAAGAAAAAAGCTAAAGTATTGTGCTATCAGGAAGCGAGTGTTTACAAGTTTTAAGACTAGTACAACACTAGTACACTGAGAACTAGTACATTGAGGACTAGTACACTGAGGACTAGTACACTGAGGACTAGTACACTGATAACTAGTACATTGAGGACTAGTACACTGAGCACTAGTACACTGAGGACTAGTACATTGAGGACTAGTACATAGTACTAGTACACTGAGGACTAGTATAGTACTAGTACACTGAGGACTAGTATAGTACTAGTACACTCTGTGAGAACAATTTCAATACTCGCTTTCATTTCTAGATGGAATGTGGCTCAGGAAATGGCAGCCAGCTCGAACGGTTTCTTCATGAATCAATTCGGAAACGCTGACAAAGCTGAAGAGTTTCATGAGAGTGAGTTTCATGAGAGTGCAAAAAGTTTGATTTTGAAGAAAATCTTGAATTTCTGATGATTATTAAGGATTTACTTGACTCGAACTCTTTGGTAAGGATTAAACCTTAGCTGTAGGATGCAAAGATTAAACCCTAGCTGTTTCTGAAAAGGAAATGGTTCAAATTTAAGATTAAAAATTGAATCGGAAGTGATAGAAAAGGTATTTCGGCTATGGGGAATCCGATTCTGTATCTAGTTTTTGCTTAAACATCGTTTTTAAAAATATCGGAACAAATTAATTGCTACTTATGCTTGAAAAAGCAAAAAAAGAAACGAATTCGTCGGAATGAAAGGATTCATTGTTTAAATCATTTTTTTAGTGTTCTATACGCTAAATAATTGTCAATGTACTCTTCAAAGTTCATAAAAATGCTTTTAAACTTTTCTGCAAAAGAAAGTGATAAGATTTTGTTGAAAAAAGTTGCAAGCGGATCCGAACCCGTGGGGAAGGAGCCAGGGTCAGATTGAGAGTCCGCGCATTTACCAATACACTACCCAGTCAGGTTGATTGGAAAGAAAGAACCGTTATAAATAGCAGCCTACCCTCTAACTTTGGATCATTGTTAAAGCAGTCATGGTTCAATACAGATTTCTCTGGCCGTGGGCAATTGGTTACAATGGCCAACTGGTTAAAAGCTCAAAAGCTCTTAGTCAGAAGCTCAAGGGTTCAATCCCGGCAGCGACATTATTGACTCTTTTCTGATATAGAAGAGTTTTTTTCTTCCTTTTTTCTTCTAGATGATATTTAGGGTTATATTTAGAGCTTAGTGCTTCTGCTTTTGTATTGTTTATAGCATATTATTCATGAATAAATATCTATTTAACACGTTGACGACATTGTCACCTGATGCTGTCTGACACATATTCGTTCGCCTGGGACATTGTCACCTGATGTCAGGTGACATTTTTTGTCGAAAAAAAACAACGTTGTCCCATGCGATTGTTTGTGCAAAAACGCCATTGTCGTCAACGTGTTAAAAGAAAGGCACAGTCTCATTCGAAAAAAGAGATTTTCAGGGGGATTTTCAAAGGAAATGGCGAATTTTTTTGAACAAGAATTTGAACAAGAATTTGAACAAGAAACAAGAACTGTGCAAGAGCCTTTCTGTGCCTTTCTTTTAATCTTCCAGTTAAATGGCTAATTTTTGGACTCCAGGTGGCACGTATTCCCTTGAATCGGTGAATGTTTTTCATGAATTTCTCGCTCAACTCGACGCCGACCCGAATCAACTCGTTAAACAACCCGACTATTTTATAATGCCCGTTGGAACAGGTGAAATTTAAATTGAAAGGGAAAAGAGAAAGAAAACAGAGAAAAAAAAACAGGTGGAACACTCTCATCGGTTGGAAAATACGTAAAAAAGTATGGAATCGCGACGAGAATTATTTTTGCCGACACACAGTACAGTTTGATGGGCGATTATGCGTTTAGCGGCAGATTCTCGTGAGTTATTTCCGATTCAGAAAGCCAGCCAAGCCAGCCAGCCAAACCAAGCCAGCCAGCCAAACCAAGCCAGCCAGCCAAACCAGCTAGCCAAGCCAGCCAAACCAAGCCAGCCAAGCCAGCCAGCCAAGCCAGCCAGCCAGCCAAGCCAGCCAGCCAAGCCAGCCAGCCAGCCAGCCAGCCAAGCCAGCCAGCCGGCCAAGCCAGCCAGCCAGCCAGCCAGCCAAGCCAGCTAGCCAAGCCAGCCAGCCAGCCAAGCCAGCCGGCCAAGCCAGCCAGCCAGCCAGCCAGCTAGCCAAGCCAGCCAGCCAGCCAAGCCAGCCGGCCAAGCCAGCCAGCCAGCCAGCCAGCCAGCCAAGCCAGCCAGCCAAGCCAGCCAGCCAAGCCAGCCAGCCAGCCAAGCCAGCCGGCCAAGCCAGCCAGCCAGCCAGCCAGCCAAGCCAGCTAGCCGGCCAAGCCAGCCAGCCAGCCAGCCAGCCAAGCCAGCCAGCCAAGCCAGCCAGCCAGCCAAGCCAGCCGGCCAAGCCAGCCAGCCAGCCAGCCAGCCAAGCCAGCCAGCCAGCCAAGCCAGCCAGCCAGCCAGCCAGCCAGCCAGCCAGCCAGCCAGCCAGCCAGCCAGCCAGCCAGCCAGCCAGCCAAGCCAGCTAGCCGGCCAAGCCAGTCAGCCAGCCAGCCAGCCAAGCCAGCTAGCCAAGCCAGCCAGCCAAGCCAAGCCAGCCGGCCAAGCCAGCCAGCCAGCCAGCCAGCCAGCCAGCCAGCCAGCCAAGCCAGCCAGCCAGCCAAGCCAGCCAGCCAAGCCAGCCAATTGCAAAAAAACATTGCCCGAAATGAAATCTCTGTGTTTGAAAATCAAAATTCCACACAAGACCCCCATGGCACTCATGGCACTCATGGCGCAGTGGTCCCTCCCTCCTCTCCCACCTCACATAACCCGGGTTCGATCCCCGCCAGTGACCATCCACTTTGACTTTTTGTAAAAATTCTTTTAAAAGATAAAACTAGATGAAATTTCGTTGGACATGTGTTTCAGGATTTTTTAAAATATTCAAAAGGGATAGGGATAGGACGCCTGTCGTGATGGACAGAGATCAGGGACAAAGTCTGTTTTCTGAATATTAATCTAGCAAGTATAAGCAACCGTCTCTCATGGATTCTGTAGACTTCGAGGGATCAATATCTAAACATATCTTCGTCAGAAAGCTATCAAAGCTATCAAGCTATCAAAAGCTAGATTATTCTTTTTTATTTCATTCAGAAAACTGAAATCTTTTCAGCTTTTCAATGAAATCTCTTTAATTATATTTACAGAAATGTTTCTGGACAAAATTTTGTGATTTCACCAGGGATGGCTGGTATTGGAACCCTGCCCACTGGAATCGCTGTTAAAGGGAAAACGACAAGGTTTGTTTTTCAAGTGCCCTGTCTCTTAGCTTTCTAAAATATTACTGTAAGACTATCTAGACTTTAAGACATTATCTAGACTGAAAGAAGATCTACACTGTAAGCCATTAACTATACTGTAAGCCATTAACTATACTGTAAGACGTCATCTATACTGTAAGACTATCTAGACTGTAAGACATTATCTATCCTGTAAGGCACTATCTATCCTGTAAGCCACTATCTATCCTGTAAGGCACTATCTATCCTGTAAGCCATTATCTATACTATAGGCTAGACTTCGGAAAACAAAACTTAACCAAAACCAAAACTACCAAAACCAAAACCATAACAAAACCAAAACCAAAACAAACCAAAACTCGCCAATATCTCGCGACTGGGAGGAGCTAGCGAAAATCTGTTTGCAGATTTGAAATCAGCATCCAAAAATCTATCCCATAGGCTATTTTTTGTTTCGAAATTTCGAGGTCGTGTTTTGGTCCTTTTTTCGGCCGCGAGATTTTGGGGAGTGAGAAAAAGTGAAAGGCAAATTTGCATTTTACATTCAAATTTGCATTTTACAATTTTAAATTTACATGTTAATTTATATGCAAATTGAGTTTTGGTTTGTTTTGGTGTTTTGGTTTTGGTTTTGGTCTGTTTTGGTTTTGGTTTTGTTTGCCGAACTCTACTATAGGCCATTATCTATACTGTAAGCCATTATCTATCCTGTAAGCCATTATCTATCCTGTAAGACTATCTATACTGTAATACATTATCTATACTGTAAGAGATTACCGTAAATACTTTAATAGTACCCCACCCCTCTCGTACAGCCGCGTAGTCGCAAAAGTTTTTTAGCATTTCATTGTTTTTCAAAGCGCCCGTACTTCCAAAAAATGCGTCTTTGGTATCAAAAAATAGCCCTGAAATTCAGGGCTATTTTTTGATACCTATACGAGCATTGTAGCATAAACCAGTGTCGAGAAAAACTCGTTCAAAGCTAGACTACGCAACACTCCGCACCGTCATTATGGGTGACGGGGTACTATTACAGTATTTACGGTATCTATACTGTAAGACTATCTATACTGTAAGCCATTTTCTATCCTGTAATCCATTTTCTATAAAATAAAAACACATTATCGAATATTTTCTAATGTCAAATGTTTGAAATCATGTTCTTAAAACATTTTTTTTCAAAAAACCAAATCAATCACTGGTTTTTCGAAAAGAAAACAGATTTTTAAGCTTTCTCCTGCCATTTCTTTGGATAATCTTTTGATTTTTCTCTCTTTAATTCATGAAATTCGATAATAAAGAGGAAAATCCGAGATCAACTCAATTTTTTCAAATTTCTTTTGATAAAGCCTTTTGATAAAGATAAAGCCTTTTTATCTGGATGTCACACTACAATTTAAACTCAATTTAAAGACTCAATCTACGAAAAAAGTCTCGATCGTCTGGATCATCTCGATTTTTTTAGTCTCGATCGTGGTGTGATCGATCGTGTGATGAAAATCCCGGATATGGCCTCCACAGCAGCTATGGGAGTGTTGCAGAGATTGGTAGGAGAAAGGAAAACATTAGGAAACGAGATCGTTGATCAATCTGTTGATCAGATCAGATTAACTTAAGTAACTAACTAACTAAGTAACTAACTAAGTAAGTAACTAAGTAACTAACTAAGTAAGTAACCAACTAAGTAAGTAACTAAGTAACTAACTAAGTAACTAACTAAGTAACTAACTAAGTAACTAACTAAGTAACTAACTAAGTAACTAACTAAGTAACTAACTAAGTAACTAACTAAGTAACTAACTAACTAACTAAGTAACTAACTAACTAACTAACTAACTAACTAAGTAAGTAACTAAGTAACTAACTAACTAACTAACTAAGTAAGTAACTAAGTAACTAACTAACTAACTAACTAAGTAACTAACTAAGTAAATAACTAACTAACCAACTTAACCAACTAACTAACTAACTAACTAACGAACTTAACTAATGAACTTAATTTCAGGGTATCAATGGCGGCACATCGTCGGGTGTCAATTTCGTTGCCATGCTGAGTATTGCGGCAAATGAAGCGTATGTGATTCTTGTGAATTTGTCAAAAGATCAATGATCAATGAACAATGAACAATGAAATTTTTCAGCTCAAATTTCAGCTCAAAAGATCCTCATCCCCGTTTGACCCTTTCAACTCTATTGGCCGATCCGGGCACTTTCTACACAGCCTCCTATCTAAACCGAACGTGGATCAATGAAGAAATGGCAGCGCATGGGGGATTGCTGGTATAATGCATAGAAAACGCTAAATGAAAGACTTTATGCTGTCGGATAGGTCCTGGTTTTTCGATCGAGCTCTATAAAAAACGATTGTGAAACATTTGAGACCGTCTTTGCCATTGGCAATCTAACTTTAAACTCAAATTTCTTAGTGCTGGGTGATCCAATTTAAATATTCTTGATATCATTAGATGCGCCAGGTTCTCCTCTATCGATTAGTCCAAAAACCAGTTCAATTGAACAGCTCAGCACCGAGAGATTTGAGTCTAAAGTGGGATTGCCAATGGCAAAGAAGCGGGGCGCGTATAAAAAGGCAGAGGGGGCGGGGCGAGTATAAAAGGTCGCCCCGTTCCCTCTTGCCATTGGCAATCTAGCTTTGAGCTCAAATTTCTTGATGTTGAGCTGTTCAATTGAACTAGTTTTTGGACTAATCGATAGAGGAGAACCTGGCGCATCTAATGATATCAAGAATATTTAAATTGGATCACCCAACACTAAGAAATTTGAGTTTAAAGTTAGATTGCCAATGGCAAGAGGGAACGGGGCGCCTTTTATAGCGAAAACGACCGATCGAGTTTGATCGGCTAGATACAAGTCTACTTTACTCTATAGAAAGCATAGAAAGCAAAAAGTAGATAGAGGTTTTTCTGTAATTTCAGAGTTGGCTTAAAGGAAGATTTAAGCAAACTCTGTGATATCTAGTATCTACTTTCTTTATCTTTCTTTTCAAGCTCGTAAAATAGCTTTTTTTTAAAGCTAAAATACCCTTGTGACTCTTTAATAAGTAAAGGAATTGGCAAGGAAAATTAGGTAAGGAAAATTAGGTAAGGAATTGAACCCTCGAATTTTTTTGCTTTCCGGACAATTGCTCTAATCATTGAGCTATTGGGTGCCTTAACTTGCTAAGAGAAAGAAAGAAGGAAAGAAGGAAAGAAGGAAAGAAGGAAAGAAAGAAAGAAGAAAGAAAGGAAGAAAGAAAGGAAGAAAATGAAAGAAAATGAACAACTCAGGCATACGATTGTTGGCGGGACGTGCTTGAGAATATCCTTCAAGTTGGCGGTGATCCCCTAGTGATCGGTATTCAGGTAAGTGCTTTTCTTAAAGATTCTCTAAGAAAAGTTACCATAATCGATTAAAAATCCAAGAGAATTGGCTAAAAGACAAAGTTTTAAAGCAAAAAACAGAAAATACTGTATTCTATTCATGTTTTGCATTGATAAAACTAATCGAATTGTTTTCTCAAACAGGAAAGAATGAAAGAAATGAAAGAAATGAAAGAAATCAAAGAAATGAAAGAAATGAAAGAAACCAAAGAAATCAAAGAAATCAAACCAATTTCAGCGTTGCCAATCAGCAGCGATCTTCTAGATGAGAGTGGGTTTTCTCTTCTCTTTTCTTCTTCTCTTCTTCTCTTCTTTTCTCTTTCCCCACTCTCAACGGGTTCTCTACATTCACCGGTTTCCCCTCAACAATGTGCAATATTTTTTTTGATTTTCTTTTTTCTAGAATAAAGAGTTTTATTCAAATTCAAGCACCTAAAAGAGAAGAAAAAGGAAATTTTTATTTTGATGGAATTTTGGATACCGTATTTTCTCTAATAGTAGTGCACCATGAGCGTCGCCTAAATTCCTCGAAATCTCAAGAACCGCTTATCAGAACCTATCGATGTGGGGTCGGAAAATGTAGCTGACGATGAGATCTTGACGATGATTTGAGTGTTGAGCTTCTGGCAAAACTTTGGAAGCCGTAAATAGGCATCAACTCGGCTCGCTTGGCTGCACTACTATTAGAGAAAATCGAAATTCTCCTAAGTAATGAAGAAATGGCAGAAAATGATTAGTAAAGATTTGAAATTTGATTTTCTAAAGTCAATTAGTTTTATTGGATTGTTGAATTGAAAACTGCCGGCTATTGTCATAGGTGACAGTTTGAGCACTTTCTTCAAAAGAAACCCATTCTGGTGTCAATGGAAAAGTTGTAGAGAATCAAAAATCAAGCTTATATCCAAATTTTCAGAACGATTCAAAAACTGGTTCTCAAGAAAATGCCAAATTTACGAATTTTCACAGATGAAATGACGGAAAAGGAGGGGGAGGGGGGAGGGAGGGGGGTTACGGTATCTGTCTGTCTTTCTGTCTGTCTTTCTGTCTGCCTTACTGTACGGGCATTTTTTCAGCCGTATTTTGACGAATATTTCATTTTGCATGAATATTATATTTTAAGTTGTTTTTGGTGTCATTCGATGCGTAATTTCATTCTGCATCAAATGATCGTTAAAATAGTGAATATATTGGGTTGGTGAATCGAAAAACCGCCGACTATTCTCATATGTGACAATTTGAGCACTTTCTTCAAAAGAAACCCATTCTGGTGTCAATGGAAAAAAAAGATTGGAAAAATAAAACACGACGAAAGACTGAAAAATTCTTTGTGGCGGGGTCCTTTTATTGCGTCGGGTTACGGTAGTTTCCGACGTTTGGCGCGGAAACGTCTGAAAGGCAAAGTGTACGGTGGACGGTCCGAAAGGCATTTGTCGTCAGAATTTTATTATTTCAAGAGAGAATTCCTTTAAATTGATTTAAAGTAAAATGAAATTAAACCCAATTTGTTTAATTACTTTTTTAATTATTATTTTTAATTTATTGGATTGTTGAATTGAAAACTGCGGGCTATTGTCAGATGTGACAGTTTGAGCACTTTCTTCAAAAGAAACCCATTTTGATGTCAATGGAAAAGTTGTAGAGAATCAAAAATTAAGCTTATATCCAAATTTTCAGAACGATTCAAAAACTGGTTCTCAAGAAATGGCAAATTTATGAATTTTCACAAAACTTGCAACAAAACTTGCATTTTAAGCGAAACTACTAAGTGTATCTTTTTGGAAATTTGGCTATAAGCCTAATTTTTGATTCTCTACAACTTTTCTATTGACACCAAAATGGGTTTCTTTTGAAGAAAGTGCTCAAATGCTCAAACGGGGTCATCTCCAGATCTCCAGTCCTCGATTTTTGAGTCTTGTCTCACACACAAACCAAAATCCTTCTACGAAAGAGGAATCCACAAATTGCCTGTAAAATAGGCAGAAGTCGTCAATAATAATGGAAATTATTTGGAATGGTTTTGAATCGAAAAACTTTCAAAGCCAATTTTTGACTGCTTCTTCCGAATCGAAGTGTTCTCCCGCAAGCTCAGGCAATTTGCCAAACTTATGGTCCGGAATAAATAGTAATCAAAAGGGGCGAGGTCCGGACTGTATGGGGAATATGGAGGATATGGAGGGAGTGGTGTACTGCGAGTTGCTGGATAGCAAGACGACCCTTAATGCAATCAAATACAGTGAACAGTTGGGAAAGGTGAATGAATCTCTAAAGAAGAATAGGCCCTTCAAGTTTTGACTTCTTTGGACAACGATCTTTGGATCGTTCTCCTCGACGGCAACGCGCGCCCTCATGTTGCAAAACTGACTCGCTCTAAAATAAATAGCCATGTTTGGGAACTTTTGGCGCATTCCCCATACAGTCCGGACCTTGCTCCTTCTGATTACTCTGGGAATGATTATTCCGGGCCATTAGTAATGGAGCTTGCGGGAGAACACTTCGATTCGGAAGAAGCAGTCAAAAATTGGCTTTGAAAGTTTTTCGATTCAAAACCAAATCAAAACCACGAAAGAGGAATCCGTAAATTGCCTGTAAAGTGGGCAGAAGTCGCCAATAATAATGGAAATTTGGAATGGATTATTTGGAATGAATTCATGGTTTTATGTTCAATAAATTTTAGTTCAAAGTCCCGCAGTTCATCAACCCAATAGATTCCTTTCAAGATCTTTATTCTTTTCAAATAATCAATGCTCATGTCCTCCATTCGTATCTGTTTTCTGAATATTAATCTAGCAAGTATAAGAAACCGTCCCTCATGGATTCTGTAGACTTCGAGAGATCAATATCAAAACATATCTTCGTCAGAAAGCTATCAAGCTATCAAGCTATCAAAGCTATCAAAGCTATCAGAGCTATCAAGCTATCAAAGCTATCAAGCTATCAAGCTAGCAAGCCATCAAGCCATCAAAGCTATCAAAGCTATCAGAGCTATCAAAGCTATCAGAGCTATCAAGGCTATCAGAGCTATCAAGGCTATCAGAGCTATCAGAGCTATCAAGGTATCAAGCTATCAAATCTATCAGAGCTATCAAAGCTATCAAAGCTATCAAGCTATCAGAGCTATCAGAGCTATCAAGCTATCAAAGCTATCAAGCTATCAAAGCTATCAGAGCTATCAGAGCTATCAGAGCTATCAGAGCTATCAAAGCTATCAGAGCTATCAAGCCATCAAAACCATCAAGCTATTTAAGCAAAGCTTTTGATGGAAGAATTGATTCTGAATCTTTAAATTGAAATCTTTTTCAAATCCAAATCGAAATTAAGAAAAATCCCGCATTTCTATTTTGCTTGTGGTAGAGTTTTCTTTGGAAAATCCCCTTTTTCATTGCTCGACTTGGCTCACTCCCAAAATCGTCGATGAAACTCACGTTTCTTCGCGGACTCCTTTCAATGGGAGTGGCTCCGCCTCTACTCCTTTTTTTTTTACCCCACAAAAAAACCGTCTTGAAATTTTTAGAGAAAGAAAAAAGCACGACACATCACAAAAAAAATGTTTCGCCGACTGGGTGCGCGCGCGACCTGTAAGTAGGTCATTGCCGAGGCACACTCGAAAAAAGGGACAAAACCTTGGCGGATATTTTTGGGGTTTCGATGATTTACGTGAGAAAGAATTGTTTTTCGAGAAGAATTCGTTGATTTTAGTGATCGCAGAGAAATTGGGAATGGATGTGTGTGTTTCTGAATGATCTACTATATAAAAGAGTATTGTTTGTCTGTCTGTCCATCTGCCTGTCTCAGCCGTCTTTGAGCCAAAAAAAGCTGAACCTTTTTTAGAAAGACTTCAAATATCATCTAGTAATGTTCTAATCAAAAAAAACAAGGAAATCAAAATTCAATGGCACTGAGCGGGATCGAACCTGGATCGTGTGGGTTGTAGAAGATCGTGCTCCCGACTGCGCCACGCTGACATAACTCGCCTCCCCTTGGAAACCGATGAAAAGGGTCATGGGGCTTTTCCTGCTGGTACTTCTTGCTGGACGAAAAAAAGGAAATAATTCAATGGCACTGAGCGGGATCGAACCTGGATCGTGTGGGTTGAAGACGAGCGGGCTGCCGACTGTGCCATGGTGACACAACCTCCCTCCGGCTTGAAAACCGATGAAAAGCCTCACGAGGCTTTTTCGGTTGGTACTTCTTGCTGAACGTCTCCCTCGAAATCCCACAAGAGTATCTATCCAGAGTCTCTCTCAGAAAGCGAGCGATTACGTAGCCACACAAAGAACACACAAAGAACCAGTCATTTACACACTCTTGATGGCATAAAAATGGGATAAAAGAGAAGATATTTAGCTGTAAATATATAACCTTTCGTTTTCAGGGTCGGGGAATCTATTGGAGCTATTCATTTGATTAATGCAACCAATGGAAATTGAGATTTGATTGGTTTAAACTTTTCGATAAGTCTAAACTTTTCGATTTTGATTTTTTAGTCGATTTGTTGAGAGAAGATTTAAAGATTTATCCATCTAGATTGTCAAAGTGATACCAAAAAAGAGATCACGTCATTTCTTTTTCCAAAAATTTCCTTATGATTCACTAGAACGAAAAAAAAAATGGGCCACAGTTTGGAGAAAAACATAAACATGAGTTTTTTCTCGGTCTATTTCTTTCTTTTCTTTCTTTTCTTTCTTTTCACTTGCAATAGCACAACAACATGTTTATTTGGGTCATTCAAGGTGATTTGAATCGGCGCAAAAAGGGTTTCGATGGTGAATTCACAAAGAAAACAAGGTGAAATGGAATGTGTTTTGAATTGAAATTGAAATCCATAGCTGATTACTGTACTTGTCTTGCAGCCATGAGCCGATTGGCTGTCTGGCAGCTATGAGTCAATAGGTTGGCTGTCTTGGATCTATGAGCCAATTGATTGGTTGTCTTGCAGCTATGAGTCAATAGATTGGTTGTCTTGTAGCCATAAGCCAATAGATTGACTGTCTTGTCCATGAGCCAATAGGTTGGCTGTCTTGCAGCTATGAGCCAATAGATTGACTGTCTTGGATCCATGAGCCAATAGATTGACTGTCTTGTCCATGAGCCAATAGATTGACTGTCTTGTCCATGAGCCAATAGATTGACTGTCTTGTCCATGAGCCAATAGATTGACTGTCTTGGATCCATGAGCCAATAGATTGACTGTCTTGTCCATGAGCCAATAGATTGACTGTCTTGTCCATGAGCCAATAGATTGACTGTCTTGTCCATGAGCCAATAGATTGACTGTCTTGGATCCATGAGCCAATAGATTGACTGTCTTGTCCATGAGCCAATAGATTGACTGTCTTGGATCCATGAGCCAATAGATTGACTGTCTTGTCCATGAGCCAATAGATTGACTGTCTTGGATCCATGAGCCAATAGATTGACTGTCTTGTCCATGAGCCAATAGATTGACTGTCTTGGATCCATGAGCCAATAGATTGACTGTCTTGTCCATGAGCCAATAGATTGACTGTCTTGTCCATGAGCCAATAGATTGACTGTCTTGGATCCATGAGCCAATAGATTGACTGTCTTGTCCATGAGCCAATAGATTGACTGTCTTGGATCCATGAGCCAATAGATTGACTGTCTTGTCCATGAGCCAATAGATTGACTGTCTTGGATCCATGAGCCAATAGATTGACTGTCTTGGATCCATGAGCCAATAGATTGACTGTCTTGTCCATGAGCCAATAGGTTGGCTGTCTGGATCCATGAGCCGATTGGCTGTCTTGGATCCATAAGCCAATAGATTGCCTGTCTTGGATCCATGAGCCAATCTGGTTTACTATTTAGAAGCTAATAAGTAGGATCTACTTATCTACTGATCTGTATCGAGCTATTGTATCGAAAGATTGCTGTAGCTGAGTGTAGAAGCCTGAGACTCATGGCTTAGCTCTACAAGCTTTGCTACAAGCTTCGCTTTACTCTCTCTAGCAAATAAAAACTGAAAGTTACCTACTTGCCTTTCTCTTTCTCTACTTGCCTTTCCCTACTTGCCTTCCCTTCTTGACAAGGTCATCAGGATACCTCAGACATAACCTTGGCAATACCCATTCTCCCCTCTCCAATCCTCCCGCTCATTTTTTTTTAACCTGAGATCCTCAGGGACACTTGTCTTGTGACCAGGATTCTTGAGGCAACAGAGTCAGGAGAGAACTTCAGCTGACTAACTGAAGCTATTGAATGTATTTTCTTTTAAATAAACTCAACGGAAATGATTGTGTCATTAGAAGAGTCATTAGAAGAGTCATTAGATGCATTCAATTACGATCATCCCTTCGACAGCATCGATTTACTATTGCTTTCTTATCTAAGCATCCATTTCCAATCGATAAAATGTTTAAATCTACTGTAATTCTGATACAAAAGTACATGAATCACTGTTATCAAGATATGTAGTTGTTATGTTATGTGGCTTGTTAGTAGTATCATCTATGTCTGGTTGATGGTAAACATTATCCACTACTTCTGTGCAGGATCTTGCCCAGGATCCTGCCCAGGATCGTGCTCAGAAGTGCCCAGGATCTTCTAAAGCTGAGATCTCATAGATAAAGCTTGATCAACTGTTAGATTTAATCAAGTCCAACTATCGAACAACTCAATCAAGTCCAATTATCGAACAATCGAAGTCTCATCTACTATATGAAGCTGTGATAAAGCTGTGATAAAGATTAATCTGGTCGACTTGGTGTAAAAGTAATGGCAAGCTTGAGCTGATTTAATCCAATAGCCGATAATCTAATAGCTGAATCAAGTCCAACTATAGACCAATCGCAGTCTCATCTACTACACTCCACGGCTGTGATAAAGATTAATCAATTTCTGGTCGACTTGGTAATGGCAGGAGCTGATCAATGTTACGATCTTGTTGTGGCGAATAGCCACTAAAAAGTTACCTAACTCTGACAGCCTGTGAACTCTGACAGACTCTGACAGACTCTGACAGACTCTGATAGACTCTGATAGACTCTGACAGAGTGCTGACAGACTCTGACAGACTCTGACAGACTCTGACAGACTCTGACAGACTCTGACAGACTCTGATAGCCTCTGATAGACTCTGACAGACTCTGACAGACTCTGACAGACTCTGACAGACTCTGACAGAGTGCTGACAGACTCTGATAGACTCTGACAGACTCTGACAGACTCTGACAGAGTGCTGACAGACTCTGACAGAGTGAAGAGTACCAAGCAGTGAAGAGTAGCTTGAAGAGTACCAAAGAATATCTCTTTACACTTGTTTCCTTTTTGCAAACAATAAATGCTCATATGCTCAATATTCAAGGTAAGAAAAGGATTCTCTTTTCTCTTGGAGGGATTCTCTTGCGTTTTAATCATTCCTATGCAATGATCTATGCAATAACATCAACACCGACATCAAAACGCCATCTTGCAAGCTTTGATTTGAATCAAATGACCCAAAATATCCAATCAATCGAATCAATTCAATCATTATCTCAATTTCCCTGAATGCCCGGGCTCTCATGGCATTTTTCGAGCGGTGGAATGGCTGGGCGTCGTGCTGACCTTGTAAAGAGCGAATGGGGGGATGGGGAGAGTGTCTCATTCAGCTGCTCTCTTCTTTCTCTTTCCTCCAAAAACACAGACGATGCGCGCGTGGTGAACCCTCGATTTCGACTCTGCCTTTCAGTCTCTCCTTTGATCGGCATCCTCTCTTGCTTTCCCCCATTTCTCCCCTACTGCCACACTTTCACCCCAAACGATTACACCGATTCACCTTCATTTTTTGGTTCTTTTCTTTTCCATGGCACTAACCTTTGAACAATTTTAAATCGAATTTAATTTATTTAAATCTAACAGTCTAACAAAGTTCGCTTTTTGGCTTTTCAGAGTAAGTTGGATTTTTGGATAAATGAAAAGGTAGAAATTAGCGTTAGAACTTGAGCTTTAGAACTATTTAGCTTTAGAACTTGAGCTTGAGAGCTTGAGAGCTTGAGCTTGAGAGCTTTAGAGCTTGAGAGCTTGAGCTTGAGAGCTTGAGCTTTAGAGCTTGAGAGCTTGAGCTTGAGAGCTTGAGCTTGAGAGCTTTAGAGCTTGAGAGCTTGAGCTTTAGAGCTTGGGAGCTTGAGCTTTAGAGCTTGAGAGCTTGAGCTTTAGAGCTTCATCTCTAGAACTATTTTGTATTAGGTTAGCAACCTAATAATGACGCGTTTATGTAATAAATCATTTATTTCAAAAAAAACACAAAAGAAGAGCTTTCAATTCGAAAGGTATTCTCCATTAGTATCTATGACTTCTTCCCATCTTCTGCGCAAATCCCGGATCCCATCCTCCAAGAACTTGGGAGTTTTTGAGGCGAAGTAGTCATTCACTGCTTTTATGACCTGAGCATGATCATCGAATCTCTAGAAATCTTTCCTTTAGATCTTCATCTCTAGAACTCTAGCTTTAGAGCTTCATCTCTAGAACTAGCTTTAGACCTTCATCTCTAGAACTCTAGCTTTAGAGAACTCTTCTCTAGAACTCTAGCTTTAGAGCTTCTTCTCTAGAACCATTTATCTTTAGAACTATGTATCTATCTCTTTCCCAAATCACTTTTATATGCCTTAGTTTTTAGTTTGAAGATGGAGGCAGAGTTATTCCAACGATCGGTTAATCAATTGAGTTTATCCCTTCCACTCAGTCCGCTCTCGATTTCACCAATGGCTCTGAACTCAGCTCTAGCTTCTCAACAACCATCACCACTCCTAATCTCACAGCCAACAGGTAGAAAACGTTTCTGATACTGTAACAGTACCTAAACTATGTAACAGTACCTCTTGGAGCTTGGAGCTTGGATAGCTTAGAATTCTCCAGACTGGGATTGCCTAAAGACGCTTGTAGAAGCTTGTAGAAGCTTGCAGAAGCTTGTAGAAGCTTGTAGAAGCTTGCAGAAGCCCAAGAACTTTTGTGGACAATCCTTGACCTACACAAAAGAATCTTCTGAATCTCCTTTTCGAACTCCTCCAATCGAATTTCCAGTTCTGTATCCCGGATCAGCTTTCCGTGCCGTTCCCTCGCATCCAATCCCTTCATCATCCACATCATCAGCTTGTTCCGCTCAACTCACTGAATCATTTTTCATGTCCGCCATTCATTCGCTTGTCATCGACGCGTCAAACACGAGCGAAGAGTCAATGAGCGAGGCAGGCACCATGTCCGAGAGAGGTTAGCCTTATTGAAATCAATTTTTGGTTTGGCAACTATTAAGATACTCTTCTCCATATTGTTACAATTGTTACAATTGTCCTCCAATTGTCTTTCAACTCTTCCAATTGTCTTTCAACTCTTCCAATTGTCTTTCAACTCTTCCAATTGTCTTCCAATCCTTCCAATTGTCTTCCAATCCTTCCAATTGTCTTCCAATCCTTCCAATTGTCTTCCAATCCTTCCAATTGTCTTTCAACTCTTCCAATTGTCTTTCAACTCTTACAATTGTCTTTCAACTCTTCCAATTGTCTTTCAACTCTTCCAATTGTCTTCCAATCCTTCCAATTGTCTTCCAATCCTTACAATTGTCTTACTTCAACTCACCAAATCCTTCCAGAGTCTCCAATCTCAAACACTCATTTAGCTCGAGAAATTTCCATTTTTCTTGGCTTGTTTTGATTTGTTTTGGCTTGTCTTGACTTGTTTTAGCTTCTTTTAGCTATCTTGGCTAGTTTTAAAGCAAAAAATACTTAATCTAGTAAATTTGAACATAATAAATCTAAAAAAAATAGTCTAAAATCGAGAGACTCGTAACGGAATTTGGAAGTTCAACTTTGACACAAATTTTCTCTATGTTCTTATATCTGAGTATACAAAACAAATTCTACTTTTCTATAACCAAATTTAATGAGGATCATTTTAAAATCAACCTCAAGTCAATCTGATAATTGGAAGTCGAGTTACAGAGTAAAATCGAAAAGTGCGCTAAATTTTGACTATCGAAAAACGGCACTTTAGCGCACTACTTCAAGAGTGTTTTTCTCTATGTTCCTACACATAAGTATACAAAAAAAATTCTACTTTTCTTTAGTCAAATTTAATGAGGATTCTTTTAAAAACCAATCATAAGTTGCTTGAGCTTCTATACCTCGAGTTATAGACCATCTAAGTTGATCAACTTTTGTACTTTGACAACTTTGACAGTTCAACTTTGACATAACTTTTCTCTATGTTTTTATCAATGAGTATACAAAACAAATTCTACTTTCTATAACCAAATTTAATGAGGATTCTTTTAAAACCAACCATAAGTCGATCTGATAATTGGAAGTCGAGTTATAGAGTAAAATAGAAAAGTTCCAAAACTCCGAGACTCCTATTTGGAAGGTCAACTTTGAGCCAAATTTTCTCTATGTTCTTACACATAAGTATACAAGATAAATTGTACTTTTATATAACCAAACTTAATGAGGATTCTTTTAAAATCAACCATAAGTTGCTTGAGCTTCTATACCTCGAGTTATACCCCATCTAAGTTGAGCAACTTTTTCAGGTAAATAGTTCAACTTTGACACAACTTTTCTCTATGTTTTTATCAATGAGTATACAAAACAAGTTCTACTTTTCTATAACCAAATTTAATGAGGATTCTTTTAAAAGCAATTACAAGTCGATTCAATTCCCATATCTCGAGTTCTAGATCGTTCAAGTTGATCTCTTTTGTCCAATCACTTAATTTCAATCTCAATCCATTCTGTTAACGAATTCAAAACAAAAATTTAATAAAAGGTTACTTTATAGTTACTTTATAGTTACTTTATAGCTAACTTTTAAAAGATATTCAATTGTCGTTGTTGTTTTCGAGTTGATATTTCATCTTTCATTCAGCTAAAGTAGTCACCAAAGTTCAACAAAACCACCACCATTTTGTTGGGGTCAATTCCAACTGTTACTGACTCCAATTCACTCAAATCTCCACCATCTGGCATTAGGCCAAATCTAGATAATCGAAAAAACAAGACAGAAAAGAAAAAAAAAAGAAATTTCTAAATTCCATTCGATTTCTTCGAAAAAAAAAAAATGCCTTTGTCTCGAGATTTTGGCGCGAAAATCGCGGCAATCAAGCCGATCTACGGTTTGTTTTTTTTTGTCTGGACTAAAGAAATCTCTTTTTCTTCCCCTTTTTCACTTTTTACTCTCCTTTAATCGAAATTTTAAAGTTCATGAAAGCGAAAGTTTTTCTGAAAGTTGGGATTGAAATTTGGATTAAACGATATGCATTTAATGTTAAAAGAGAAAAATCGGCATGTATTGGGCGATCCGTTTGCGGTGAAGCCATCACACGTTTGCGGTGAAGCGATCTGCGCTGTCCGTCTATCTATTGGGTTGGTGGGAAAGTCCTTTCCGATTTTTTGGGAGAGTACCTTATTTGTCTATTTGACTATTTGTCCAATTTAGACGTTTTATAGCTCATCCGAAAGCTGAATTCAAGACGGATCGATTGGTAAAAACCGTTTTGAGATATCTCTTTTCTAAAAGTTTTTACAGCTACTTTAGTAAAGGGCGGCAGAGCGAAAAAAGCCAAAAAATGGCTGTTTTCACGTTTCGTTAGTTTTCCGTGCAGAAACCTAGGCTAAAAACATGTGTTTCGTGATCAGCGTCAAAAACAACCCTTAGACACAAATTTTCAGAATCTTAGCAAAAAATTTTTGACAAATATTGTCACCGGTGGAAGTCGAACCAGCGACCCTCAGATCTTTCCACCAACCCAATAAAAAACTTGATTACAAATCACAACTTGATTACAATTGATTACAAAAGCATACAAATTGATTAGATATTGTAATTTTCTAAAAATTAAGTTAGAATTTGAAAGAGTAAAAAAGAAATGGCCTTTGTCCGTTTGCCTTGGAGATGCCTTGGAGGACGATAACTTCTTCTAGAGACCATATTATTCTTAACAATTCATATAGTTTTATAGCGGAGATTTCAAGCTTTTAAATGATACCAAATAGAGGTTGATTGGTCTAAGGAATCCAGAGAGAATTGAGAAAGAAAATTCTTGATTCCGATCGAATTGTTCTCTCATTTTAGCTGTTGTTTAAGCAACAAAATGGTTAAAAGAATCCAGAATTTGTAGCAAAATAGCTAGTTGGGATTGAATTAAAGGAATTGAATTAAAGGAATTGAATTAAAGGAATTGAATTAAAGGGAATGGTTTAAAGGGAATGGTTAAAAGGGAACGGTTAAAAGGGAACGGTTAAAATGGAATGGTTAAAATAGAATGGTTAAAAGGGAACGGTTAGAAGGGAACGGTTAGAAGGGAACGGTTAAAATGGAATGGTTAAAATGGAATGGTTAAAATGGAATGGTTAAAATAGAATGGTTAAAATAGAATGGTTAAAAGGAAACGGTTAGAAGGGAATTGGAACCATATTGGATCCGTATCTAAACCATATTGGAACCATATTGGAACGGTATTGGAACCATATTAGAACCATATTGGAAGGGAATGGTTAAAATAGAATGGTTAAAACGGAAGGTTTAAAACGGAAGGTTTAAAACGGAAGGTTTAAAACGGAAAGCTTTCCCAATGAAACTTTCCCTGAACGAGACTTTTCCCGAACACAAGCTTTACCAACAGTTTACCACGAGTTTACCCAAGCCAAAAAGAAACAATTATCTATCGGGCCCGTGTGCCAGATGAAGAGCGATTATGCACGCGCACAAAGACCACCTCGTGGCCATTTGTCAGGGATTCTCTTTTGCTTTATTGATGCCACAAAAAAGATATTCAGCTGTAAATTTGTATCCTAGGGTTTTCGCGGTCGGTGAATCGATTGGAGCATTTGAATAAGTATAACTACTCATTCAAAACCGAGATAGATGCAATTAAAGCTTGCCTTTTCTGTAAAGATTTTTCTGTAACGATTTTTCTGTAAAGATCTACCTGATTCAATAACCCAAACAATTCCCGTATCTTTGCCATATTTAACTAGAGCTTTAGCTAAAGTTTAAAGCTAAAGCTAAAGCTTAAGATGAAAATTTTTTAGAAAACATTCTTTTGTATAACATTCTGTATAAATGACCTAATTCTGAGCAGGTTTTTGAGTAGAAGTTGAATGAAATCCATTGCCTTTCACAGAACCAGTCCACTTCGAAATGCCAGACTTTCTTTTTTCTAAGAGATGACCTATTTTTGGGTGTCTTTTTCTTTTCTTTTCCTTTTCTTTTCTTTTTCTTTTTCTTTTCCTTTTTAAATTGCGTAACTTCTGGGATTTGCATAGGAGAAAAAGAACAAGTTTTTCGATCTTTCTTTCGATCTTTCTTTCTTTTCTTTTCGTCAAACGTTTTAGGGAGCTTTGAAAATTTCTAAAATGAAAGAAAGAAAATGAAATGCTTTTTATAACTAAAGCTACTATTCTAGAACTAGATTAGTTTTAAATCTAGCCCAACAGATGACCTGAAAGATGGCCTATTTAGCCTGAAAGCTTCTGTCTCTAGAGTTCGGTTTAAGATTGTTCTAGAACTAGATTTTTAAAAGACTTTACCGGCTCAGGATCAGTGTCAAGTTTATTCATAAGTTGCCTGGCTTGGTTGCCTGGCTTCGTTGCCTGGCTTGGTTGCCTGGCTTGGTTGCCTGGCTTCGTTGCCTGGCTTCGTTGCCTGGCTTCGTTGCCTGGCTTGGTTGCCTGGCTTCGTTGCCTGGCTTCGTTGCCTGGCTTGGTTGCCTGGCTTGGTTGCCTGGCTTCGTTGCCTGGCTTCGTTGCCTGGCTTGGTTGCCTGGCTTGGTTGCCTGGCTTGGTTGCCTGGCTTCGTTGCCTGGCTTCGTTGCCTGGCTTGGTTGCCTGGCTTGGTTGCCTGGCTTCGTTGCCTGGCTTCGTTGCCCGGCTTGGTTGCCTGGCTTGGTTGCCTGGCTTCGTTGCCTGGCTTCGTTGCCTGGCTTCGTTGCCTGGCTTCGTTGCCTGGCATTAAAATCTAGTTTAAAGTTGTTTTGGAAGACAATTCTTGAAAAGTGCTTAAGCCAGATGAAGCTTTTGACTCTGATCCAGCTTACATAAACGATATCACTCAAGATTTGTTCTCTACAAATTCAAATTTCCATTCTATAGATTCTATACGATATTTAAAGATAAATCTTTTAAATTTAGAGTTTATTGCATTTCGGATTCGATTGTAAATAGGAAATCTTAAAGGTTAAAAGATTTTTTCCTTTGGAAAGTTATCGTAAACTTGACGCTAAGCTTTTAAGAGGATTTAGGAGCTTTGAGAGCTTATGAAAAGCTGTTCATAAGCTCTCAAAGCTTTTCATAAGCTCTCAAAGCTTTTCATAAGCTCTCAAAGCTTTCCAGAAGCTCTCAAAGCTTTCCAGAAGCTCTCAAAGCTTTCCAGAAGCCTCAAAGCTTCCAGAAGCCTCAAAGCTTCCAGAAGCCCCAAAGCTCCCAGAAGCTCTCAAAGCTTCCAGAAGCCTCAAAGCTTTCCAGAAGCTCTCAAAGCTTCCAGAAGCCCCAAAGCTTTTCATAAGCTCTCAAAGCTTCCAGAAGCCTCAAAGCTTCCAGAAGCCTCAAAGCTTCCAGAAGCCTCAAAGCTTCCAGAAGCCTCAAAGCTTCCAGAAGCCTCAAAGCTTCCAGAAGCCTCAAAGCTTCCAGAAGCCTCTCAAAGCTTCCAGAAGCTCTCAAAGCTTTCCAGAAGCTCTCAAAGCTTTCCAGAAGCTCTCAAAGCTTTCCAGAAGCTCTCAAAGCTTTCCAGAAGCTCTCAAAGCTTTCCAGAAGCTCTCAAAGCTTTCCAGAAGCTCTCAAAGCTTTCCAGAAGCTCTCTCAAAGCTTAGATGACAGTATTAAGTTAAATCGTATTCCTTTTTCTATATTATCAAGAATTGAGGTCATTGACCTCTTCGAGTAGAAGAGAGATCCCTCTTTTTGAGGTGAATCCTTTTTCTTCTTCTTTTTCTTCCTTTTTAACCGATTGGGGGTCACCCGGACTTCTTTTTTTCGTCTTTTTTCCTTTTTTTCTTTTTTTCTTTTTTCGGGAACCGATTTTCTACTTTAGAAAGGTCGTTTTGCCGATTTCTCTCGATTTTTGTCCCGATTACTGGTAGAATTTAGGGAAATTGATTGAAAGGGACAAGAAATGAAATTTACAGAATAGAATTTTTACAGAATATCGATAAACCTTCAAAACTTAACAATAAACTCTTTCTTGAAGCTGTCAATGACTTAAATTTTAGCTCTTGAAGCTGCTCATTGACTCATTGGCAGCTCTTGAGGCTCTTGAAGCTGTCAATGACTCATTAACAGCTCTAGAAGCTCTTGAAGCTGCTCATTGACTCATTGGCAGCTCTTGGGGCTCTTGAAGCTGCTCATTGACTCGTTGACAGCTCTAGAAGCTGCTCATTGACTCATTGACAGCTCTAGAAGCTGCCCATTGACTCATTGACAGCTCTAGAAGCTGCTCATTGACTCATTGACAGCTCTAGAAGCTGCTCATTGACTCATTGACAGCTCTAGAAGCTGCCCATTGACTCATTGACAGCTCTAGAAGCTGCCCATTGACTCATTGACAGCTCTAGAAGCTGCTCATTGACTCATTGACAGCTCTAGAAGCTGCCCATTGACTCATTGACAGCTCTAGAAGCTGCTCATTGACTCACTAACAGCTCTTGAAGCTGTAAATGACTCAAATTTTCGAGTTATTCTCTTGTCAACTCTTGTCAAGTCTTGTCAAATGTCATATTGTTCTTAAAAAGTGAAAAGTTCAACCGTAGAAGGTTAAAATTGAGCTTTAAAAAGAGAAATGTGAAGTTTTAGGGATCGATGAAGTGCCAGCGGGGAGTCTTCTTTGTCAAGTGTGCTCTGATCGAGCTTCCGGATTTCACTATGGAGTTTTCGCATGTGAAGGGTGTAAGGTAAAGATATTGAAGTGTTTAGGTTTCATTTCTGTATTGTTTTTGTTTTTTTAAGGCTACTGCAAAAGAAAATCCTTTTTTTTTATCTATACCTTTGTTAAAGTCGACTTTTTTTGCGGTAATTATACTGTGTTCAATATTTATGGGAAATTTTGAGCTCGCAATTCGTTTAGCATTGTCTAGCGCTCTCAAAATCCGTTTAAAAGTCGTTTAGCGTTGTCTAGCGGGCTCTCAAAATTGGTTTAAAAGTCGTTTAGCGTTGTCTAGGGCTCTTAAAAATTGATTTATGGAAAGAATCGTGAAGAAAAACACTGCATAGAAGTTAGAATAAGCTCGAGTTTCTAGATTATCTTTACATTTTACTAAATTTGTTATTCAAAGATTGATTGATCGCAATTTTCGACAGCTGTCAATGATACAAAAATTTGGCTAATCGAATGTAGACAGCTGAATTACTGGATTCAAAAACCCATGCCTTTTAGAAATTCTTTGAACTTTTGCTCTTTGAACTTTTAGAACTTTAAAATTCTCACTTTTTCTATGACATTCTATTAATATTGAGCAATTTTCATTCGCAAAAAGTCCTCTAAAGTCCTCTAAGGTCCTCTATAGTCCTCTATAGTCCTCAATAGTCCCTCTAAGGTCCTCTATAGCCCTCAATAGTCCTCAATAGTCCTCTATAGTCCTCAATAGTCCTCAATAGTCCTCTAAAGTCCTCAAAATCTCGTAAAAACGATCAATTCTCAATAGTAAAACGATCAAATCACTTAAATTGAGAAAAATCGGAACACTTTCCGCTAGTCGATTTCCCCATTTCACTTTTTTTGGCCTACATAAATTTCATGGCAATTTTTCCCGCGCATTGCTCAAATATGGGAGAAATTTGTGGAGGGAAACGGGAAAGAGGAAAGGTCAAAGAAATAGGCAAGTTGACAAGAAATAGAGATTGAATTGAGGACATTGGCACATTGGAAACATTGAGGACATTGGGAAACAAAGAAGCTTATGAGACTTTTGCAATGAGAGATGGATCGAAATGCGGCCAGAACCTGCCAGCAAGGCCCTAGTCTTGGCCTGGTCTCCCTTTACTACAAGCCTGCCCGCCAAAAGCCAAGATCTGGTTTCTGCCCTTGCCTAGAAAATACCCTAGACCCTAGAACCTCGAAAATCCCTGTGTCAATCATCACTTTCTCTACAAAGTTCATTCAAAAGACAAGCTGAAGCCTTAAATCTAAGCCAAGATTGCCCAATCTAATCCATTCCCAATTCCAACTCATTCAGGGTTTCTTCCGTCGCTCAATCCAGCAGAAAATCCAGTACCGAGCTTGCTCCAAGATGCAAGATTGCCCAATCGTTCGAACTAATCGAAATCGTTGCCAATATTGTCGATTAAAGAAATGTATCGCTGTTGGAATGAGTCGGGATGGTCAGTTATATCCAAATTTGATTTATAATTATATGCTGGCTATATTTTAGTCCTGTAAATAGCATCTTCTTTCAGCGGTTCGATTCGGTCGAGTACCAAAGCGGGAGAAAGCTCGAATGGTCGAAGAGATCGCTCGCTCATCCGTGCGATCTCAGGTTCGTTCTTGAAAATTCATTATAAAGTACTGTACTGTACTAAAGAAGTGAAGGAGTTGGTAAGAAGAATGACGGAGTTGGCAAGTAGAGGATTTCCGGAGAGGAGATTGAACCCTCGACCTTTTGCTTTCCAGGCAATTGCTCTAACTACTAAGCTATCGAGTACCTTAATTTGCCAAGAGAAAGAGAGAAAGACAAGGCCATCTGACTATTAGTGTAGCTCATTGGTCGAGCGTTCACTCAGAGGTCACTGGTTCAGCGCAAGCAAAAGGACACTAGTTCGAATCTCAGCGCTGACCATATTTTGAACAAAAGAAGTTGGCAATGCCAATGCCAAATCTATATTTTTTTGAATTTAGATTAAAAATCTAAATCTATTTCATTTAATTTAAAATCTAATTCTTTTAGGTTGATGCGATTCGTCTCCATTTCGAGGATCCAACCGCCGTCTTTGCGAGAACCACACACGCTTTCGCTCGGCTACTCGAAGCGGTAAGAATAGACTTAAATAAATAAAAAAAAGCACTTAAATAAATAAAAAAGCATTTAAATAAATAAAAAAGCATTTAAATAAATAAAAAAAGCACTTAAATTAATAAAAATAAAAATCTAATTAAATGAAGCACTTAAATGAATCAAACAAAGATTAATGCATGAACCAAATGGTCAGAATCACATTGAAAGACCTTTAAAATGCTTTCAGTATCAAAATTTGGACAAAACACCATAATTCCTGCCTCTTATACCATAATTAGCATTTAGTAAAAAGAATTAGCACTAGATTTGGTCAAGGTGATACGAGCTTCAGACAACCAAAAACAGATTCCCAGCTAATTTTATAATGGATAAGCGTATTGATTTCTTGTGGAAATAGATTAATGTACAGATATTTAAATACCATAAATACTCTAATAAAACCGAAAATGCGGTCATTCTATTCTTTTTGCGTTTTTTCAACTAAAAGTCACAAAAACAAAGCTTTCACCATAGAAACTGATAAAAAGCACTTAACTTGAGATTAGTTAGCATTCGTGGAGGAGATCGTCAAGCAGCAAGTGAATCTAAAAAACACTACAAAGAAAGCTTCCGCCATAGAAAATAATAAAAACCACTTAACTTAACATTAGTTGGCATTAAGTTCGTGGAGGAGATCGTCAAGAAGCAAGTGAATGTAAAAAAAACACAACAAAGAAAGCTTTCACCATAGAAAATAATAAAAACCACTTAACTTAACATTAGTTGGCATTCCTGGAGGCGATCGTCAAGAAGCAAGTGAATCTAAAAACACTACAAACAAAGCTTCCGCCAAAGAAAATAATAAAAAGCACTTAACTTAAGATTAGTTGGCATTCGTGGAGGAGATCGTCAAGCAGCAAGTGAATCTAAAAAACACTATAAAGAAAGCTTCTGTCATAGAAAATAATAAAAACCACTTAACTTAACATTAGTTGGCATTAAGTTCGTGGAGCAGATTGTCAGGAAGCAAGTGAGTCTAAAAAAAACACTAAAAATAAAGCTTTCGCCATAGAAAATGGTGTTAAAAATGTAATTTAGCACTATCAAACAAAAAACAAACACGATCACATCAGAAAAACACAAAAAGAATAAAATGAAATGAACGAAAAAGGAAAAAAATTTCGCGCCAATTAAGTGGGGTACGGTAGTTTTACCACACTTTAAAGCGCCAACCCAGGATTTCGTCGGTAAATGGACGGAAGTTGTAAAGTTGCGACCTTTTTCCAAGAATAATATAATATCTACCATATATAAAGCAAAAGAGACGTCTTTCTGTCCGTTTGTCTGTCTGTTTGTCTGTCTATCTGTCTATCTGCCTGCCTGTATGCCTGTCTATCCGTCTGCCTGCCTGCCTGACCGTCTGTCTGTCTGTTTGTCTGTCTGTTTGTCTGTCTGTCCGTCTATCTGTACACAGCTATTGGTAAAAAGGGGCGGGGTTGGGTGAAAAACGCGAACGCTAGCGAGCTGGTAATATAATATAATATAATGTCTTTAAGGTGTGGTCAGTCTGGTCCGGATCACCAGGTCAATGCCCGCTTCCATTTGCCTCTTATCTTCCTTCAATCAAAGCTGTCGTCGACTTCGCGAACTCATTGCCTGGTTTCTTATGCATTCCACAAGAGGAAAGGGTTCTTTTGTTAAAGGTTGGCAAAGTTACAAGTACTTAGTTACATGTACTTAGTTACAAGTACTCTCTTTTAAAAATGACCCATTCTTCTCTTCAGGCTTGTGTCTTCGACGTCTTGCTGATTGTTGGTTGTGCTCGTGAACCCCCGCCAGCATCTGCATCTCCACTCCTTTCCCATTCAATTGCTTTATTGTCATCAAGAATTCGTTCCTATCCAGCGACACCGATTTTAGCAGCGTTGGCGATTTGTGCCTCGTCACCTACTCCGTCACCACTGGTTTGTTATCAAGAATTCTTTCTAAGTTTCTTTCTAAGTAAACTATTGCTACAAACCAAATTATGGAAAGTCAGCCTTTTCTCTTGTCATTAACTCTTCTAGATTCTAATCAATAAAGCCAAGGTTCTAACAGGAATTTAATAAACTGAGCTCAGGTCTGTACTGCAGAGCTGCAGCTCCAGCTCCAGGCTAGCAGCTCCAGCTCCAGGCTAGCAGCTCCAGCTCCAGCCTAGCAGGTCAAACCAGTCCTGGCTGGTTGATGAAAAGAAATCTTAGCATCTGTACTGCAGCTTAATAAGCTACCGTAAAAACTGTAGGATCTAATTTTAAACATATCCATTTTCTAGCTTGCTTTACAGCATTTCCTAGCTTGCTTTACAGCATTGAACCAACTAGAACTAATGTTGCTCTTAATCTAAGTACTAGAATACAATTGAAGCTCTTCGAAGCTCTTCAAAGCTCAATGTAGTAAGCTTTCAAGAGTTACACCGGTTCTTGACTCTCTCCAACTCAACCCAAAGCATTTTCCATTCTATTTCTGAACTCTAAATTTGTGTTCCGTGATGGCTGAGTGATGGCCGAGGGCGGGTAGAATAGCAAGGCTGTCGAGCTAAACTAAACAATTTCCAGACAAGTCGTCTAGCTGAATCATATTGGGGAGTGGTGAGTGCAACGGTTCCCTCATGTGTCCCATCAATGCCGACACTACTCGCCGATTTGCGAGCATTGTCCATTCTGCACAGTGAACGTGTTCGTTGCCCAGTGCCAAAGAAATCGTTGAGGTTTGGTGATGGAATTTAAAGCTGTAGTACTTAGGAAGATCACAGAGACAAGGAAGGCTTTTACTAGGGAATTTTAACTGAGTTTGATGGTTAAATGACATGCTATTAGACGCAGAATTTTACACTGATTCCGAATTTGTTTTTCGTGATGGCTGAGTGATGGCCGAGTGTCAGTGAGTTAGAATCCAAAGCAAATAGTCGCTAGTTCGAGTTCGAGCTTGGCTTTTCGTTTTCTCTTTTGGATTTTCGCTAGCACAGTTGATGATAGTTGAGATTTTCTCTTTAGTAAACGTTCAAATATCAATCAATCTTGTAGTCAGATTGTAGGAATTAACAAAATGAACAAAATTCAATCTTTAAATTGCTATTTGTAGAGAGCGTCACTCTTCACTTGCATCTCTCCTCGAAGGGCCAGTTCTCTCATCATCCAGCTCATCAATTTCATCGTGTCCATTGCTCATCAATACATCCACTTTTCTCTCACAATCCCCGCATTTAAAGGTGACTTCTAGCTACAGTAATCTAGTTGTAACTTGTAGCTACAGTAATCTAGTCGTAATCTATCGCTACAGTAATCTAGTCGTAACCTGTAGCTACAGTAACCTAGTTGTAACTTCTAGCTACAGTAATCTAGTCGTAATCTATCGCTACAGTAATCAACTTGTAACGTAGCTACAGTAACCTAGCTGTAACCTGTAGCTACAATAATCTAGTTGTACTTCTAGCTATCGTAATCTAGTCGTAACTTGTAGCTACAGTAATCCAGCCACTTTTTACAGTGACAGTAATCAGCTGAATTCATTTTGGCATTCAAAAGAGTATGCAAATTTTCAGATCGAGCTCTCTCCAGCGACTTCGCTCGACTTTTCGATTGACGAGATTGACGAGGATAAACCGCTCGATTTATCGATGAAGAAACGAGTTTGCTGAAATTTGTAATACCTTTGTAATACCTTGTAATACTTTGACGTTATTTGTAACTGACGGACAATTTGACGGAGAATTTTTCGGAGAATTTGCCGGAGAATTTGATGGACAAACTGACGGACAATTTGACGGACAATTTGCCCGGCAATTTGACGGACAAATTGACGGATAATTTGACGGACACTTTGACGGACACTTTGACGGACAATTTGACCGACAAATTTCTCTGTACTCATCTGTAGCGTTTCGATAAACTTCTGTCTCACTTTGAACTCTCTTTCACCCACTGCCACCGTTGTTTTCTCTGAAATCTCAACTTTCATTTGCTTTTTTGAATCATCATAGCTGAAACTCCTAGATACAAAAAGGATATTCAATTAAAGAATATTCAGTTAACAAAATTCATTTAACATTAACTGAATATCCCTCCTTTCTCCCTTTATCTTTTAAAGAAATTCCGGTGATTTATTTTGTTCTCATTTTGTTGAAATTGCAGCTAGTTTCGGATAGTTTTTTTTAAATTTGCAAAGAATAAATAAATAAAACTGATATTGACAAAATTAACCTTTAAAATAACTGAATTTTGATGAATTTTCGGAAAAAAATAAGAATATCAAAGCTTTTTTACATTATTTTCTAAAAAATTAAAAAAAAAAGATTGAAGCTGAGAGCATTTAGAGTCCAAATTAAACAAATAAAGAGAAAGCTTTGAAGCTTTGAAGCGATCAATCATAAACAGCAAACAAAAGTGGCTTCGTTGAATTTGATTGAGCCAGTTGATTGAGCGATTAGATTGAGCGATTAGATTGAGCCATTAGATTGAGCGATTAGATTGAGCCATTTGATTGAGCCATTTGATTGAGCCATTTGATTGAGCCATTTGATTGAGCCAGTTGATTGAGCCAGTTGATTGAGCCATTTGATTGAGCCATTAGGTTGAGCCATTAGGTTGAGCCAGTTGATTGAGCCATTTGTTTCTATTCATTTCCTACAACTTTCAAATGAGTCACTTTCACAAATGGATCCATTGTGGTACCATTGTGGGGTACAAGTGGTACCGCGTTCGCTTCCAGAGCGAAACCTCACAGGTTCAATTCCTACTTTGGATTTGTCTTTTGCTTCTTCTTTAAGAAGTGTTGACTAGTGTTTTTTGCGTGGCTAGCGTCCAAGAAATATGTTGTGCACACGCTTAAAGAAAACTTCTTGAAGAAAAACGAAAAGAAATAACAAGGGCGAGGATCGAACTTGCGAGGTCTCGCTCCGGAATCGAACGCGGGACCACTCGGCCACGGCTGCACTGAAACCGGTCTGCAAAGAGGCCGCTAAGACCCAAATGATCACATTTTCAGACCCAAGTGGTCACATTTTCCTTACAAAACTTTAGACGCCCAAATTCGTCATAGTCTTTGCCAGAATCACTCATGGGAAGACGCCATTTTTGTTCAACAGGGCGTCAAAGTAAACGCAAATAATTATCGTATTCTCTCTAATCGTAGTGCACCCGGGCGATCCGAGTTGATGACTATTTTACAGTCTCTAAGTCTTCCCAGAAGCTCAGCACTCTAATCATCGTCAAGACCTCATCGTCAGCTACATTTTCCGACCCCACATCGATAGGTTCTGATAAGCGGCTCTCGAGATTTCGATGAATTTAGGCTTTAGTGCTTTAGTGCACACGCTTAAAGAAAACTTCTTGAAGAAAAAGGAAAAGAAATGTATTTAATTGTGCAGTGTAGTCGAAAAAGGATAGATCTTTTTTTAAATAAAAAATGTGCTAAATAATAAATTAAATAAAAAAAAAATTGGGCTTAAAAATGACTGGACTTTGATGAATTTCACAAAAAAAAAAAAAACAGGAATATCACAGATTTCTCTATCACATTTTCTGGGGAAAAAAAGCTGAATAATAAATTATATTAGATTAGATATATGCAAATTGCTAAGCTATTGTAATTTTTCAAAAAATTCGACTAAAAATTCCATTAAAAATTGAAAGGCTAAAATGAGAAACGACTTTTCTCCGTTTTCCGGGGGTTCTTGAATGAGCACTGAAAGCTTTGAAAGACCATAACTTCTTCTAGAGACAACACTATTCTTAACTATTTATATAGTTTGATAGAGGGGATTTCAAGCTTTTAAATGATACCAAATAGAGGTTGATTGGTCTAAGGAATCCAGAGAGAATTGAGAAAGAAAATTCTTGATTCCGATCGAATTGTTCTCTCATTTTTTTTTTTGAGGTCAAGAATCAGTCTCTTTAAAGTTTCTTTCGCCATCTCGAAAAGTGAACTTGTGAACGAGGAACCGGAAAAGTGAACGAGGCGCTTATCCACTACACCGCTTATCCACTGGTGTAGTGGATAAGCGTCTCGTTTCCAAAAATCGCTCAAGTTTTTGCTCGGGTTCAATCCCCGGATCCAGCTATTGATTTAGTCTACCCTAATCCAGCCGTTCTCTTGATTTAGCTGCCGCTATCTCTTTGAGTTTTTCCAATCAATTGGAAATGAATTCCAATCAATTTGTATTTTCTCTCATTCAAAAGCCTCTTTAATACTGTATTGACAAAATATAATTGTTTCTAGATAAAGTTATAGGCTTTCAAAGCTTTCAAATGATGGCTACTCATTCAAAACCCCAATGAAACAAGAGGCAGACCGAGATTTCCCTTTCTGAATCCCAGACTTTATGCTCAAAATGGAAACGCAAACTTTGTGACGCATTGAATTCTCTATTTTTCTCTATTTTTCTCTTTTTCTCACTACTATAAATCGTTACTTAGAAAAAAGATACGATTTCAATGCACCAGAAAGGATGCGTTTGTATTTTGAGCTCAAAGTCTACTTAAAGCAACCGGAAAAGCAAAAAAATAAAACTCTTGAATCGACAAATGAAAGAGAGTTAAAGATTTTTAAAAAAAATTATTTTAATAAATGAAGCTAAAAGTTTAAATGCAAATTGGAATCTAAATGTTAATCAAAGCTCATTAAAATAGGGTTTAAAAAAGGATTATGTCTGGGGGAAATACTTAAAGAGAAAAAAAACTAGAAAAAACCCGTATTTTCATGAATATTCATTGATTAGTTAGCCAAAATTGAAAAAATATTTCAATTAACATAGAAATTTACTTAGTATAGCTCGATTACTGTCTTCTACAGCTACTGTAGCTTTTTTTGATATTGTGAAAGGGTTACTGTAAAGCTTTAGTCACTTTCTACCATCATCCAGCGATTCAGACGTTTATCTACAGTAACCGAGCTACAGTATCGTCAAAAACCGTAATCTCCAACTAAAAATATAGTAATCCACGTGAAAATACCGTAATCTACGACTTTAGCTTTAGCCACAGTACCAAATGCATCATTTGATTGTACAGTAGCCAGCTACAGTACTCCAGACAGAGCAATAACCCAACAATTGATGACTAGAGAACTGTGGCTGACTAGGATCACGATATGCATTGAATACTGTACTGCAACCAGCTACAGTATCCCAATTTTTATCTCAAGATACAGTAGTCAGCTACAGTACCCCGTCTACCGTATCCCAATTTCTTAAATCCCATCCTCCAGCTCCTCCTCGACAAGCAGCGTCTCCGTGTCGCCCATTTGATCACCGTGATCCCGCTAAAATTGGTTTAAGCTTGATTTAAGCTTGGTTTAGGCTTGGTTTCAAAAGCTAGACTCAAGTTTAAAATACCGTAAATGCTGGTATTAGAATGACATCTCATTCTATTTTTTCAAATCCCTCAAAATCGAGCGATCCAAAAAATTAGGTAACGGGGGAGCAAATAAATCAAAAATTTAGAATTTATTAAAAACTCTTTTAAACGATAACCCTTTGTCCAAAACGTACAAAAAAAACACGTTTAAAAGTGAAATTATTCTCTTACCCGCGATCCCCTTTGAATCTGCAAAAAAAAAATCATTTGGAGGACCCTTATATTTTTTTTCAAAAATAGTGTTTTAAATTTTACTGCCAATAAAATATTAGTAGGTTTTAGAGCTAGATCTATTCATAGAGCCCCCAAAATGGGGGTCTAAAGTCAAGATTTCGAGGGGTTAGGGTGGTGTCATTCTATTAGATCATTCTAATAGAGCATTTACGGTAATTGCCAAAGTGGAAAATTGTTTAAGTTTAAACGTGTTGTTAAAAATGTTAAAAATGTCAAAGAAAAAAACCTGTATTCTTGAAACAATCTCTCGTCCTCTTCCCTCTAGTAAAGCGGCGCCGATGAAAGAAATGACGATGGGAAGAGCGGCGATCAATTCGATTGCTGACGGGGTTTTTCCGCGAAGGCCTAGAGAATTGGGATTTGAGATCAAAATTGATTTTGTGTCCTCTTTTGCTAACTAGGGAAGGCAAAGTCTCGTTTCGAAATCCTAGAGTCTCGTTTCGAAATACTAGGATCTAGATCTAGTACTAGGATTTCGAAACGAGATCTAGCCCATTAGAAAATCGAAAGCGGAATTCGAATTTGTAGTAGTAAAATCTCGTGAATAGCTGACAAACAAGAGATTTCTGATATCAAACTCTTGGGCTAAACACTCTTGAGCCGAATTTACGCTTCTTTTTCAACAGCGGATACTTCTTTTCTTTTTTTCTTTTCTTCTTCTAAACACTTCCTTCTTTTGGTGTAGCGGCTAGTGGGCTTGTCTACGGAAAAGATCGATTTCTTTTCTAGCGAGTTCGAATCCCCCCACTTCGAAACAAGCGTTTACCTCCTTATTTTTCATAAGGATACTTTGTTTTTCACAAATTCTTCTACTATTTTTTTCTTATACTATACGATTTTCCTATCTAATTTTGATGAAAGCAATTTAGCACGATGACTATCAATCCAGCATCAATCCTCCGAAAAACAAACGAAAGTTTTGAATGTAAAAGTGAAAATTGATCGTTATAAAAACGACTTTATCAAATTAAAAACCAAAAACTAAAGAAAAACGATAAATTTCAAGCAAAGCAAATGAAACATTACGGTATTTTATTCAAATTTAAACTTTTGGGAGCGCAATATAACTTAACTTTTGCCTAATTTGGCTTCTCTGTGTGCGCAGAGTGCTGAGTATTGATTGAGCAGAAGAACCAGGATTGCTTTTTTTTTTACATAATTCGTTTCAGTTATCAACAACTCTTAATAGCAACAGTTTTTGAATTGTCCAACCTGCATCAGCGATGAAAGAAAACGGAATCGAGAGTGTCATCGATAAAGAAGCCGACAGGGAATCGGTCATCCCAGCGCCGAGTAGCCACAAATAGTCGGCGAGCATTGTACCTGAAAGAATCTTTCCATAGATCATAATTTGTGCTCAAATCAAAACACATTCTTTCTAGTGCACTTAATTCTTCATTCTTCTCTTCACAACAACTTTCAACTCTCGCAAGGAAATTGAAAGAAAATTGTGTGCGATAGAAATGGAGTGTTTCTATTTTTGAGCGACAAGCAAAATACAAAGGATAAGGCTAAGTTTTCACAAGATAATTTAAAATTATAATTGTAAATTAAATTGTAATTCTAAGTGAAATTGTAAATTATTATAAAATTGCAATGTATGCAAAATGCAAAAAATTAAAATTTACCAAAAACTCCAGCCACCAGAATCGAGCCAACTTGTGTACCATTAGGCAATGGGTAGAGTGGTTCGATTTTGAGCGAATCCATCACAAAGAGCATCGGAGATCCCACCAAAACGGCCATTAAACCGATCGTTCCTGAAGTACGATAGAAATACATGTTATAACGATTTTGCACTAGTTGACAGAATGGCTGAGATACGATAACTTAGTCATACTTGTCAAAAGTCGTGTACACCGGAGAGTATGCGTTTATCGGAGCACAAAGTGCAGTTAATTATCAAAAGCCTACAGCTTAAGACTCTTGCAATGCTGTAAATACAAATGCTGTAAATGTTGTAAATACTGTATCTCAATATACTGTTTACAGGAATACATAAAAATATCGTACAATAGTCAGATAAAGTAACCCAAAGTATTATACGCCGTAGACACTACAGTAACCAAGCTTGGTTAATTAGCAGATCGAATACAGTAACCCGGCTGGGTCCTAAGACATCACTGTCCAAAGACTCCAGCTATTATTACAGTAATCCAATCACTCCAGTAATCCGGCTAGATCCTAATCCATTCTTACACCAACTCACCAAACATGAGATCAATGTTGAGCGTCCCGTATTTCCATTGATAACGCGCGTAGGCGGTGAGATAAAGAGCGTACGAGATGGCGGAGATCTGGAAAACAGGTTTATAAAATAGTTTTTAAATCAATAATTGATTTGATACGCATTCAACTGATAACATAGCAGTACTTCTGTGCCAAAGCTACTTATAAAAATCATAAAAGAATACTTGTGCAAAGATGGCTCCCCAAAACGGCATCGAATACTCGGAGACGAGCGCCACTCCCGCCAAATTCAGACCAACGAGGAAAGCCTGAAATTGGATATAATCTTAGAATTTTAGCTTAAGATTTATCTTATTACTAAAATCTAGGCTTTTACATAAAATATCAAATAATATAGTAGTTTTTAAAGCATGAAGCTAACTTTCTCTAGCCCGCTCCAGTTACACTAGCCCAAGTTAGTTCAACATTTTTCTTGTGAGTGCTCAACAAAATCTAATTTATATAGCTAACTTAAACATTTTTCTTGTTGTTTTAGAACACATCCCAGCATGTTAACGCGGCACTTTTTCCACACAAACTCACCATTTTTCGGATCGAAATCAGGAGTTTCATATTAATCATTCGATCATTTGGTTAAAAAATTTAGGTTTTAAAAGGTTATTGAGTATAAAAAAACTTAATAATACATCAAACTTTAAGTTTAGCTCGAATATTATAACCAAATCTCTAGTTGAACTGGTCCTTTTATGGGTTGAGGCTGGGGGCATGGTCGGCGCCGGGATTCGAACTCGCGATCTCTCGCTTGCCGGGTAAACTTCCGAACAATCAACTACACCTACACGTGCCCCATTGCCGCCAAGGTGCCTTATGTCTTAGTATCTTTTGATTTTGAAATTGATCACTCACATCAAATCCCAGTTAACTCCAGTAATTTCCAACTAGGCTTTCGGCTAATTATAAGTGAAGAAAAACTCCTCAATCCCTTGACTGAATACCTTTAATAGCGTGAAACGTTGTCCCTCGACGGGGATACAAATGGCAAAAACCAGAACGAAAAGGGATGACGATGAGGAGATGAGATTGAGATCGGCCACTGAAGTGAAGGCAAGAGCCGTTTGAAAAGTGAATGAGCACACCAACCACTGAAAAATTGGAAGATTGAAAATCTTGTCCCAAAGTCCTGCTCACACTTATACTTACTAGGTTTAGCGATATCCAAAACTACTCAAAATACAACTTTGCTAATTAAACAATTAAAAATGCTTAAAATGGACCCATGGGGAATCGAACTCGGATGCCTCCCCCACTACATCGAACTTGGAGACAGCTGCATTACCACTGCGCTATCGAGTCACTTGTTCGGTGAACGACCGCAGCCGTTACAAACTCAAAAGTTGTCCAGTTTTTAGCTCAATTTAGCTCAATTTCAAATGCGTTTTTACAAAAATCTAGGGCGTTTAGGGTAAAACTAAAAACGCCATCGTGTTGCCCGTGTCCGACTTGCCTAAGTCACATGCTTTAGTTCGGACTCGTGCTTGAGAAATCCCTAGTTAACCTAGGTTCGTCAGCCTACAAGTCTAGAGCACTGTAGTTCCGTGTAGTGCTTTGGCTTTATTAGGTCAACCTACCATTGGTGCAAAGAATAGCAACGTCCATCGGATGTGTCTCTGAATTGTCCACGAGCAAGAGATCGTGCATTCGGTGGGATCAAATGGGCGACGAGCCGCGCGCGCCTCGTTCGCTTCCCCGTCGGGCATTCGACGCACCTGTAAAGTTGATTGTTTAACTGAAGCTCTAATCTTTTATCAATCTTTGATATTTATATAGTCGACTCTCGATTTAACGATTCGCTTGGTACCAAAAATCTCGACTTGACGATTCTACAAAATGTTCCAAATTTCTTGCGTAGCTGCCCTGAAGGGCCAACAATTGCGTTTGGCTGGACAGCTACGCAGAAAACAAGGACGTGTTTTAGAATTTCAAAACCGTTGTATCGAGAGTCAATTGTACTATGTAAGTTTTAAGTTGTACGATTTAAGTTGTACTCTTTAAAATCTGGCATCTATGCCTGGTTATTTGAGGGTTACTAAGTCATAAGCTATAGTAACCCTCAAAGCATAATATTCTAAAGCTACCGTAATCATGGGCTACAGTAGCTCGAGTTATCGTGGCTGTAAATTTTACAGTCAACCGCGAGCTACAATAATTCTAAGGTTTAAATTTGGAATCTATGTAAACAAACGTTAGATTCTTGAAAGCTTTATAGCCAAATTTGGCAGTTTTTGATAGGCTCATGAATTGCAGCTTTCTAAAAACGTAACTGATCATATTTCTTTTGGTAAAAGTATAAAAGAAGACACGCTTCGAAAAAGCTACCGTACTTTGACCGTATTTGAACCAAAAAGTAAGCTAGATTACGTCGTAGTACTTCTAGGCTATAGTAACCGACAGCTACATTAATTCTGAGACTTCAAACTCTTAAGCCACCGTAACCCTACGTTACATTAGTTGTAAGATTCACCTCTCTATGCGGCGCAAATCGGACACTCCTCGTCGTGGAACGATTCTCCTCAATGGCCGAATCATTATCCGATGACGTCATCGTCTCAAATCCCTCGGTTGTCTGAATCGTTTCTTCCAAACAACCCTTAATTTCCTTCACTCACCAACGAATTCTCGTCCAAATCCTCCATCAAAATTTTATAGGCTTTCTAATTTTAAAGTTTAAGCAAAGATTTCAAGGCTACTCACCTCAGATGGCCTTTCGGGATTTCCATTGGAGAACAAGTATCGTAAGAGGTAGACGGAAAGCATGCAATTTTTCAGCCATGAGACGAAAAATGGTCGTTTAAAGCCCTCCTCGATGAAAATGTACTAAAAATTTGCTTTGTATAGAAGTCCAGGTTGTATGGTAGGTCTGCCAATTTATAGCCTGATATTTTCTACTAAATCTTGCAAACACATTGCTTCTGGCGCACTTAATTCTCTAGGTTTTCCACAAATCGTGGAAAATGGAGAATTGATTGCACCAGATAGTGTGCGTTTATAATTTTGAGCACCAAGTACAAAGTTAAATCCGTTCATCTTTTCGACTAAAGTCATTGAGTAGAGTGTGTTCCTATTAAGTAACTTGAGTAAATTTGCATACCGTAAATACTGTAATAGTACTCCCCTCGTACAGTCGCGTAGTCGCAAAAGTTTTTTAGTATTTCATTGGTTTTTCAAAGCGCCCGTACTTTCAAAAAAGCGTCTTTGGTACCAAAAAATAGCCCTGAATTTCAGCTATTTTTTGATACCTAAGCGCGCATTGTAGCATAAACCAGTGTCGAGAAAAACGCGTCCAAAGCTAGACTACGCAACACTCCGCACCGTCATTATGGGCGTGGGGTACTATTGCAGTATTTACGGTAAGTAATTTATTACTTCTGTAATGCCTTGAGTAATTGTCAAGTAATGCCATTCTAAAACGTGAAAAAACCATAAAAGCGTCGAAACGGCATTATTCTTAAATTAAAGCGATCAATTTGCTCTCAAGTTGATGGCTACGATGATTTTCGTTTTCGCGCAACTTTTAAAAATACATTACTCGAGAGGAACACACCCTAATTATTATTATTAAAGATATTACCCGTAGCAATTCGGATGACAAAACCCATAGAATGTTGACAAAGAAGAGAAGGAGCAGCCCAATCATTCGTCGACTCATTTTCGTCCGTTGTTGTGGCTGATCCTCGGCACCGCGGAACACCAAATCGGGCTCCTCGGCACTCGGCGAGGGCATCACCCACCCTAGAAATCAAAAATTTAAAAAATATATATAAATTACGAGAAATATGGAATTATTTTGATGTACAATATTTATTATATTAGATTGGCCGATAAGTCTTTAGACATTTAATTTGAAAAGCTATTTTGAAATAGCCAATTCACCGATTGATCTACGATTTGCTCCATTAGAAAGGTCTACTATTTTTCTACAAAATAGCGTTCCATTTTTACGAAAATGTTTTGTCTCTGGTTTTTTATGGGGCCGCGAAGTCGGGTAATTAATAAAGGCTATTTAGGCGTTTTGGTCCACAAAAACCTATGTTGCTGTCAATAGATAAAAGACAGAGCGCAAAAAGTTAGGTATATAGCCGAATTTTCAGAGAAATTTCTTCAAACAATTTCTTCGTTGAGGTTTCTTATAGATTTTTACGAAAAACACGTTTTTTCACTTTCGAATTTGCTTGAAAGTAAGCCGAAATTGTCTTAAAAGATAGAAAAATGAACATATGAACAAAAAGAATAAACATTTTCTAATTGGAGCAAACCATAGATCAATCGGTGGACTTTTCATTTAAAAACAGATTTTTTAAAAGTGTCTAAAGACTTATCGGTCAACCTAATATAAAAAAGCTTCAAAGTTCAACAATTAAAATTAAAAGCTGCTATTTTCACCAAAAATCACCGTTTTCTTGTTAGCCAAAAGCCAAAAAAGAGAAAACAAAACAAATTGTTTTCTGCCAAAAAAACAAAGAGAAGAAAAGGTATAAAACGGAACAAAAAAGGGAAAAAACGTTTAACTGACGAATAGATGTTCTAAGAAAACATGACGGGGGTTCACTCCGCGAAACCATTCAAAAAAGAAAACGGGCTAGACTAATTTCCATTTTATTTGCGCAATTCGTCATAATTTTCTTCTAAGTAGGCCAATCTTTATGGTTTTGTTGTCATTTTGTAGATCTCAATAAGTGCAACAAAATGACAACAAAATCATAAAGATTGGCCTACTTAGAAGAAAGTTATGGTGAGTTGCGCAAAAAAATTTGCGGAAACTAGCCTACCCTAGAAAGAAGCTTGTGGGAGAAAAAAATGAGGAAATGGAGAAAGGGCGATCCCGGCGTAGAGCATCGCATACGGTCCCGTAGTGCCTTTTAGAAAAGCAAAAACGGTGACTTTCTAAAGGTAGGGTGTTAAAACGAGATAATGGTGATTTTCAACAAAAATAGCAATTGTTGAGCTTTTAAACTTGTGTAGTATAAAAATGAAAACGAAAAGGAAGAAGAACGAAAAGAACGAAAAGGAATACAAATTAAGTTAGGAGGGTTCTTTAGTTTAGTTTTATTAAAGTCAAAATTCTTTGGTTTATAGGGTTTTTGGGTTTGTGGGTTTTTTGGTTTGGGGGGTGGTTTTAAAAAAGGCGATGCTTGGCCCTGTTTTTTTGCTGGAAAAGGCCTTAGGAAAGGTCGTAGAGCTTCAAAAATGTTTTCATAGAGGTTTTTTTATCGTAGATTCCGAATTTCGGCAAATTTGACGTGTCAGCGAGGTCTGATTTGTCGAAATTCGGAATCTACGCATACGATTCCCTTCTATGGAAATATTTTCGAAGCTCTACGACCTTTCCTAAGGCCTTTTCCAGCAAAAAAAAGGTGCGCAAATGTCCAGGTGCGCAAAAAAAAGGTCGCATTTGTCCCACCCCAAAAAAACGAATGATTCGGTTTAATAAAGAAACTGAATGATTTAGATTAATAAAAAACTGAATGATCCTCTTGTCGATCAATCCAAAAATCGATCAACAAAGATAAATTCAAGCTCCAATTGTAAAAAGTGTTAGTGCCATGATTCATAATCGAGATTTAGCTTGATAATACTCGGCTACCCTAGAAAAATATGCAAAAAGTAAGGGAAAGTAAAAGAAATTCGATCATAACAATAAATAACAATAATATATAAGATTTATGAATAACAGAAAAAAAAGAGAGTCAGCCTTAGCGCTGAGCCGCTTACTCGTGGAAAAGAACTCAATAAATGCGAAATGAGTTCGGAAACGAGAAATGACTAATGACAGTCTCATTGTGTCTGTATGTCAAAAGGTGTACTTTGTAGAGTCTCTTTCGAAAAAATCTTTTCACTGGTGAAATTTTTTGTGTTCTTTTTTGTGTTCTTTGCTTTGAACATTTGAATTTTTATATATGTTGTGTCCTATTTAGATTTCCGTTCGATTTAGAATAAACTTACGCGAACGCGATGATTACAGTCTATACGGGTCCGATTTGATTCAACCAAATACTTATATAGATTGAACAATAATATAAACATGCTTAATATATGTTCTTAAGCGTTTTCTGTAGTTTTCTGCATTTTTCAAAGGTCTTTTATTGATTACAGTCTATAATTTTTCATTTTTGCGTGTTCCATTAGGCCATAAACATTGCTTGTCTGTTACTGTCTTTTTCTGAAAAGAAAACCCAACTATGAAACAATTTATTAGCGTTAACAGAATAGATGCGAAATTACAACATACAACTAACAAAAAACCAAAAACAACACGGAGTTAAAAATTTCTTAATATATTTTTGCAGCTTAGGCAATTGTGAAATTTTGAATTGAGTCGGCCATCCTTTTGCGAATCGTTTGATGAGCATTTTCCAGCACATTTTCAATGTTTATGGCCTAATGGAACACGCAAAAAATGAAAAATATAGACTGTAATCAATAAAAGACCTTTGAAAAATGCAGAAAACTACAGAAAACGCTTAAGAACTTATATTAAGCATGTTATATATTATTGTTCAATCTATATAAGATTTAGATTGAATCTAAATCGGACACAACATATATTTAAAGTTTTATAATTGAAATGTTCGATAGTTTTATACAAAAAAACTATCGATTATTTCAATGTTTCGATAAAGTACTCTTCAAAGTGTACTTTGTGTTCATTATGTCAAAACTTACGGACTCTTGCCTTTGTCTTAAACTTAGCTATGTTTTTCTTAGCTATAAGTTCTACATTTCGTTAAACCAAGTTTTTAGTGAGAATCCCCTTCTTTAACTTCATCCCAGCATGATATTATTGATATGATATTTCTTCGATTTTTTTTTGTTATTTCTTTGTTTTCTTACAATATAAAGTTCAAAAAATGATAAGGATTTTCGAATTTTCAAATTTTAGAGTACTTGAATATGTTCTTGAAGCGGATCTCGAATTCGTTTCGACAATTTTCTACAAACAAGCTAAAGCCCGCGAATTTCACACCACAAAGGGCAGCTGAATACTTGTCAACTTTTGAGGGAGGAAAAGTCACAATTGAGCTCTATGGGAAGGAATTCCCCGGTAAGTAGACTTTTCAACTTAAAGTGTTTTCTAAAAGGCGCTAAAAAAGCTACCGTATGCCTTTTAGACGGCTTGTATTGTAGCTTCTACACTTCTATAACTATTGGCGTATTATAACTTCTTTACTAAAAGTTTTTTAACGTTTTAGTTGAAGTTATGATAACTTTTCCACGGGGCATTTTATAGAAAGCAAAATTGGGAAAATGGTTTTATAAAAAGCTATTAGAGCTTAAGCCGTTGATGGGCCTAATAGGGTACGGTAGCTTTTGAGAAAGGCTTTAAAAGAGAATACTGTACTTTTTACGGCGTGTTTTATAGAAAACATTAGGGCAAGTCTAGTAGAAGTGCGGTAGCTTTTGAGGAAGGCTTTAGAAGTTACGGTAAACTACGGTAGTTACGATAGTTACGGTAAGCTACGGTGGCTTTCAAATAGACAAAACTACGATAACTTTGAATAGACAGTCTATTCCAGGAATCGCCACACTCACCCTCGACAACCCAACCAAGAAAAACGGCTTAACCGGGTCAATGATGGCCGATTTGCACTATTCGATGGATCGTTTAGAGAAAGATGAACAAAATCTCCGAGCTCTCATCATCCAAGGTTCTAATGGAACCTTTTGCAGTGGCGGGGATCTCGACTTTGTGAAGAAAATCTGCGACTCGGATCATGGCTACATTATGTGTTCCCTAATGAGTCATACATTAACAAGATTATCTCGGCTACCATTCATATCAATCTCGAAAATTGAAGGCTTTGCGCTTGGCGGAGGGGCAGAATTGGCATCAACCTGTGATATTCGAGTAGCACATGCAAAGGCAAAGATTGGTTTCGTTCAGGGTCGAATTGGGGTCACTCCAGGATGGGGCGGACTACCATTCATTGTGCGAAATTTCGGATATTCTCGAGCTCTCGAAGCACTTTGTACTGCGAAAGTCTTCAATTCTTTGGAACTCCAAAAGCTCGGATTTTTGCAAGAGATTTATGAAACAAATGCGGACTTTGAGAAATATTTGAGCAGATATTTGTCGATAGAAGTTGAGCCGATAAAAGCGATGAAGAAAGGAGTGATCGCTTTGCAAAAACGCGATTTGGAAGCGTTTGAGGTGGAGCGACGCGTTTTCGCTTCGCTTTGGGGCGGCGAGTTGCAGAAAGCGTTGTTGAGTGAGAATCGGAAACATAAATGAAATGTGGGAATCTTTTTGTAATGCTAGATTACGGTGGCTCTTGATTACTGTAACTTTAAGCTTCTTAACATAACTTTGAGCTTGGTTACTGTTTATTTTAGAATTTAGACTTGCTTATTAGTTAAGTTCGCGCCAAATAGAAATCACAAAACTGAACATTTGCCATAGTATTTGTTGCTACCTATTTTTCGTCCTTTCTACCGTATTGCCTTTTCTATTCTGCATTGATTTTTACGGATAAGCAAGTTTACTGTAAATTGAACTCATTCATCGATAATGTTTAGCGCAAAATATAAAACGGGTACGATAGAAGAAGTTACAAAACGGACAATTTTTAAATTCAGTCATGCTTTCTATTTGGCGCTAACTTTATCTACTGTAAATATTCACTAGAAAAGATGATTCTTATATTTTTTGGGTGTCAAGGTTTTATTTTGGAGCTTTTTGAAATTGTATAGGGTCAATGCACATGCTATGGCAGGCATTTTTAAATAGTCGGCTGTTTCTTATTCTTATTGCGAGCTCAAAGTGCCATAGCAGTTCTATATAAAAGCCCATCTTCTACAGATTCTTCTGGAACCCGTAATGAAAAGCGGGATCATACGCGAGAAAACTCATATTTTGTTAAAAACCGACAAAACGACAAGAACAAATTATAGCGAATTGTCGAAATGTCCCTTTGCTGAAATTGGGTCCTCCCAAAGAAAGTTTTAAATTAGATGCTATTCAATTCATAGGCTGAATATCTTCAGCTTGTTTTTTTATAAAACAAATTTTCTTGAAAATTTATCATTGCTCACTAATTGTTTGTTACAAAATTCCCTTCATTTTCTTGGATTTTCGCTTTTTCGGGTCTATTTCATTTGTTTTCTATTTTATTCCTTATAAATTTAATGTTTTTACAGACAGCGCTCTGCTAAACAAAGATGGTGCGCGTTATCATCAAGGGAGGTGTTTGGAGGAACACTGAGGTGGGTTTTATTTTACTTTAAAGGTTCTTAACAATGAGACGAGTGTGGTGATAGTTTAGGTTTACGATAGCATCTTAGTTTATGTGAATATACACATGTAATCTTCAAATCTTTGAATGTATAGTTGAAGCCTTTTGTAAATGATGCATTTAAACGTTGAATTTGAAAGGCTGCTACTTATAGATTACAATGACCGTTTTTATTCAAATTTTATCAAATGGTAACAAAAAAAGTGGTAAACTTAAACGGTTTTTACTAATAAGTTGATTATTTTTGCCATGGCGGAACCGCGCAATTCTAAGGGTTGGGGTACCCGTGCGGTATACCACCCCCTCCTAGTATCGCACGGCTCCCCAACTTTGCACGATCCCCCAGTCGAAAAGTGCTTTCAATCAAGAGGGCAACTATATGATAAATAAAAAATAGTACAAACTCTTCAAAAAGGCCATTATTCGTATATTTGAAAAACGGCCAGTGCAGTCGATAAGTACCGAAAGGCTTTACTGTAGACGACTAGTAAAGCCAAAAACTAAACAATTAGTTTAAAAGCTAACTTTGCTCTTGAAACAAATCAATATTTTTTTCAGGATGAAATCCTCAAGGCGGCGATTATGAAATATGGCAAGAATCAGTGGAGTCGAATCGCCTCTTTGCTGCACAGAAAATCGGCTAAACAGTGCAAAGTTTATTTGGTTGTAGTTGTTGTGAAACTTTAACATTTTAGGCTCGATGGTTCGAATGGTTGGATCCTTCAATCAAAAAGACGGAATGGAGTCGCGAAGAGGATGAGAAACTTCTGCACTTGGCCAAGTTGATGCCTACACAATGGCGAACGATTGCTCCGATCGTTGGTCGTACAGCCACACAATGTCTTGAACGGTTGGTTTTAGCTATGATAATTAATTATTTTATTTATTAGTTATTGCAAATGCTTGCAAACTTTTTCGAAAATAAACTTTGTGCTAACGTTTTAATCCATTCTTAATTATTTTATTTATTAGTTATTAGAATTAGTTAGATTTTTATTTTAGTTATGAACAACTTCTGGATGACGCTCAACGAAAAGCCGAGGGACTCGACGATGAGGCGGTTGAAGCACGGAAATTGAAGCCGGGCGAGATCGATCCAACGCCAGAAACGAAGCCTGCCCGTCCCGATCCGATTGATATGGATGATGATGGTAAAAGTTGATATTCGATGTTTCAAATTAATTTTTAGAGCTTGAAATGTTATCTGAAGCACGCGCTCGTCTAGCGAACACACAGGGTAAAAAGGCCAAGCGTAAGGTTTGTACTGGCTTACATTATTTGAATCATTGATTGGTTTAGGCTCGTGAACGTCAACTTAGCGAGGCGAGGCGTTGTGCATCTCTGCAGAAACATCGAGAGCTGCGGGTATTTTAAGCAATGAGTTTTCCTAACTCTGAAACTTTATAGGCTGCTGGAATTGCTGTGTCAACGCACAAATTTGTGAGGCGAAATGTTGTGGATTATAGTTCAGAGGTAAATTAATTTTTTCTTTTCAATTAAACTTGAAAGTTTAGGTTCCATTTGAAAAGCCGGTACCTGCAGGATTTCACGATCCAGGCATTGATCAATTTACCGACGAGGATAAGACAAAATTGGTAAGTGACCGCTCTTTTTTAGAGAAATCCTTTGTTCAAGGCTATTGATGATCATCGCCGAAAAACTGGACGTGAAATCGAAAATGAAGCTCGACGTACCGACCGAGATAAGCTGAAGAAACGAAAGTAAGTAGGGGAAACTTATGGCCGTGTAAATTTATATTTTAGAGCTGAAGAGGATGCTTCTGGGAAAGTGTTTGAGCAACGTGAAAAGAAGAGAAGTGAGTATTTAATGAATTTTATTTAATGTACTCTTCTTTGTCTTAGGCAAGTTGATCCTACCGTCTCCTCAAATCAGCGAAAAGGAACTGGAAGAAATCGTGAAGATAGGACACGCGACAGAAGCAATCAGCCAATATGCGGACGAGGCGCCAACATCGGGTCTTTTGACTGACTATGTGGCTTCGGCGCGCGCTAATGCGGCCAATGCGAGAACTCTGCGGACACCAGCTAATCATCGAGACACTATTGAGAAGGTATGTTGATTTGTGAAGTATTCTGAATTAATGAGATTAAAATAGACAATTTTTTTAAGCCCAAGCAACTTTGTATTATTTTACAAAAAAAAACATAGAAGCAGTTCATCCCAATTGCTTTATTTTAGGAAGTGCACAATCTTCTGGCACTTCAAAATACGGAATCATCGTTGAAAGGAGGAATCAACACGCCACTTTACGAAAGTAGCTTGGGTACGGGCGTCACGCCGGTTCGACAGTCAATGGAAACGCCAAATACCGTCCTTCAATCACTTGCCGCCACACCGGGAACACAAACGTTTGGTCGTACGTTCGACTTTGAAAATCAAATTTAATTTTGAATTTAGGGACACCGGGCGCAACTCCAGTTGGAGCGACCCCAACTCCGTTCAGAGATCAAATGGGTATTAATCAACCGGGAATGGATGGTATTTCTTTAGTTTAAGGTGTATCTAATGCTAACTTTAGGTATGGAACAGAAAGCCGAGCTGCGACGAGCCCTCTCAAGCTTGCCTCATCCTAAAAACGATTTCGAGATTGTGGCACCCGATGAAGAAGGCGAAGTGTTAGTTTTTTTACTAACAACTTGCAAAAATATGATCCTTTAGAAAAGAAGAGGAGGAATCGGAAGCCGAATGGGTTGAGGATGCCGAGGATCGGAAGGAATCTCGTGCCAAGGCTCGTGCAGAAGCTCGTTTGCGAGAATTGCAGCAACGAACAAAAGTTGGATCCATTGATCTCGCAAATAGAATTGAAAGTTCAGGTTATCCAACGTAGCTTGCCTCATCCGTCAAAGTACAATGATCAAGCTTTCAAGGAATCTTTAACCAAAGGCGATTTTATTAAGGTACGTTATTAATGTTTAGCTCTTAACAAGGAAAATTTAGGCGGATAACCTGGTTAAAGCTGAAATGGCTGAACTGGTGCGTTGGGATGTAGAAGGAGTTAAGCCACAAGAAGGGTTTTCTCCAGAAGAACTGGCTCAAGCGGAGCAAATGATCAAGTGCGTCAAATTAATCAATTTTGTATATTGACTCTGTTTAGAGACGAATTGGACGCAGGTCCTCCACTTGATGAAAAAATGTGGGATGCAATTGAGCAAGTCTCTTCTGAGCTTGTCCCATTCCGCGGAAAGCTAACTCGTCTTGGCGCTCTGAAGCGAGAGGATCAAATTGAAGCTCTAACGACACAGTTCAACGTAAAACTTTGTATATAATCAATGCGGAACAGAATTTTAGACTGCACGAGATTGGATGACGGCGAAGGCAAAGAAAACAGGCAAAGTCGAGAAGCGGGTGAAAGTGAAGTTGGGCGGATACAATGCGATTCACGCAAGTCTTGTGCAAAAGATTCAAGATCGACAAACGGATATTGAGTACACGTCGATTGAGCTAAGCACTTTCAAGTAAGTTCATATTTTTTTACGTCTTACTTTTTTACGATCAATTCTTTTCAGGAGGTTAGCTGAGCATGAAGAAAAGGCCATTAATAAACGTGTCGGTAAGATTACCGACGAGGTCCGACGCCAAGAGGACCGTGAACGAGGGCTCCAGAAAACTTATCAAGAGCTATTACAAACCCAGCGCCTTCTTGAACAGGTTTTTTTACTAGTTTTAATTAGAGCGTATGCATAAACAAAGTTCTTATTTTTTTTATTCAATGACGTTTTTAGTACAAGATCCGTGAAAATGCTACTACAACAGCCGCTCCCGTCAGCTATAAAGAAGCGTCGCAAACAGTTGAATAAATTCCCGGTCTCAAAGTTGTTATTTTTATTTATTGTTTCTGATTCTCGAAAATGTTCTGTTGTTTCACTTTTTGTGTTAGTATTGTTGTCTCTTCAAATAGTTAATCTGTTTTGCGATCGAATGGAAATAAACGATTTTTTTCACTAAACATAAACCTGCACGCAATAAATAGTAAAAATACAAAACATTCAAAGGCAAGGCACGATAGAAAGAACCGACTGGGATGTATTGTTTGGTTTGAGGAGACCTTTTGAAAACGCCCTCATCCAAGCTTGCTGAGGAACATCGATGTTACCTAAAATTTCAATCGTTTTCCTTTTCTTGTGCTTTTGTTTTTGAACACTACAAGATAAAATATTTATCGATACAAAAGAAATCAACAAAATCAGATATGTGTTACTCGTACGCTCTGAAGTAGGGATTTTAAATTTTCGGGGAATGAGCTTCGTTTGTTAATTGAATCGGAAGGCAAATTGTTAATTGAATTTTTGATATCACAATTTAGAACGGCACAAAAATATGCGATATGCGTTAACTTAGAAGGGCTGAAAATGGGAATAAAATTTACTGCTAGGCTAGTTTTATTATAACAACTTATTTTTTATTTACATCTTCAAAGAAAAAACCATTGATAGAAAGCTTTCGTAGTCGATCGTAATAACTCCATCTCGATCCTGATCCTTGTCACGGAAAGCGGCGGTCAAAGTCTAAAAACTTGAATGAATTAAATTTATAGGAGAAAAACTACCTGGAGAACGACACAAAGTTGAATAAAATCGTCGAAGTTTATGCTTCCTTGGTGAGTGCGATCGAACTTGGTCATCAAGATGTTGTAGAAGCGATCCGAGAGGCGATAACCTAAATTCACACATTGTTTAAGTCACAAAGAAGTCATATTCTTTGAAAATCACAAAGCTAAATACTTACCAAATTGTGTCAACGCAGTCTGCAGCTCTCTTCGGTCGATGTTTCCCGAGTTGTCCTGATCAAAGCCGCGGAAGCAGTTTGTCCAATCGTTGATGTAGTTCCAAAGGGCCTAAAAGATCATAGAATTAAAAAGATAAACAAATATCTACCTGAAACTCGGGGAAGTTGATAGCGCCATCGCCATTTGAATCGAACATTCCTAAAAATAAAAACTTATTCGCAAAACATTCGTTAATCACTAAGCGTTGAAAAAAAAGCAAGTTAACGAACCGATCATAAGCCGACAAGTCTCCGGATTGAATGGGTTCCACGTGCCGTTGCTGAGCGCTCGTTGAAGCTCATCGGCTGAGATTTGACCCGAACGATCTCTGTCAACCTAAAAATAAAATAATTAACCAAGGTTCATTAACAATTTTCTAAAAAAGATTATATTCAAAACTTTACTCACCGAAGAGAAGATGCTCTGAAGATTTGGAGCAGCCATGTAGGAGGCAGGAGGTCTAAAATGAAAATGTTTCCTTTAAAAAAGGTGCTATCAAGAACAATGAAAGTGGGCAAAACTTGGTAAAAATAACTATTTAAAACTTGCTCCAAGTTATCTTATATCCGTCCCCCGGGAAGCTTTAATAGCAAAAAAAAATGCGGAGTTGAGATAGACTATGGGTTTCAGAGAGACCCAAAGCTAACGAAAGGACCTAACTTTGAGTATCGATGAGTCATTGGGGTGCCCGCTTGCAAATACAGCTAAACTATTTTTGACGTCAACAGCGCGTAAGAAAACGTTTAAATCCACGTGACTTTGTGACGAAATAGATCTATTTCGCAATTTTTTGGTGATAAAAAAGATTTGTAATCAAAAATTTCGATTAACATTAACGCAAAAGATTTCAAATATTGCCAAAACGATTCGATAACGGGGAAGAATTTGTTGGCTCAAGGATTAGAATTTCTATACGTGAGAGGGGAAAAAGCAAGCAAAGGCTGGCCCGTTTTGCGAGCTGATCTTTAGAGAATTGTGTAGTTAACTCAAACAACGAACCTTCCAAAGTTTGGCTGATACATTTTAGAGAATTTGTAAAATAGAATAAAGTTGTGAAAAATCTAACTGAAAATCGAACAAATGTGCTTATCGGTTGAGCAATTTTGTTGTGGAAAAGGGGGGAAAGGGGCGGCCGCTTTTCTGCAATGAGTCATTTTTCTCTCCAAAAACAAATAGAAAGGAAATAAAGCGTTAGGGCTGTGTTACGGATTTTGAATTTTGCCGAGAAAAGCACGTTCCCGGAATTACCCGCTAAGTGGTAACACCCCTTTCTATTTGGAAAGGGATTTGAGTTGTTTTACGCTGCTTACTATCAAACTTTGAAAAGTTTAGAAGGGATCTAGTTAGAACAGCGCCAAAAAATTGCGCGGCGCTGAAATGAACGGCGCTGAGTTGTAGGGTGCTGAAATGAACGACGCTGAGATGCACGGCGCTGTATTTTTTGCGCTGCTCTAACTACATCCCGTTTCGTGTCTAATTAGGATCTCGCAAGAAAATTTGACACTTTTTTCTTGCAATAATATTCTGCGCCAGCGCCAGCATTGTTTAGTTTACTATAAAACACAAAGCCTTACCAGCTTCACAAAATTTTTGCATAAGGGCGCATAAGGGAACGTTTGCAAAACCACAACAAAAATTAAAGGCACAACGTTTGCAAAACCCCCGTGTTTCCCTCCCTTCTATTGGACTAGCTTTGCTCTAAACACACGTTTTTCATTGACTGTTTTGAAGCTAATTGCAAGATTGAAACAAATTTGTAAAGTAACGGTCGATAAATAGAAAAGGAAAGTTTTGCCTTTGTTTACTATTAGCTATTCTAATCTTTCGAAGACATATCAAAGTTTTTCTTTGGGAGTGAAAGTGCAGTCTAGCCACATGGGAATTTTTAGCATCAACATACTTGACCAAATGACGGAAATCGATTTGAATCGGTGTTTTTAAGTGAACAGTTCTATCCTTTGTTGACTTTTAGAAATTTTGTAATGCCTTTTTAAGCGTTAGATAGCACGATTATGTATTTTAAAGTTTAGAATGACCGAAGAAATCTACCAAAGCGCTCTGGTGACTCGCTACTGTCGGAATTCGCCGATTTTGCGTTTTCATAGCGAGAAGAACAAAGTGAGTTTTTTGAAAAGCTAGTTACTTGATAATAATAAAGCGTTTTAATACCCGTTATAATATAGTTTTATTATTTAAGGCTGTTCTCTGGCGACAATTATGGATTTGGCTAGCTGAAGCAGAACAAGAGCTTGGTCTCAAACAGGTAAACAATTTTGACCTTTTTTCAAAAAAGACTAATTATTAAGATTTCAACTGAAGCGATTGACGAGATGAAAGCAAAAAGAGATCAAGTCAACTTTGACGAGATTCGATCCGAAGAAAGACGGCTCAAGCACGATGTGATGGCGCACAATCATGTTTTTGGAAAAGTTGGTGATTTGATAATTTCCAATACATTTTTGGGTACTAATAAAGTTCGCGAGCCACTTTGACGACGTCAGACCCTATTTTTACGCGTTTTTTCTAGTATGGTTTTGCATTTTCTGGGGTAATCAAACGTGCTGAATCTATTGATGATATTTTTAGAGAGTTTTGAACAATTTTTATTGATATTTTGTTGCGCTAGCTAGAGTCTAACCATTGCAGTGTGGCTAAGCATGAAAGTGGAGAAAAGAGTGAAATAGAAAGCGAAAATTTGTTTAAAATACCCTAAAAATATTGGCAATCGATTAAGCATATTTTATTACCCCAGAAAAGTAAAATCACACTGGGAAAATGGTCAGAAAAATACGATCTAACCAAGCCGGATCAAAGTGCTCCCCCCCCGAATTTTATTAGTACCCAATTTTTTATCAAACAACTTTTCTCAAGTTATGTTTTAGCTCTGCCCAAAAGCTGCAGGCATTATTCATCTTGGCGCCACCTCGTGCTACGTTCAGGACAACGCTGATCTCATCGTAATTCGTGACTCAATTGATCATTTACTAAAACGGTAATTTCTCTTTTTGACTCAAATTTTGCTATCTTCAGATTTGCCACTTGTCTTCAAAGGATGGCCACATTTGCTGAGCAACATAAGGACACCGTTACTGTCGGTCGAACCCATTATCAGGTAAAGTTTTGAGTAAATTCATTTTAATCCAGCGCAATGCTTTCAATTTCTTTTAGGCGGCCTCTTTGGTAACGGTTGGCAAGCGAACAGTTCTCTGGGCACAAGAAATGGTTATGGCTTTGGAGCAGGTAATGCTTTTATTCACAAGAACAACATCAGTTTACGATTTATTTACAGAACCCATTTTTTAAAATCCCACAATGTCATCAGAGTTTGAACTAAAAGTAGAAAACTAATGAAAACAAAAAATGTAAAACCTAAGGCAAGCGTTCCAAAGTCGTATTCGGGCACGTCGAGGCTCCCGTCGTATCCATGAAAAAGTCCGAATCGACCGAACAAGGCGAAGAAGATGACTAAATTGAAAAGAACAAGTAGATAATCCGCACTGATTGCCTTGAAACCATTAAAAAGCTTACTTGACGAAATGAACGGCCGATGGTCGAACGCTGTTCAACAAAAGCAGGAAGAGGCAGTCGCACGGGAGAGACAACGGAAGTCGTCTAACAAATAAAGCTTTACTCTTCAATATTCAAATTTAGGGGAAAATTTTAGCTTTTGGGTAATTTAACTTTTCCTATGGCTAGATTTTCAGTAGATTCGGGGAAACGAGACAAAAACTGACTCTGTGCTTCTTCACCTCAGGTCCCGGTGTCTGCTTGAATTCGGTGGGTGTCATCTCGGCTCGAGTCGGATCCGATGCAGAGGTGAACGAGCACTCCACGGATAAACGTTTCCGCGTTCCCGAGCGCGAGCTACTCTAAAGTGGAAACGTCTTGTATTTTACAATTTTGAAATCCTTTAAGATAAGCAAGTTCATTTAAAAGTAAGCAAGACTGCAACAAACCGTTCTTCGGCTTTCCTCGTGTTGTTTCTTTGTCGCCTAAAAACAAGTTCACAATAACCTCGAAGATAAAAAAATACCATATGGCGTCCTTCAATTCCTTCGATCAACACCTGAACGGCGTCAGTGTTGTTGTTGAGAAACATCTGGCGTTTGTCCAAAAGTTTTTCAAGGTCTTCGAGCTAAACAAGAAATAGGTTAACAAGCAAAAAATCTCCTACGTGAGCAATCTCGTCCTCGATGTTATTCTGCCAGATGTGCAAATTGTTCCAGAGCTCGTTGTGTGCTTGATTGGCAATTGCGACGGTCTAAATAAAGCAAGAATGTTGTAGAAGATTTAAATGTTACCTGTCCGGCCCGATGATGTAAAGCGATTGAAAAGTGATTTGTTTCTTCACGATCTCCATGCGACTGCTCTCCATGGATCCCTTCTCGAAGAAATGTCAAAGCTGTCTAGAAAATTTGAACAATTAAAATAATTTCAAAGAGAAAACTAACCTTGAAGCGGCCATGATCGACTTCCATGAAATTCGAATGTGAAGACCAGTTTAGAGGAACAGTAGAATAAGAAATGACATGAGCGGGGATCTGTCCACACCAATTTACAGAATATATGCAAATTTGTCAAAATTAAAATTTTTTTGGTGCTCACACTCAAATTTAAATGTAAATTTTAGCTCGAGCATTTCCGCAATACTATGCGCTTCCGTGGAGTCAAGGGCGCTACCGGAACTCAAGATTCGTTCATGACGCTTTTTGGTGGGGATGAGGATAAGGTCCGTGGCTAATTTGGGGATTTTTTTATTGTTTGACTTTAGGTTGAAACTCTCGACGAATTGGTAACAAAGAAGGCTGGTTTTACGCAGCGTTTCTACATTTCAGGACAAACGTATTCGAGACAATTGGTAAGCCTTTTAATTGCAAATTTGTTTAATATGCTATTATAGGACATTCAACTTCTGAATGCTCTTGCCACTTTCGGCGCTGTGACGACAAAGATTTGCAAGGATATTCGGATCTTGCAAGCCAACGGAGAACTTCTAGAACCCTTTGAGAAAGTAAAATCGTTTGATCTTTAGAAATTTAACAATTTTAGGATCAAATCGGGTCTTCTGCCATGCCGTACAAGCAAAATCCGATGAAGAGTGAACGAGTGTGCTCGCTTAGCCGCTCACTGATGAACATGGCTTCTGTAAGTTTCGTAAAACAAAATTGTTATTTGTACTTGGGTAAATAAATATCTTTAGGAATCTCTTGCTACGTTGGCAGATCAAGGTTTCGAGAGGACACTTGACGATTCGGCTTGTCGGCGACGTTACATTCCCGAAAGTTTCCTTCATGCAGAGGCCATTTTTAACACTTTGCAGGTTAGGCACTTTAATAATACGATCTAATACAATCTCCTTTTAGAATATTTTCGAGGGATTGACCGTCAAGAAGCAAGGAGTTGAGAAAGTTGTCGAAACAGAGCTTCCCTTTCTCGGGTTGGAAAAAGCAATGATGTTTTTGACTGAAGAAGGCGTGGATAGGCAGAAGGTTTGTTTTTATTTTGCAATTGACAATATTGAGATTTAGGCTCATGAAAAAATTCGTGAAGTGGCTTTAGCTGCCAAAGAAGGCCAACAAGAGCACAAAGTTAATATGACAGAAATGCTAGAAGATCCATTCTTCGATAAGGTACTTTCAAAGCTGAAATTTGATATTTAGTGAGTTTAGGTTCGTGATCGTGTGCTTGCTCTTGTTTCACAGCCACTCAACTTCACTGGGCGTTGTGTTTCGCAAACGGTGGGTCAGACTGTAAATTTTTTTGCATTACGAGTTCTAGGTCCGTTACATCAATGAGAACATCAAGCCAATTGTCGAGAAGTATCATGCTGTAGAAAGTGACCAAAAAGTGCAATTGGATGTTTAGCAGTTTGTGATTATCTTTTGCATAGTTTTTTATCAAGCTTGCCATAAAATAGTGATTCTTTTTTTCTGGTTGTAATGTTGTGATATTGAGATTAGCGACGTGTCTTAAGTTGAATTGTTTTGGTGCTTTTGTGTAATAAAGGAAATGTATAGCCTTTAAAAAAGCAGGCAATGACGTAAAGACGAAAGTAATATTTTACATTTTTACAGGAAAAATAAATATTTTATTTTTTAGAATGGAGCACTCCTCGATCGAGTCATACGATTACACAAAATGTTATTGTGAGGAGAACATTTATAAGGTTTTATTTTGAAAATTAAAAAATTAAGACCAAAATTATCGTTTGAGGAAAGAGCTTACAAGGGAATGACACCAGTTTGAAGTTCAGAATAGCTTCGTGTCCGAGTGCATCTTATAGAATCGGCTATGCTGATTCTGAATCTGTAAAAATTAGCTACAAAAATCCACGCAAGAAAATAGAAAGAAAATTCCCTTAAAAAAATAGGCATAGAAAATTTCCTTAAATTTTGGGCTCTCGGGGCACCGGGACAACCACAAAGAAACATTTCAACGGCTTCGGTGGTGGAAAGTAGAAAGTCTGCTAGCCTGCTGAACTTATGAAGTCTTTTGGCATTAGTTCCAGTTCCATAGGTCCAAATTTTTTTTTGCATTTTAAAAAAATCATTTGATGATGAGTTTGCAATGAATTTTTTAACTTTATATACAATTTAGCTCCGTATTTACGGAAGCATTTCTTCACACATTTTCTAATTTATTATAAGGTAAGCTAATAAACTTTGAGAAGCAGAAAAATACGCTTTGTCATTTGTAGATAAAAATCTTTGTTTTCTTTTCTTCTTACCTTGGATTGAATTATGCCTGTTAATAATACATTTCCAGGAGCAATGTTGATCCGGAACAAGTGTTGCTGCATTTAACTGCTGCTCTACCCATTTTAAGTACAATGAGATTTTTAACAAGTTTCTAAAACTGGTCCAACGATCCAAGATTAAATACAGCTCATTGAGATATCCAGAGATAAAAACGCATTTCTCAAAAAATTTCTCCATCAGTTCAATTCCCATAATGTGAGTTTTCCCGACTTCAATCACCAAATTTTCGGCTTGAAAACATCCTCTTGTGGGAGTTGTCCAGTTGGTTCAGCTTTGCAACAAAGCAACAAACAGTTTTGGCCATAAATCGCCATTTGCAGAGGTAATTGGGAGCTATGCAGAGCTATATTTTGGAGTTTACAGATTCAGAATCAGCATAGCCGATTCTATAAGATGCACTCGGACACGAAGCGTTTCTGAACTTCGAGCTGGTGTCACATTCCCTTATTAGTTAAATGACTACATTCTACATTAATTTTTTAACTACAGTATGAATTTAGTTATGTGCAAGGATTCCCAAAGAGAAACTCGGTCATTTTCATGTCGCCTTTTTATCCAACGAGAATAGAGCGTTTCCAATCTTTGACCAGGTTTGTACAAGGTTTTACTTTTCTTAAAAAATGCAAATCTTGAAAAGTCATCTGTGACATAATTTTTAGTCAAATAGCTGGAAAAGCTAGATCTAATCTAAAGCTAATATCTAAAAACCCAAGGATTGGAGACGGAAATTATTTTATCAAAGTTTTTTAGAAAACGGCCAAGCAAAGACCATACGTCATCTGGGATTACCATGTGATACTAATCGAGAAAAGGGATAAACCAAATACTTCACAAGTGGGTAATTGATCTTTAAAAAAAACTCGCTTGAATTTTAAAACAAAGGTTCACATTTTTTATAGGTTTTTGACTTTGACACCACACGTCCATTTCCAACTTCGTTTGCCGATTACTGCAAATATTCATTTCCATATGAGGTTTAAAAGCTTGGTGTGATTCTAATTAACCCTTTTAGTATGTATTTCCTCCCGAGTACACTCGATATTTCCGGATTATTGACGCTGAGGCGTATTTAAAACAATTCTCTAGTGACAGGTTTGTATTACAGTTGAACTTCGATATAGCGAATGGCTCGGGACCGAAAACTTTGATATAACGAACCTAAAACGTGCCTTAAGTGCCTCAAATGCCTCAAATTTTCTGCGTAACTGCCGTGGACGGCCATTGATTGCATTTGGCTCTGGCAGCTACGCAGAAATTTTGGGCACGTTTTAGAATTTCAAATTTGTTGAAAGTTAAGTTTTGTAAGTTAAGTTTCTTTTAGCTAAGTATATCGAAGTTCGGTTGTATTTTTAATAGTGAGTTTGCCGAATGCCGAATGCAGTTTGCCGAACATTAATCACATTATTTGGATTTTTTAGGAGGCACATGAAAAAAGAGGATGGTTCTTGGATGTCCGAACCACCGAAATGGGAACCGATCTATCGAGGAGAGGCTGGTTAGTGGATTTAGATCATAAGAAACAAATTTCTACTTATAAGAAACAAATTTCAAACTGACATATTAACGTCCTTTTCGCCATATCTTACCTTCTTTTTGAAAGTTTTTTTCATTTAGGCCACAACTTGGACGATTTCATCTCGATGAGCCCCGATTCATCGACGGCAAGCTACTCGCAAGTGGTCGATGAAACGGATTTTGTGCAATATTTTTCGTAATTTTTTAATTTCTAGAGAAATTGATTAGGTTGCTGCTGTGTGATAATTTTTGGGTGCTGTAAATTGTACATTTTTTGGGAAGGGAGAAAGAGAGAAAAGCAATGACAGTATGGTAAACAGGGACAATAAGAGGACGATTATGAGAATGGCCCGATTTGAACAGGTAAAGCCAAAGATGAGAGTCAAAGGAAAAATCTTCATTTCTAGTTTTCGAGTCGAAAGTCGAAAGTCCAAAATCAGCAGAAATTCTTCAGCGAAGATGATTAGAAAATTTCGAATTTCTTCAATAAAGTGAGTAAATTGTGGCATCCAATAATGCGCATCTTTAAAGTAAAGTTAATGGAGTAAAGTCTCCAGTTAATGGAGAATTGCACCAATTTCTCACCTTGCTTTTGCAAAAATCGACAATTTACGCTTTCGGTGTAGAGTGTTTTCCTAAAATGCACCTATTTTAGAAAACTGCCGTACTCAAACCGCCAGTTTTCATTCGATCAGCCCAATTTTTGTATCATTCGATGAGGAATCACAAGCCTCAGTCAATGATATCAAAATTGGGCTGTTTGAAGGAAACTGGTAGTCGGATTATGGTAGGTTTTCTAAAGTGGGGGTCTTTTAGAAAACGCTTTACCCACGAGGAACACACTCTAGTCATTACAGTAAGTTCCACTAGAGTAAAGCACTTTCTAAAAAGTGTCAACTTTCGAAAGCTACCGTAATCTTGTAATTTTGATCTGAGCTATCTCGTTTTACTGCTATTCGTTTTACTGCGATAACTTTCGCGAACCCTCACAAAATCAGAACAAAGTAAATAGATTGGATGAAAAATAAGATTACGATATTTTTTGAAAGTTGAAACATTTTAGAAAACGCGGGCTGTATTGACATAAAACCGATAGCGGAATATGAAAACGAGATCGACTAGGGGAGTGGGACAAATGCGATCTTTTTTTTTGCGCACCTGGACATCTGCCATTTGACATTTGTCCCACCCCCATCGACTAGATAAAAATTACAGCTTTCGAAAGTGCTTTAATCTAGCAGAACTTACTGTAATGACTAGAGTGTGCTCCTTGTACTTGTAAAAATTTTAATTTTAACAAATTTGCATATATTCTGTAAATTGGTGTGGACAGATCCCCGCTCATGTCATTTCTTATTCTACTGTTCCTCTAAACTGGTCTTCACATTCGAATTTCATGGAAGTAGATGATGGCCGCTTCAAGGTTAGTTTTCTCTTTGAAATTATTTTAATTGTTCAAATTTTCTAGACAGCTTTGACATTTCTACGAGAAGGGATCCATGGAGAGCAGTCGCATGGAGATCGTGAAGAAACAAATCACTTTTCAATCGCTTTACATCATCGAGCCGGACAGGTAACATTTAAATCTTCTACAAGATTCTTGCTTTATTTAGACCGTCGCAATTGCCAATCAAGCACACAACGAGCTCTGGAACAATCTGCACATCTGGCAGAATAACATCGAGGACGAGATTGCTCACGTAGGAGATTTTTTGCTTGTTAACCTATTTCTTGTTTAGCTCGAAGACCTTGAAAAACGTTTGGACAAACGCCAGATGTTTCTCAACAACAACACTGACGCCGTTCAGGTGTTGATCGAAGGAATTGAAGGACGCCGTATGGTATTTTTTTATCTTCGAGGTTATTGTGAACTTGTTTTTAGGCGACAAAGAAACAACACGAGGAAAGCCGAAGAACGGTTTGTTGCAGTCTTGCTTAATTTTAAATGAACTTGCTTATCTTAAAGGATTTCAAAATTGTAAAATACAAGACGTTTCCACTTTAGAGTAGCTCGCGCTCGGGAATGCGGAAACGTTTATCCGTGGAGTGCTCGTTCACCTCTGCATCGGATCCGACTCGAGCCGAGATGACACCCACCGAATTCAAGCAGACACCGGGACCTGAGGTGAAGAAGCACAGAGTCAGTTTTTGTCTCGTTTCCCCGAATCTCGTGAAAATCTAGCCATAGGAAAAGTTAAATTACCCAAAAGCTAAAATTTTCCCCTAAGTAGTTACCCTAAATTTAAATATTGAAGAGTAAAGCTTTATTTGTTAGACGACTTCCGTTGTCTCTCCCGTGCGACTGCCTCTTCCCGCTTTTGTCGAACAGCGTTCGACCATCGGCCGTTCATTTCGTCAAGTAAGCTTTTTAATGGTTTCAAGGCAATCAGTGCGGATTATCTACTTGTTCTTTTCAATTTGGTCATCTTCTTCGCCTTGTTCGGTCGATTCGGACTTTTTCATGGATACGACGGGAGCCTCGACGTGCCCGAATACGACTTTGGAACGCTTGCCTTAGGTTTTATATTTTTTGTCTTCATTAGTTTTCTACTTTTAGTTGAAACTCTGATGAAATTGTGGGATTTTAAAAAATGGGTTCTGTAAATAAATCGTAAACTGATGTTGTTCTTGTGAATAAAAGCATTACCTGCTCCAAAGCCATAACCATTTCTTGTGCCCAGAGAAGTGTTCGCTTGCCAACCGTTACCAAAGAGGCCGCCTAAAAGAAATTGAAAGCATTGCGCTGGATTAAAATGAATTTACTCAAAACTTTACCTGATAATGGGTTCGACCGACAGTAACGGTGTCCTTATGTTGCTCAGCAAATGTGGCCATCCTTTGAAGACAAGTGACAAATCTGAAGATAGCAAAATTTGAGTCAAAAAAATCAGAGTGATAAACGAACAACTCTACAATCAATACTCTCTAGAATGATAAATTAAGGTCCGAAACTTTTACGGTAACGAAAGCATTAACATTTTCGTGGGTGTTGGTCGTTTTGTGGTCTTTCTATGGGTCTTTCCTTTTTTTGAAATTCGAGCGACCGCCCTCGTTTTGTTAAAGGAAAAAACACAGACAGAGGTGAAAAGTTTTCCCCTGAAAAAGTCGACGACACACATCTCGTGCTTCTCTTCAACAATCTCTCTCTTTTTTCCCCATCCACCCACCCGTTATTCTGTTATTTACCGATTTGCCTATTTACCGATGTCTGCTCAATGCATTCATAAACCATTTTTTTTACTTTCATTTGCAAAAGCTATACTATTTTATAGTTTGGCGATAACTTGGCTATAATTTTATAGTTTCAGGGTTCAATATGTAAACGAATTCTTTCTGGTGGACTCAATTTTGCGTTCTTTTTATGCCTGCTATGAGAAGAATGAAGAATTCAATGCAATAGAAAAGATTTGTTTCAACTTTTAAGCATAGACAATGAATTCAATCTCATGACCATTTATGCACTTTTTCTTTCTTTCTTTCTTTCTTTCTTTCTTTCTTTCTTTCTTCCTTGTCTTCCCTATTTCTTTTTGGGTAACGAGGACGTCAATAGCTCAGTGGTAGAGCATCTGCATGGGAAGCGGAAGATCGTGGGTTCAATTCCCGTCGATTCCAAATTCTTTGCCATTCATTTCTTTACTTTATTACAATTATAGCATTACTTATTACAATTACAGCATTGCTGATAGAATTGCGTTGACTAAATTATTGTACGTTGACAGAGCAGTTTTTTATAAAGTGTTTTCCTCGCGAGTAATGCGTTTTTTAAACTCGGGAAAAACTTGGGAACTTGGGGAAAAAATTACCGTACTTATTGCAAAAAAATGACGCAAAAATGACGAGCCACGCATTATATACGACACTTTTTAAAGATACTCAGCCGTTTAACTGATTTGGTCGGAAATTCCCTTCCAATGTAAAAACAGATTTTTTTTTTGAAAAACCTGCGTATTTAAAGATATTCAGTTATTTAATTGCTTTTTTTAGTAAAGTCCCTTCAAATATACGACACTTTAAAGATATTTTTTTAAAGATACTCAGCCATTTAACTGATTTGGTCGGAAATTCCCTTCCTGATTTTTTTCTCCCGGAAAAATGATTTTTTTTTTTTGAAAAACCGGGGTAGGCTAATTTCCGCATTTTTATTTTGCGCAACTCGCCAAAATTTTCTTCTCAAGTAGGCCAATCCTTATGGTTTTGTTGTCATTTTGTAGATCTCAATAAGTGCAACAAAATGACAACAAAATCATAAAGATTGGCCTACTTAGAAGAATAGTTATGACGAATTGCGGAAATAAAATTTGCGGAAACTAGCCTACCCGAGAAAAAAGCTTGTCGAGAAAAAAAATGAGGAAATGGAGAAAGGGCGATCCCGACGTAGAGCATCGCGTACGGTCCCGTAGTGCCTTTTAGAAAAGCAAAAACGGTGACTTTCTAAAGGTAGGGTGTTAAAACGAGATAATGGTGATTTTCAACAAAAATAGCAATTGTTGAGCTTTTAAACTTGTGTAGTAAGCGAAAAGGAAGAAGAACGAAAAGAACGAAAAGGAATAAAAATTAAGTTAAAGGATACTTTACAATTTAATTATATTAAAGTCAAAATCCATTGATTTAAAAGATATTTAGTTATTTGGATCGTTTTTAGTTTAGTTTAGTTTATTTAGGGGTTTATATCCTGAAGACAATTGTAGAGAACGCTCACCGAAGGGGTCATTTGTACGCTGAAATTTGGGGTAGCTTAGTTTCCGCTATTTTTTTCTGCGCAATTGGGTCTTTTGCGCAATTGGTCATAGCTATTCTTCTAAGTAGGCCAATCTTTATGGTTTTGTTGTCATTTTGTAGATCTCAATAAGTGCAACAAAATGACAACAAAATCATAAAGATCGGCCTACTTAGAAGAAAGTTATGGTGAGTTGCGCAAAAAAAATTTCCGGAAACTAGCCTATCCCAATTTTTGCTCTAAATCTTTAAATTTTGGAGTGTCCTGCAAATGTTTTCTTTTAGTTTCTAAAAAATTAAACATCACATTACAATTTTAACAAGCTTGCCTTTCCGAAATCATTGTTATCCTCCAGAATTCCCTTGTGCATTTCTGGAAACAAATCTTCGTAAGTCTTGATCGCACGTAAAATAATGACGGTGCGTAATTGACGAATAGGTTTTCTAAGAAAAGATGACGAGCGAACCGCTCGTCATGTTTTCTCCGCGAAACCATTCAAAAAAGAAAACTGGCTAGACTAATTTCCATTTTATTTGCGCAATTGGCCATAACTTTCTTCCAAGTAGGCCAATCTTTATGGTTTTGTTGTCATTTTGTAGATCTCAATAAGTGCAACAAAATGACAACAAAATCATAAAGATTGGCCTACTTAGAAGAAAGTTATGGTGAGTTGCGCAAAAAAAAATTTCCGGAAACTAGCCTACCCCAAAACCTGCGCAAAAAATTGCTTTTATATTGCTTTATTTTTTTTCGCGCAGGCGCACTTTTTAGAAAGCGTGTTACTCGACAATTACTCGACAATTACCTCGAGCTATATTACTCGAATAAAAAAAGTACTCATGCAAATTTACTCGAGTAATTATTTACTCGCGAGGAGCACACTCTAGTTTTTCTAGGTTATTCTAGGTTCTAGGTTCTAGGTTTTTCTAGGTAAGCAATAATTAGTAGAAACCTTTACAATAAAAAGTCTTTTTTTTTGTTGAAAACAAGCCACAATTGCAAACACGAACTCGAAAAATAATAAGATTTTTGGTGAAAGTGAAAAGGGAAAAGAGGAATGCATCCAGGAAATTCGCGCAATACTTTTGTTGACGTCATTTGCATGTGTTCGTCAAAGAAATTCGACAAAATTAACAATTTTTGCTGGCTTTCTCGTCGAATTTCTGATTTCTGCATGAATTCGCGAAAAAAATTTAAAGAACTTTTTTTTGAATGACAGAAAAACGAAACAAATATTTAAGGTGACTTTTTGGCGGGGCATTTCCGATGCTCAACCATTCTTTTGCTAGCTTTTCTTTTGAATTCTAAAGGTCTAAAGGTCTAAAGGTCGACAAAAAAACCTTAAAACCGACAAAAACCTTATTGTACTTTGGCTAGATTTAAGTCAATCATAACCCTAAGAATTCGATGGATTTTAGAGCTTCTTCTGGCTTCTTCTGGTTTACTAGGGGAATGTTGTTAAATAAAGATCGAGTTTTAAAGATCGATTTTTAAAATAAACCATAGCTTATTCGATAGAGTTTTCGTTGGGGATTAGAGTGTGTTCCTTGCGAGTAAGTAATTACTCGAGTAAACTGCATGAGTTGCATGAGTAATAGCTCGAGAGTCATAGCTAAGAGTAATGCGTTTTCTAAAAAGTGCGGCGAAAAAAATATAAAAGCAAATTTTTGGCGCAAAAAAATATTTTTTACATTGGAAGAGATTTCATATGTAAATTTAGCATTTTTTCAAGGTTTACAAGCTTTTCTAGCTCTGCTCTAGTGGTCTAATGGTTAGCATAGCCGCCTACGAAACTGATGGCTCTTGCACGCTGGTTCGAATCCCTTCACTGAATCTCATTATGGAGCCTTTTAAGCAACAGGATCATCGTTTAACCGTTCATCGTTTAAGTCAGGGAAAAGCCACTACTGGCACTGCTAGCACTGCTGTAAGGCACTGGCTTAGGCTTAGGCTTACCTAGGTCCCTATTAACGTTCCCCATTCTAGGCTAGGTCACTATTAACACCGAGACTAGCACTGCTGTAAGGCACGGCTAGCACTGCTGGTACTCCTGACACTGCTGACAAGCCAGCACTTCTGTAAGGCACTGCTGGCTTGTCCTGCATAACACTTTCCAATCTTTGCTGCAGGATCACGGTTCAACGGGAGAGGGTGAAAGAAGGACGGGAACCGGTTCTCCCCTCTGCCAGTCTCGGCCCTTCCCCCTTCTTTCCCTCGTCTCTACAATCTCTCTTTCCCTTTCTCCCCTTTTTCAACAATCTCTCCCATTTTCATCCACTCCGATGTTTACACGTACTCCTTTCTTCTCTTTTCTTCTTCCTAAATCTTTTACCTTTACTACCTACAACTACTTGCTCATTTTACACCTTTTTCCTAACTTTTTCTATGTGATTTCTTTGTGATTTGTGTTTTTTTTGGACTACACTGAACTGTTTGCGCTCTTATTTCTAATCAACAAATGAAACTTTGTCTTCTGCAGTCAGTACAAGCTTTGATTCTAGGCTAGGTCCCTATTAAACTTCCGCATTCTAGGCTAGGTCCATATTAACGTTCCCCATTCTAGACCTAGGTCCCTATTAACGTTCCCATTGTTTTAAAATACTTAAATATCCATCAGTGTAATGAAAAGTCTTCAAAAATCATTCTGTAAGAGGTTTTTCCCAACGAAAGTTTACGGATTCCAAGCAGAAAGTGGGGCGAAGTTTTTCTCACCGGGACTTTGGGCAAAAACAAAAGCAAAATGGATATTTGCCTAGATCCGACTGGTATTTGCATTCCGAGATTCTCCTGAAAAGTCAGCCTCAGTTTGGATCATTTATTTGTATATTTGTCTCCAAAAGTTTTCCCAACAATTTTCAAACAATTTCCCAACTTTACGGATTTCAAGCAGAAAATGGGGTAGAAAATGGGGTAGAAAGTGGGGTAGAAAGTGGGCTAGAAAGTGGGGTAGAAAGTGAGGCAGAAAGCCTGGGCAGAAAGTGAGGCAGAAAGTGAGGCAGAAAGTCGGGAAGGAAGTGGGGTAGAAAGTGGGGTAGAAAGTGGGGTAGAAAGTGCACGGGAAAATGGATTACCGATTCCTGAAGGGAAGGGGTATCTATTGGGAGGAGGTGCCAGATCGCGAGCGATTGTGCGCGCGCTCAAAGAACAACTCGCCCGTCATCTACAAAAACGAAAGTTTACCGGTCGCAAAAGCTATCTATTAGAACGGGGTGCCAGATCGCAAGCGATTGTGCTCGCGCACAAAGAACACCCGGTCAATCATTTACGGATTCTTCTTTTGCTGGTACAAAAAGCAGATATTTGGCTGTAAATTGGTACCCTAGGGTTTTCGGGATCGGCGAATCGATCGAAGCTATTCATTTCATTGAGTCTACCAATTAAAACCCAATGTTGTAACAAAAAACACGAGATTTCGGATCGTTATTTTGGGGAAAGAGATTCCCTTGGCATAATGGACTTCTCTTTTGCCTTTCCTTTCAATTTTTTTTGGCTTTGTCTCCGCTTTTCCCTATTTTATTCCCCTCTATCGTTTCTCGCATTTTTTGGATTTTACTCTTCACTTTTTTTTCGATAGTTCGGTGTCGCGAGAAACGTGTTTTTTCCTTTTTTTCCTTTTTTTTGAGCGGGTTATTGATAGATTTTTCGTCTCAAATTGCTTGTACTTTTCTGCTAAATGCTTAACGATGTTTAAAGATGTTTAAAGATGATTAAAGATGATTAATGATTCAAAATTTGGCGGGATAGACGTGTGTAGCTTTGAGCTTAAAATAAACACCGAATTGACCGAATTCGCCTCGATAACTTCATCAGAAAGTCGAAAGTTGAGGGTAAAGGTGTTTAGTTATTCAGTTATTTAGCTATTTAGATATTGATAATTGAATACTGATCCTTGCTAGATACCGTAAATACTGTAATAGTACCCCAGCCCCATAATGACAGCCGGAGCATCGCGTAGTCTAGCTTTGAACGCGTTTTTCTCGACACTGGTTTGTGCTACAATGCTACAATAGGTATCAAAAAATAGCCCTGAATTTCAGCTATTTTTTTGATACCTAAACGAGCATTATAGCATAAACCAGTGTCGAGAAAAACGCGTTCGTCGTTACTAGACCTGTTTACCGAGTCCGGGAAAGATTTTCAGACAGTCTCGCTCTTCGATTTCTTACTGCCCAAAGCTCTTTCGAGCATGAAACTCAATTCCCCCGTAAGCCCTGATTTTAAGCTTCATTTTGATACTAAACATTCCTAGGTTCTGTTTTGCCATTCTTTAGATTTCGATCAATCTTTCGCCGGACTCGATAAGCTAAACGTATCCAGAAAAAAATTTTGATATCAAAGCGTCTTTGGTATCAAAAAATAGCCCTGAATTTCAGCTATTTTTTGATCCCTCAGCGAGCATTGTAGCATAAACCAGTGTCGAGAAAAACTCGTTTAAAGCTAGACTACGCAAGGCTCCTGTCAGGCTTTGAACGAGTTTTTCGCGACACTGGTTTATGCTATAATGCTCGTTTAGGTATCAAAAAATAGCTGAAATTCAGGGCTATTTTTTGATACCTATGCGCGCATTGTAGCATAAACCAGTGTCGAGAAAAACTCGTCCAAAGCCAGGCTACGCAACGCTCCACACCGTCATTATGGGGGGTGGGGTACTATTGCAGTATTTACGGTATAGATAATTGATAGTATTTAGATAATTATATCGGTTGAGCCAGCCAACCGGGCTTTGTATCCATCTAATCAAGTCTTGTACTTAGCTTATATCTGGGTTTTTTTAAGCTGGGGTTTTTAAGCCTTTTTGCGAGTTTAAACTCGAAAAACTGCACATAATTTGGCCTAAAATGTCACCATTTATAACAAAATTATATTTCTTTTTGTTATGAAATGAATTCCTTATTCTTTTCTCTTCTCAAATCGTTTCTTTTCGTTTCTTTCTTTTCGTTTCTTTCTTTTCGTTTCTTTTCGTTTCTCTGAAATGGATTGAAGGAAATGAACCGGTCCTTTTTCCCTCTTCTTTCCCTCTTTTCTTCCTCTTTTTCCCTCTTTTTCCTCTTTTTTCCTCATCAATAGACATCCAAAAGAATTTTTCGATCAAAAAAGAAAAGAAATGAGTCATCAAAGGGAAATCGTTTTTTTTTTGACAAATATTGAATAATTTTTGTTGAAAATAACTTGTTCTCATTGTTTTCTTTGTTTTCTTTGTTCACAATTGATCAGTTAAACAATTGATCAGTTAGTCATCAGTTAAACAAGTTTTAAGCTCAAAAATTGCTCAAATATTGCTCAAAATTGCTCAAGTTTCTCTTTTATTTGATTCTAAAATCATCTAAAATCATCTAAAATCATCTAAATTCTAATCTAAATAAATCTAAACTTAAAATCTTTCATTTAAAACTCTCGTACTCTCGTAAACGTCTTTGTACTCTCGTAAACGCGTACTCTTTGACTCGTACACTTTGACTCGTACGCGTACTCGTACACTCGTTCTCTGTGGTGTACTTTGTATTTACCATAAATACTGTAATAGTACCCCACCCCCATAATGACGGTGCGGAGTGTTGCGTAGTCTAGCTTTGAACAAGTTTTTCTCGACACTGGTTTATGCTACAATGCTACAATAGGTATCAAAAAATAGCCCTGAATTTCAGCTTATTTTTTGATACCTATTGTAGCATTGTAGCTTAAACCAGTGTTGAGAAAAACTCGTTCAAAGCTAGACTACACAACGCTCCGCACCGTCATTATGCGGGTGGGGTACTATTACAGTATTTACGGTAAGTGTAAACCCGATCTCTCTAGTGAATTGGATTCCACATTTTTCTCGTTTCTGTGAGAGAAATGAAGAATTCAGTGCAGTGGAAAAGTTTAAGAAATTCAAAGTGAAAAAAAAGGCTAATCCTTTTCATATTAGCAACTCTTTTTCCTTATTTTAAATATTTTAACTCATTTTTTATATGATTACAATTGTTTTTTTTTAACACGTTGACGACATTGTCACCTGATGCTGTCTGACACATATTCGTTCGCCTGGGACATTGTCACCTGATGTCAGGTGACATTTTTTGTCGAGAAAAAAAAACAACGTTGTCCCATGCGATTGTTTGTGCAAAAACGCCATTGTCGTCAACGTGTTCAACATTTTAAACATTTTAAAACATTTCAAACATTCTAAACATCTTCTTTTTCTATTTGGATGTCTCAAGAAGGCCCTTTTCGTTCACCGGGAAACTTTTTCTCATCATTAATCTCGGAAATCACCTCATCATCGAGCACTTCCACATCAATCAATGAACATCCAATGACAAGGTACGAAAATGTGCTTTATTAAAGTGCTTTTGATGATCTTTTGATGATCTTTTGATGATTGTGCTTAAAACTAGAAACGAGTTCTGGTCAAAAGCTTTTTGTTGTACTTTAGCTTAAGGGGAATTCTATTGGGTTGATGCATAATTAACCCAAAATGTCGGCAAAGAATTCCTTCCCAACTTAATAGATCATTTGTCTGAATAGCTGTGCTTAATTTAAAACCCCATAAGCACTCTCTGTTGCTACCTATTGTTGTCAATAAATTGCGTTAAAAATACCAGCAAGCACATGAGCAAAATGTTAAAAACCGAGAAATAAGTCTAAAATGGTCCCCTCGAAGTTACAGAAGCCAAACTTTTATATTTAGAATTAACTAGGTTAGCCTAGAAACTATTGGGTTGATGCATAATTATCCGGACTTCTTTTATAAATGATTTTATTTAAAAAAAAATAACATAAATAGTTAGAAAAATATGTTTAATTGATTATTCTGGAGCATATTCACCGCCTACATCAATAACTGATTGCCATTTGCTTGGAAGACGATCGATTCCACGAGCGAAGAATAAACGATCTTTGGAGGCAATCCACGCTTTAACATCGTCTATCAAGTCATCCAAATCGTTATAGATCTTATTTGTTTGCCAATTTTTGAGCGATCGATTGACGTGGTAGTCCGTTGGGGCTTCTCCAGTTCTTTGAGATCGCGAAACGACTCTGCGGCAGACCATCCCTTTTCGAAGTGGTAGAGCATGATATGGCGAAGATGGATATGATTGTCGACACGCATTTTGTTCACTAAAGAATAACGAATATTTTAAAAAAAGAAATAGACAAAAAGCTTTCAAAACAAAAAAGATACAAGCACGCAAAAAGAAGTCCGGATAATTATGCATCAACCCAATATTTCTAGAGAATTCTAGAGGTTCTATTTGTGCGTCTTTACAGATTTTTTCCAAACGTCTTTTTAAAATAATACGGCCACTAAACAAATTTTGATTTAAAATCTAAAAAAGCTTGATTGTTTTTATGCAAAATGGCTTTTGGGAAATTCTTGAACATAGTTGTTTTTGTGGATTTAAAGGCGGATTTGTGGATTCAAAAGGCACAAAGGCAAGCACTGCTCTGATGCTAAAGTCGCAATTTCGACACTTTCTTCAATAAAAATCGATTTTTATGTTAAAATAAAAAAGATAGAGCTTATTTAATTATATAATTCTGATAAATTTGAAAACGATTCGTTCAGCCATTTTCTTTAAAACAGTACCCTAAAGTCGCGAGTATAAGTTCTGTTTGGTTTTCGCATGCAAATTGACGGCTGTCTCCGGTGCGGTGTGTCGAGGGTTCGAACCCCGCTGCATCATAACTTTTTTGCTTTTTAAGAACAATAATAGAAGTAAATTTATTGAGGATTATCGCAATTTTATGCTGTTATTTGTTGCTCCGGCTCGTGGCTCGTGCGTGGCTCGGCGCGTCCGCCCTGCTCCTCTCCGGTGCTCAGTCTTATGGATCCCTCCCTGGCCTCTTCATCCGGCCAAAGTCCACGTCGACGGTCGAAAGTGATGCTTTCCAGCGTCTTCTTCAACACTATCGTCTGGATGTATCCATGCACATAACAAATAGCAATGGTGATAGGCTGTCACCCTGTAGTATCCCGCGCTCCAAGAACAATAATAAAAGTTTATATAACAATAAAAATGTATAAAAACCCAACAAAAAGAAATTCAAAGCAATTAAAGCGAATGTAAATTAAGGCAGAACTTATACTCGAGACTTTAGGGTAATTGAAAATTTTAAATAATGCGTTTTATTGAGTTGAACCAAATCTGTAGAGAAAAGGAATCAAATCTGTAGAGAAAAGGAATCAAATCTGTAGAGAAAAGGAATCAAATCTGTAGAGAAAAGGGCGAGCTTTGAGCCATTCAAAAGCCATTTTGTAGAGAAATGATAGATCTGTTTAACCGTTTAGAAGAAAATTTGGTAAAGAAACAAACAAAGAAACAAAAAAACAAAAAAACAAAAACAAAGATTTGAAAAAATTGTATGGAAACAAAGGTTTGAAAAAAGAAGAAAAAAGAAGAATTCGAAAAGAATTGTTAAGATTTTTGCATCAACATAATAGAATATAGATTGCTGATGGATTTACAATTTTATTCTTGATTTAACGACTTTAGAATAAGCATTGATTCTAGTGCAATGCCATCGACGACACCAATGGATATTGAACAGAAAATCTCGATCACACTTCAACATGGGAATCACCGTGAACTCATCGTCATCGAGAGAAGCGAACAACCACATGTATGCTTAAAAAAAAAGGAATGATTGCTTTAGAGTAGCAGGTTTTATAGCCAAAAGGCCAAAGCCAAAATAGCCAAGAGGCAAGCTAAGTTTGAATTCCCACAAATTCGAATCCAAACACGACTTTCCAAATCAAGCCAGCCACATACTTTTTAAACTTTAAAAGCTTTTACAGCTTCTACAGCTTTTACAGCTTTTACAGCTTTTACAGCTTTTACAGCTTCTACAGCTTCTACAGCTTTTACAGCTTTCAAAGCTTCTACAGCTTCTACAGCTTTTACAGCTTTTACAGCTTCTACAGCTTTTACAGCTTTCAAAGCTTCTACAGCTTCTACAGCTTTACAGCTTCTACAGCTTCTACAGCTTTTACAGCTTTTACAGCTTTTACAGCTTTTACAGCTTCTACAGCTTCTACAGCTTTTACAGCTTTTACAGCTTTTACAGCTTTTACAGCTTCTACAGCTTTTACAGCTTTTACAGCTTCTACAGCTTTTACAGCTTTTACAGCTTCTACAGCTTTTACAGCTTTTATAGCTTTTACAGCTTTTACAGCCTTTACAGCTTCTACAGCTTCTAAAGCTTTTACAGCTTCTACAGCTTTTACAGCTTTTACAGCTTTCAAAGCTTCTACAGCTTTTACAGCTTTCAAAGCTTCTACAGCTTTTACAGCCTTTACAGCTTCTACAGCTTCTAAAGCTTTTACAGCTACAGCAAACTTTCCCAACTAAATCTGATTTCAAAACCAGGAAACCAGTATAGGAAAATTCCGCTCTCAAAAATGAAACGTTTAGGTTTTCTACGGTCTTCTCGAGAAAGCTCGCCAACTCGCCGCCAAAGGGAATAGCCAGGTTCGTGAGAAAAAGCTTCTATTATGTTACTAAAACTCTGCGAGCTTTATTGTATTGTAAACAATCTAATTTTTCGCGTTGCTCAACTACACCCAGAGACACCTTACACTAGCCAAACAATCCTAGAGGTTTTGGACTTATTTAAAACGACTTGAGTAAGCGCATCGCTTCTTCTTCTTCTTCTCCTCCGCCTTCTTCAAGCAGATGTAGCACCTTGGCGTTGAGCGTTCAAGCAGATGTAGCACCTTGGGTGGCGAGCGGATTTTAGCTTTAGCACCATCTTTGCAAGTAGTCAGGCCGTCAACTTCTGTTCTAGATGCTTTTCCAGCCGCAGTTGATTGTCGCCTCCATCTTCGTCTGTCTCTATATCTAAATTAAAAACTTGACAGAGAATGGAGAAACTCGCGAAAGCCGCTAGCATCACCGTCCTCGCCCGTCAACGCTTTGATCCTCTCAGCTGCTCCAGCGATTTCAAAAGTCTTTAGGTCATCGTCAGCCGCCACCAGCAATGTGTTTCGCTCCTTGAGTAGCGTTTCCTTGACTACTTGTCCGCCTTCTTTGAACAGATGTAACACCTTAGTGTTGAGCTCGACTTGGGTGTGCTAACGGCTTGGGTGGCGAACGGCTTGGGTTGCGAACGGATTTTAGCTTTAGCACCATCTTTGCAAGTAGTCAGGCCGCCAACTTCTTTTCCAAATATCCCTGTTGATTATCACCTCCGTCTTCCTTTGTTCCTATATTTAAATTAAAAACTTGGCAGAGAACAGAAAATTCTTTGATATCAGAAGAGAAAAATCAGAAGACGGAAAAAAATTTGATTCAGTACAATTGGCATTACTAATTTTAACAAAAACAAAAACAAAACAAAACAATAACAATCTAAAATTCTAGGGAGAAGTGCATTTGTTTCGTCACGATTATCTCTCACCGCAGATCCTTCATCCACTAAATTGCATCTCGCAATTGGTAAACTTTGAATAGCCAAAGGAATTCAATATTCAATATCCAAGATTCAATTCAATATTAAATTAAATTAAATTCAATATTAAATTCAATTAAATTCAATATTCAATTCAATCAATACAAAACCAAATTCAACACTCAATTTTAGGGAAATGGTAGTGTTGTTGAGGTGATTGTGGTGGATCGAAATGAGAAACCGACAGTGCCTCATGTGGTTGAGGTGAGAGCATAAAGTCAGCTTTGTTAGTCAGAAACGATTTCTAGGTGAATACCTATTTAACGCCAACCTTTTGCGACTATTGTGGCGAGATTTTGATGGGTCTCGTCAAACAGGGACTTCAATGTCAGCGATGCAGGTAGAGCAAAAGCTTGTATCAATTGACTAATCAAAAAGGAAACAAAAAGGAAGAAAAAGGAAGAAAAAGGAAACAAAAAGGAAAGGATTGAAAGAAAAGGAAAGGTTTAAAAGAAAAGGAAAGTAAACCCTGGAAAAGATTTTTGATTTTAGATGCAATTTCCACAAGAAGTGTGCCTTTGCCTCGAGAAACAATTGCGCAAAGAATACCCCATTTTGCCCACCAACATTAGCTCATCAGATGACGAGCTTCTCGCCATCAATTCCACAAATGAGTGCCCCATATCATGGTGGGTTTTAAAACTTGCAGTTAACTTGCAGTAACTTGTAACTGAAGCCAAGTTATACTTGAATTTACTAGATTAGATAGACAGATAGATAGACATGTATTGTGTCTATCTATCTATCTGGTTGTTCGGATATAAACGAGCGTTTGCACTGCGCTTAACTCGTGAGGAAGCATTGATCTAATACGGTTTCAATACGGTTCCTATTTTGATCTAATACGGTTCCAATACGGTTTTCCATTTCCCGCGTCAGATCGTCTTTCCAATGGAGATGGAGTAGAATTTGAACATATAAACTTTTGAGCAAGTTCATGCGTCGTTTGACATGGATCTGATTCGATTGCAGCCCTCAAAATATCGTTGTTTACCGTTTGAGGTCGACCAGACCTCAAGACCTTGTTCATCATCCTCGAGACTTTCATCACCATTCCGAAGGCGTTGGAACCAGGCTCGGCATCGGCTTTCAAACAATACATCATTCCCAAATGCTTTGACCAAATCTCAATAGGATTCCGCTACTATTTTGCCCAGTTTGAAGTCGTAAAGTAGGCAGACGCGAACTTTATATATTGGGTTGGTGAGTTGAGAAGTCAATGTCCAATTTGCGGAGAGGTCAATGTCCAATTTGAGGATTCGGAGCCGGCCAGATTATTTTGGCAAAGGGAGAGGGAAGGGGGTTATGTAAAAGCCCTGCGCCAGACGACGAGCGATTACGCGGCCGCGCAAAGAAGAACACACAAATTTTAAGCGAAACTACTGGGATTCCGCTACTGTTTTGCCCAGTTTGAAGTCGTAAAGTAGGCTTATTGATAAGTAAAGTAGACGCAAACTTTATATATTTGAAGTCGGTCATCGAACAACCTAATAGATTCTCTTCTTTTGCTTCTATATCTTACTTTTGTCTTTGTCCTAATGTCTTGTCTTACTGCAGTATTTTTAGAGAGCCTGTATTAGACAAGAAAGTAAAACTGGATTCAATTAGAGCAAGAAAGTAAAGCTGGCTTCAATCTCATAATTTTTAGAAGAGATCCCATCTCCATCTCAACAACATCATCCATCCTCACCCTATGCTTTACCGCATACTTTTGCCGTTCACAACTACAAAACGTTAACTGTTTGCAAGGTGGGCAAATGTAATGTGGATTTGCTTTTTGATTTGATTAAAATTTGATTATTCTTATTGTATTCTATCAGAATTTGTTCTAGGTTTGCGACAAAATGCTATTCGGTATTATGAAGCAAGGAATGCGGTGCAGGGATTGTAAAGTAAGCTGAAAGCTGATAAATAACACTGCCCAATATAATGATAGCCAATTTTGCAGAAACACGATTTCTAAAAAAACTTTTGACTAAAGTTGTAAAAGAGTAAAGTCATTTTTCAAGAATCACCCCATCTCTTCCTCCCAAGTTTCATGCTTTCCTTTTCCTTAGTGTTTTTCTTACCATAGCATTGTCCATAGCATTGTCCATAGCATTGTCCATAGCATTGTCCATAGCATTGTCCATAGCATTGTCCATAGCATTGTCCATAGCATTGTCCATAGCATTGTCCATAGCATTGTCCATAGCATTGTCCATAGCATTGTCCATAGCATTGTCCATAGCATTGTCCATAGCATTGTCCATAGCATTGTCCATAGCATTGTCCATAGCATTGTCCATAGCATTGTCTTTAATAGCAAAAATTGCTTAGCTTGCTTAGCTATGGCTTGGCAAATAAGGGCAGGCTTGAGCTTATCGATGTTTTGATAATGACAGGCTTGAGCTTAGCAATGTTCCGATTGAAGGACAACATTGAAGACCATCCTTTGAGCACTCACGTCTCTGTCTACCACAGTGGAAGATCCGATGGACCAGTGGAAGATCCGATGGACCAGTGGAAGATCCGATGAACGGTTGTCCATGAAGAGAAATCTGAAGTTGGAGAGAAAGGGAAGGGACCAAGCTTCACTGACACGTTGGCTGGCCTCTTCAAGAAAGGTCTAGCCCATCTGGACTATCCAGTCTCCGAAATCCAGCCCATCTGGACTAACCAGTCTACGAGGGTCCACTCGATGACATGAACCGAGCCTGCGACATTGAAGGCCATCCTTTGAGCACTCACGTCTCTGTCTACCATTATCGGAACATTGAGATTAGCAATGTTTCGAAAGTAGTCTGGAAAGTTTCGAGTCTGGAAAGTAGCTAAGCGATCTTTGCTATTAGAGACAATGCTATAGACCATCTAGTAAGACTTTCTTAGTAAGAAAAAACTAGAGAAAAAGAACTTGGGAGGAAGAGGTGGGGTGATCCTTGAAAAATGACTTTTCTCTTTTACAACTTTGATCAAAACTTTAGAAATCGTGTTTCTGGAAAATTCAGGGATGCGACTATCATTATGTGGAGCTGTGTATACCGTAATACCTCTAGTAGCGCTCCCCTATAATGACGGGCGGAGCGTCGCGTCGTCTAACTTTAAACGCATTTTTCTCGTCACCTGTTTATGCTACAATGCTCGCTTAAGTATCAAATAAAAGCTGAAATTCAGGGCTATTTTTTGATACCAAAGACGCATTTTTTGAAAGTACGGGCGCTTAGAAAAAAATGATTTTAAAAAAAATTTTTGCGACTACACGACTATACGCGATGTTTTTCTAAGCGCCTATAATTTCTAAAAGGCATTTTTGGTATCAAACAATAGCCCTGAATTTCAGCTTTCATTTGATACTTAAGCGCATACTGTAGCATAAACAAGTGACGAGAAAAATGCGTTTAAAGTTAGACGACGCGACGCTCCGACCGTCCGACTGGGAGACGCTAGGAATTACGGTAGAATTACGGAATTACGGTACAGATGACAATATAGATTACCCTAAACATTTCTAGGTGAATGTCCACAAAAAGTGTGCCGGACTTTTGCCACCGAATTGTCACATTGCTGAGGGATCGATCACCGCCTTCGAGCAGCTATCTGTTGTTGGTTTTGAAGGCGTAAAATCTTGCAAAGACTTTCGTGAACCGATCCAGAACAATATATTGACTAATATAACCAATCTAGCTAGCTAATCATCTAGCTAGCTAATCATCTAGCTAGCTAATCATCTAGCTAGCTAATCATCTAGCTAACTAATCATCTAGCTAGCTAATCACCATTTTCTAGAGTGAAATGCCATCTTTACCCCCTGAGGAAGGACCAAGTGAGAGTGGATCGATCGACTCCGATCTAATACCGCTTAGCCGGATACCTGGTGGGGATTCTTTTTCATTTACTAGAGCATTTTTCTTTTTCATTTAAAAGAGCTAATTTTCAATCTAGTCAGCACCAGAGTCAAGCCAAAGATCAAGCCAAAACCATAATCAGCTTTCAGGTCAAGCAGCAGCTCGAGCAGCTGCCAAGCAAACGCACGAGGGATGGATGATACACTTCTTGCTCAACGATCCGCAAAGGTTTGTGTAGTTGCGATGAAAGATAAATGGCAGAAGGTTGAATTGAATGAAGTCGAATCTAACTGTAATCTAACTGTAATCTTGCTGTAATCTTACTGTAAACCTTACTGTAATCTAACTGTAATCTAACTGTAATCTTGCTGTAATCTTACTGTAATCTAACTGTAATCTTGCTGTAATCTTACTGTAATCTAACTGTAAACCTTGCTGTAATCTTACTGTAAACCTTACTGTAATCTTCCTGTAATCTTACTGTAAACCTTACTGTAATCATACTGTAATCTTGCTGTAATCTTACTGTAATCTTACTGTAATCTTACTGTAATCTTACTGTAATCTTACTGCAAATCTTACTGTAAATCTAACTGTAATCTAACTGTAATCTTACTGTAATCTAACTGTAATCTAACTGTAATCTAACTGTAAACTTACTGTAATCTTACTGTAATCTAACTGTAAACCTTACTGTAATCATACTGTAATCTTGCTGTAATCTTACTGTAATCTTACTGTAATCTTACTGTAATCTAACTGCAAATCTTACTGTATTGATTCAGACGATTACGCAACTATTGGATTCTCTCAAACAATGTCTTGTCAATGTACAATGAATACTCGGAAGGGGTCGGGGTGAACACGTCGAGGTGTTACAAGCAGATTCCCCTATCTGAGATCTTGGCTATCACTCCATACAATGGAGATCCGATCGATTCCAGGTGAGCTTTGTTTGGTGAGCTTTGTTTGGTGTTTGGTGAGCTTTGATAATCGTACATTCAATTCAGATTCCCTCCACACGTTTTCGAGATGAGAACAACGACGAATCAAGTGTACTGTGTGGGTGAGAAGCTTGACGCTTGTGGAGGGCCGCCAACGAAATTGCCGAGAGGACAAGCTGCAAGGTGAGCTGGAAACTTCGACTCCTTGAGTAAGGCATAAGCCTTGACCGCATTGGGATGCCGGATTTATCGAGAGATATCGAGATATCGATCAAATGCGTCTCAAATGTTCGGCTCTCCCCTTTTGCCATTGGGACTCTAACTTTGAGCTCAAATATCTTGATGTTGAGCTGTTCAATTGTAAAAGTTCTTGATATCATTAGATTTGCCTTGTCTTTCTCGATCGATTGATACAAAAACTATTGAAATTGAACAGATAAACACCGAGATATTTGAGCTGAAAGTGGGATGGCAAAGGGGGCGGGGCCTCGCGTATAAAAGGTCTTTCTAGCCCCGCCCCTTTTGTCAATCTAGTCCTTCTCTATCGATTGCTACAAAAACTATCGAAATTGAACAGCTCAACACCAAGAAATTTAAGCTTAAAGTTAGCCAATGGGAAAAGTGGCGGGACGATCCTTTGCCATTGCCATTGGCAATCTTTGAGCTCAAATATCTTGGTGTTGGGCTGTTCGATTGAAATAGTTTTGATATCATTAGATTCGCCTTGTCTTTCTCTATCGATTGGTACAAAAGCTATTGAAATTGAACAAATAAACACCGAGATATTTAAGCTCAAAGTTAGCTTGCCTGGAAAAGGGGTGGGGTGCGGATCAAACGTCTAATAACCTATTTGAATTATTTAATTTGTATATTTTTGATATCATTAGACGCGCCAAGTCTTTCTCTATCGATTGATACAAAAACTATTTAAATTGAACAGCCCAACACCAAGAAATTTAAGCACAAAGTTAGCCAATGGGAAAAGTGGCGGGGCGACCTTTGCCATTGCCATTGGCAATCTTTAAGCTCAAATATCTTGGTGTTGAGCTGTTCGATTGAAATAGTTTTGATATCATTAGATTCGCCAAGTCCTCCTCTATCGATTGGTACAAAAACTATCGAAATTGATCAGCTCAACACCAAGAAATTTAAGCTCAAAGTTCGATTGCCAATGGCTAAACCTTCTTTGACATTAAAAATCTAATATCTCAATCTGAAAAGCTTTTAGATGGAGGAATATATTAAAATATATTAAAAGCCATTTCCAGATCATCCTCCTCCGGTCAAGTGTGGTTGTCAGTGTTGGCTCAGGCTCTACAACCGCCACCATCGAGAAATGATCCAGTGAATGCTGAGCCAGTCTTACAATTCACCGAGCTTTATCAAGTAAACATTAAAATATTGTTATTGAGAATATTGAGAGTATTGAGAAGATTGAGAAGATTGAGAATATTGAGAATACCCTCCCCTAGAGATTTGTCTAGGAGGGATAGAGAGTCGGAGTTTGACGACCCTTCTCTTTCCCTCCATATCTCAACTTCCAGTTGATCAATCAACTTGTGGTTGGTCTTAAAATGTTCCTTATGAAATTTCGTTATAGAAATCCACAACTTCCTTGGTAAACTCTAATATAAAAATATAGAGAAAATCTCAGTCAAAGTCAGACTACCTACTTTGAAAGGATCGATCCACTTAAAAGGTCTATAACTCAAGATCTAAAAGTTGAATCAACTCAGGGTTACTTTTTTTAGAATCTACATGAAATTTGATAGAAGGAATGTGCAATTTGTTTTGTAGACTTACCGATAAAAACATAGAGAAAGGTAGAGTCAAAGTCGAGAAGTGTCTACTCCCCCTAGAGATTTGTCTAGAGAGTCGGAGTTTGACAACTCTTCTCTTTCCCTCCTATATCTCAACTTCCAGTTGATCAATCAACTTGTGGTTGCTTTTAAAAGGTTCCTTATGAAATTTCGTTATAGAAATCCACAATTTATTTACTACACACTAATGTAAAAACATAGAGAAAATTCCGGTCAAAGTCAGACTACCTACTTTGAAAGGATCGATCCACTTAAAAGGTCTATAACTCAAGATCTAAAAGTTAAATCAACTCAGGGTTACTTTTATTATTGAGAATATAGAGAAGATTGAGAATTTCTAGACTTCTAGTCACTTTTAAAATCAAATAAATCCAGGTACTCTCCGAGAAAACGCTTGGAGCCGGTCAATTCGGCACTGTTTATTCGGGTGTGCATCGACAAAGTGGCCGAGAAGTGGCTGTAAAGGTTCGATTTGATTTGTTTTGATTTAATTTGATTTGATTCTCGTATATTGTGTAAAACTGTAAACTTAATTCGAAAATCTATAGAAAACAAAGCCCAAGTTCAGGTGATTTCAAAGGAGCGTTTCTCGAAAAAGCCAAATAACGGAGCGGACACTCTTCGCTCTGAAGTCGCTATTTTGCAGGTGATCTTTTTCTTGTCCAACAATCATTTATATTCTTCTCAGTGATTGCTGATCAATGTCAATCAACTAAAAGATATTCAGCCTTATAAAACTATTGCAAAGCTTGTGAAGCTTGTAAAGCTTGTAAAGCTTGTGAAGCTTGTGAAGCTTGTGAAGCTTGTGAAGCTTGTAAAGCTTGTAAAGCTTGTTGTCAAGCTTGTAGAGCTTGTAGAGCTTGTGAAGCTTGTAGAGCTTGTGAAGCTTGTAGAGCTTGTAGAGCTTGTAGAGCTTGTAGAGCTTGTGAAGCTTGTTCTAAAGCTTTTTGTAAAGCTAAAAGTCCATTTTTACCCGCAAAAAGAAGAGTAAACCAATCGGAGAGATCAATCGTTTCAAAATTATTCTTAAAGAAAGTTCTTGTCATTACTTGTCATTATTGAAAATATTAATAAACTAAAAGATATTCAGCTTAAAAGAGAGCTTAAAAGACAGCTTAAAAGAGAGTAATCGAAAGTTAATCTTTTCCTTTAGACAATCAGCCATTCTGGCATTGTTCGTCTTGAGTCAATGTTTGAGACGAAAGACAAGATTTTCGTGGTGATGGAGAAAATGAATGGGGACATGCTGGAGATGATACTTTCACAGGTTGATAAAGAAAGACAGAAAAATAGATAAAAAACTACCGTATTCTCTCTAATAGTAGTGCACCATGAGCATCGCCTAAATTCCTCGAAATCTCGAGAACCGCTTATCAGAACCTATCGATGTGGGGTCGGAAAATGTAGCTGACGATGAGATCTTGACGATGATTTGAGTGTTGAGCTTCTGGGAGAACTTTGGAAGCCGTAAATAGTCATCAACTCGGCTCGCTTGGGTGCACTACCAGAAAATACAGTATTCAGCTTTTCGCGCGCTCCCAGGGGTTTTCGGCTATGGAGAATCTGACTTTTGGGTCTATTTTTAAAAGAGCGTAGGGCTTAAGTATCAAATTCTTAGCTCAGCTAACGTTAAGAACTCGATCAATCAACAAAACTTGGGTTTTGTTTAGTCAAAACGCAACTTTCGGTTCATTGCATCAACTTGACTGCTTTCCCGCTTCACTTAAATTCATCGAAATCTCGAGAACCGCTTATCAGAACCTATCGATGTGGGGTCGGAAAATGTAGCTGACGATGAGATCTTGACGATGATTTGAGTGTTGAGCTTCTGGGAAAGCTTGGAAACCGTAAAATAGTCACCAACTCGGCTCGCCCGGGTGCACTACTATTAGAGAGAATACGGTAAATCAATCAAATCAAATCAATAGTTTTCTTTATTTTCGATAGATCTGATATCAATTTTGGAAATCTTAGGCCGTTGGCCGCTTGGACGAACGCGTGACCCGGTTCTTGAGCTTACAAATCCTCTCCGCTCTTCGGTATCTTCATGCAAAGGTTTGAAAAAAGATAATAAACAATGTAGCTTTATTATTAGCTTTATTATTCGTATTTCGATGTGAATTTTGTGTTTAATTTTACAGGGAATCGCTCACTGTGATCTAAAGCCGGAAAACGTGCTCCTTTCCGAGCTTTCCTCGAATTTCCCCCAAACGAAACTCTGTGATTTCGGATATGCACGGTATTATTAGCTTTATAAATAAAAGATTATCACTTTTTGGTTATTATTTGATGCAGAATAAAATTGCGCGTCGAATGATACAAAAATTAATTCAAAATCTAAAATCCACACAAAGTTATTGCCTAAAAACCGAAACCTCGCCGATTTTGGACAAGACTAGACCTTTTGCCACATAACTTTGCATAGATATTAGATTTTAAGTTAATTTTGGTATCATTCGACGCGGAATTTTATTCTGCATCGAATGATAGTCAAAATAGACAAAATAGAAGGACTGGTGCTGAGAAAAACATGAAAAACCTTGGACGGCAAAAAAGTGTTTTTCTCAGCACTAACCCTTCAAATTTGACTATTTTGACTATCATTCAATGCAGAGTAAAATTCCGCGTCGAATGATACAAAAATCAACTCAAAATATAATATCCACACAAAGTCAGTGCCTAAAAACCGAAACCCCGTCCATTATGGGCGGGACTTAATCTTTTCCCTCATAACTTTGCGTGGATATTATATTTTGAGTTGATTTTTGTATCATTCGACGCGGAATTTTATTTTGCATTGAATGATAGTCAAAATAGTCGAATTTGAAGGGTTAGTGCTGAGAAAAACACGAAAAACCTTAAATTGCCAACGGCAAAGGACCGACAGATGCTTTCGTTACGAGTCTAAAGTCGTATATAAGGCGCCCGTCGGGGGAAAAGAGGCGGGCGCATATAAAAGATAGCCCCGCTCCCTTTGTCATTGGCAATCTTTGAGCTCAAATATCTTGGTGTTGAGGTGTTCGATTGAAATATTTTTAATATCATTAGATTCGCCAAGTCCTCCTCTATCGATTAGTCCAAAAACTATTGAAATTGAACAGCTCAACACCAAGAAATTTAAGCTCAAAGTTCGATTGCCAATGGCAAAGAAGCGGGGCGCGTATAAAAGGCAGAGGGGGCGGGGCAAAGTATAAAAGGCGCCCCGCCCCCATTGGCAATCCAACTTTGAGCTCAAATTTCTTGGTGTTGAGCTGATCAATTTCAATAGTTTTTGGACTAATCGATAGAGGAGGACTTGGCGCATCTAATGATATCAAAAATATTTAAATCGAACAGCCCAACACCAATAAATTTGAGCTTAAAGTTGGCAAAAGACGTATGAAATCTTTGATAGCCTAACTTTTTGCTGTTTAACTGATGATGGTTGAAGTATCTTTGAATATCTTTAATAGAAAATGATATAGAAAATGATGTGCCTAAGTGAATGACTGCATAAGTATCAAAATCAAATTCTTTCTTTTAGTTTCATCGGTGAGAGTCAATTCCGAAAAACGATCGTTGGTACGCCTGCTTATCTTCCTCCAGAAGTTCTACAAAAGAGAGGTAGCTGGATTTTTATAATAAATGTTTATATTGGGTTGGTGAATTGAAAACTGCGGGCTATTGTCATATGTGCACTGTCATATGAGAGTTTGAGCACTTTCTTCAAAAGAAATCCATTTTGGTGTCAATAGAAAAGTTGTAGGGGAAATGAAATGGCGGAAAATGAGGGGAAGGGGGGGGGGGTTACGGTATCTGTCTGTCTTTCTGTCTGTCTTTCTGTCTGCCTTACTGTACGGGCATTTTTTCAGCCGTATTTTGATCAATATTTCATTATGCATGGATTTTATATTTTAAGTTGTTTTTGGTGTCATTCGATGCGTAATTTCATTCTGCATCAAATGATCGTTAAAATAGTCAATATATTGGGTTGGTGAATTGAAAACTGCCGGCTATTGTCATATGTGACAGTTTGAGCACTTTCTTCAAAAGAAACCCCATTTTGGTGTCAATGGAAAAGTTGTAGAGAATCAAAAATTAGGCTTATAGCCAAACTTCTAAAGATACACTTAGTATTGGGTTGGTGGAAAAGTCCTTTCCGATTTCTTGGGAGAGTACCCTTAAATTTGACAAGTGTGAGACTCAAAAATCGAGGACTGGAGACTCAACAATAGAGGAATGTCCCAGTTTGAGCACTTTCTTCAAAAGAAACCCATTTTGGTGTCAATGGAAAAAACAGATTGGAAAAATAAAACACGAGGAAAGACTGAAAAATTCTTTGTGGCGGGGTCCTTTTATTGCGTCGGGTTACGGTAGTTTCCGACGTTTGGCGCGGAAACGTCTGAAAGGCAAAGTGTACGGTGGACGGTCCGAAAGGCATTTGTCGTCAGAATTTTATTATTTCAAGAGAGAATTCCTTTAAATTGATTTAAAGTAAAATGAAATTAAACCCAATTTGTTTAATTACTTTTTAAATTATTATTTTTAATTTATTGGATTGTTGAATTGAAAACTGCCGGCTATTCTCATATGTGACAGTTTGAGCACTTTCTTCAAAAGAAACCCATTTTGGTGTCAATGGAAAAGTTGTAGAGAATCAAAAATCAGGCTTATAGCCAAATTTTCAGAACGATTCAAAAATTGGTTTTCAAGAAATGCCAAATTTACGAATTTTCACAAAGCTAGCAACAAAACTTTCATTTTAAGCGAAACTACTAAGTGAATCTTTTTGGAAATTTGGCTATAAGCCTAATTTTTGATTCTCTACAACTTTTCTATTGACACCAAAATGGGTTTCTTTTGAAGAAAGTGCTCAAACTGAGACATTCCTCCATTCTTGAGTCTCCAGTCCTCCATTTTTGAGTCTCACACTTGTCTCACACACAAACCAAAATCCTACTACGAAAGAGGAATCCGCAAATTGCCTGTAAAATGGGCAGAAGTCGTCAATAATAATGGAAATTATTTGGAATGAATTCATGGTTTTATGTTGAATAAATTTTAGTTTAAAGTCCCGCAGTTTTCAATTCAATTCAATTCAAATTCACCAACCCAATATATAAAGTTCGCGTCTGCCTACTTTACGACTTCAAAATGGGCAAAACAGTAGCGGAATCTCATTGAGATTTGGTCAAAGCCTTTGGGAATGATGTATACTCCGAAAGCTGATGCCGAGTTTTCAATTCACCAACCCAATAACAAATTTTTCTAATAAATGTTTATAACAACTTTTTCCAATGAAAAGTTGAATGTAAATTGTTTTTGAAAAGATTTAGAATGATATTTAGGATATAACAAATCATTGGACATGTGGTCGGTTGGAGTGATCATTTATGTGACCCTTTCCGGGACATTCCCTTTCAATGATGGTGAAGAGGTGGATAGAGTTAGCGAATGTTGAAATGAAAGAGGGTTTTAGATAAGTGAACAAATCCAAAATGCAGCTTTCATGTTCCCATCGGATCCTTGGTAAATTTTAGATTCTTATTGGATATCCTTATTGGATATTCTTATTGGATATCCTTATTGGATATTCTTATTGGATATTCTTATTTAATATTCTAATTTATTTGATCTAATTTAATATTCTAATTTAATATTCTAATTAAATCTATTATTTTAAAGGTCCTCCGTCTCGAAACAAGCCGTTGATCTCATTCAGAGGCTGCTCAGAGTTAATGTAAGCTTTAAAAACTTAATCTTAAGAAGGAAATTGGGATTTTTGATTTGATTTGAATAGGATTTGATTGAAATTTGATTAGAATTTGATTAGAATTTGATTATTGAGTAAAATCAAGTCCAAATGATCGAATATAAGAATGTTTCTAGATTGAAGAGCGATTGAATATTGAGGAATGTTTGGCACATGAATGGCTCCAATCAGCTACTCTTTTTAACGATCTTCGAGCTTTAGAAATGAGGCTTGGAGGGGAAAGGTTAGAAAAAATGATAGAGAATAATAGAATCAAAAGTTCTTTCTAAAAATAAGCCCTAAAACTACAAACTGATCGTAAAGTACAGCACGACCTGAAACTTTTTTGAAAAGCTAACTGGGAAATGGCTAATTCATTTGAAAACTGGCAAGTGTTAGATAGAGAATTGTAGCCCTGATTCTTGGCGATATTTATCTACCAAAAACTTCTCGATTGGATTTATGCAATTCTTACTATAAGACTAAAAATTTGGCTCTTTTGTAGTTTCCGGGTCTTTTGAAAGAATCCTGGTCTTTGAACGGGTCGCCAAGCTTTGATGGCCTATAACTTTGTCCAACAATGATATTTTTTTTAACCTTTTATATCATTGTACAGAGAACATTTCAGGCTTTTAAATGATACCAAATAGAGCTTGATTGAATAATCCAGTCCAATAAAATCGGAGCCAACTCTCATCAAACGAGATCGATCCAACCCGGATCCAGTACTGCTTGATTTTCTTGGACCGGATTATTCAATCAAGCTCTATTTGGTATCATTTAAAAGCCTGAAATGTTATCTTTACAATGATATAAAAAGTTACCCAAAATATGATCACTAGACAAAGTTATAAGCCATCAAAGCTTGGCGACCCGGATTCAAAGACCAGAATTCTTTCAAAAGACCCAGAAACTACAAAAGAGTCAAATTTTTAGTCTTATAGTAAGAATGAAGACTTCAAAGTACTCATAAATCTTTCAGATACCTTACAAATGGCCAGGATGATGCTCATTACGCTCGGCTACTCCAACAACAGCAAGCTGATCCGACTTTGGCTCAACAGAGATTCGCGATCGCTCAACAGCAATCATTACTTGATTTGTAAACATAATTATGAATTGTTTTGAATTGAATTGAATTGTAAACAGAATTGTTTTATCATTTGAAGTTTTATTTATCTTTTTTTTTTAGGTAATATTGAGATTTTTCGTGTCGGGATACTCAGTTAGCTCAAAATAGGAATACGGTAGTTTTATCTGAGATTTTTCACAAGAAACTTACAAGTTTTCGAAGTACTATACTGTGCACAAGTACAAGTACCGTGTCCTGTAATGTACTCTGTACTATAATGTACTGTGTACTGGACTGTACTCTGTACTGTATACTGGTCTGTGCTCTATACTGTGTACTGAAATGTACTCTGTACTAGAATGTGCTGTGTACTGGTGTGTACTCTTTACTGTACGGTACTGTGTACTCTTTACTGTGCTGTACTGTGTACTGGACTGTACTGTACTGTGTACTGGACTGTACTGGACTGTACTGTGTACTGTAATGTACTGTAATGTACTGTACTGTGTACTGGAATGTACTGTACAGTGTACTGGAATGTACTGTGTACTGTACTGTACTGTGTAGTAGAATGTACTCTTTACTGTATTGTATTGTGTCCTGGAATGTACTGTATACTGGAATGTACTACGTACTGGAGTGCACTGTGTACTGAAATGTACTCTGTACTGAAATGTACTCTGTACTGGAATGTGCTCTGTACTGGAATGTACTCTGTACTGGACTGTACTCTGCACTGGACTGTACTCTGCACTGGACTTTACTCTGTACTGGACTGTACTCTGTACTGGAATGTACTCTGTACTGGAATGTACTCTGTACTGTACCGTGTACTGAAATGTGCTCTGTACTGCCATGTACTGTGCACAAGTACAAGCACTGTATACTGTAGTTTAGCGTACTCTAGTAATTTTAAGTATTATAGTCGTTCGATGCAAATTCTGGGGTTACTTATTTCAATGGAAATTTCTGTGCCCTCTCTTTGAATACCCATTTTCCGCAGCGGGTCTCTATGTCCGCTTGGCGCAGTCGGTTAGGCGCCCTTTTTTCAGACCGGACGGGGTCGCCCCGGTCCTGGTTCGTTTCCGCTTGCGAGCCGCTTTTGTCAAATCTAATTTTCACCGGTTTTTGAAAACTTTGCAAGAAAATCTGTGATATTTCCGTTTAAGATAAAAGCTTTTATCAAGAGAACAGGGTAAACGATTATGTTATTTAAAAATCGATCACAATTTTCTTCTTTCCTCATTTTTTCACAACAATTTTCACAACAAAAGAAAGAAAAAAAGAAATATTCAAGAAAAGGAAAATAAAAACAAATTTATATTTGGGGTTACGGTAGTTTTGGATTAAATGTAAATTTAGGCTTTGGAAATGGTTACGGTAGGTTTTTAAACGTTTTTAAGGCTTTAGAAATGGGTTACGTTATTTAAAAAGTGAATTTTAGCCTTAATTTTAGCCTTAGCTCTAGTCTAAATGACGAAAATTGAATAGGATATTGAAACTACCGTAATCCCTTATTGATATGTAAATTTATCTAGCTATTTAGAGCTAAGCTGCCGTAGAGAAAAATGAAAATCGGAAAAAGCTACCCAAAAAGACCCGAAAAGATGGATTTTAAAGGAAAATGCGAAAAGACTGAATACTTTTTTGATCTTATTATTCTTTGAATGCAAATTTTAGACAGCTGTACATATCACATTTAAAAGATTTTTGCTTTCAAGACTGCAAAAAGTATAGAATTGGCCTTAAGCACCTTGATGGCCTTAAGCACGGCCTTAAGCACGGCCTTAAGCACGGCCTTAAGCACGGCCTTAAGCACAAAAATTCGCCGTTTCTTTTAAACGGCGAATTTTGCGTATAAATGGTTGACGAAAATCGAGATTTTGCTTGATGAATGAAGAAAAAAAGAAAAATGAATGAATACTCAGCTAATCCGCTGTTTCCCACTTCGTTTTTAATCACTTTCACTATCGCTTGTGAAGAAAGCCACCGTGTCCTCTTGGTTGAGACGTTTGAAGCCCTGGAAAAAGTATGCAATTGAAAAATTGAATGCAATTTGAAACGCTAAACTTAAATCACTTTACTCGCTCAATCTAAGCGCTGTTTACGTAAGGAAATGGCTTTAAAAGATCAAGAATTTGTGGGGGAAAATACAGGGAAATTTTCGGGGCAAAAATAGAGCCAGAGTTGAGGCAAATGTACAAGGAAATTTTTTGGAAAAATAAAAAGGAAATTTGGGGAAAAAATGAAGGGGTTTTAAAGAAAAAAAAAATATAAAATTTAAAAAAAAAAAAAAAAAAAATATAAAAAAAAATATATTTTAAATTAAAAAAAAAAAAAATAAAAAAGGGAAAGGAAAAAAAAAGGGGGGGGGGGAAAAAAAAAAAAAAAAAAGGTGAGGGTTAGGGAGCCAAATTTAAGGCAAAAATTGCTCAAAAATTTGGGCATAGTGACGTCATAGCTGGAGGGGCCAGAGGGAGGATAGAGGGAGGATAAAGGGTGCCGAAAAGCCGGCCCTTCAATCTGTTCAAACGGCGCAGTGGCAGGGCTCGGGTCTCTAGGCCAGGAAGTGCCGGGCTCGACCCCGCCTCAAGCATTTGGTTTTTGCAAATTCTTGCTTCTTCAAAAGAAAAAGGGCTAGCTTTTCTTTGATAAACTAGAGGTGTTTTCATAAAAACATGAACTAGAGGTTTAAAAGAGGAAATAGGAAAGGTAAGAAAAGTCTTTCCTATTTCTTTCATAGAGACGTCATAGTTTTCATAGAGATTTCAGGTTCAAAGTTCATGGAAAGCTTAGGCTTAAAGTTTATGAATAATTTACGCGGTAAACTTTGGCTTAAAGTTTATCAATAATTAAAGATATTAAATAGATTCGGGATCGGGAAATCGATTGGAGAAATTCATTTTTATTCGGTTCCCGAATCCGGTTCAAAATCCTTGATTCAAAGACCAAAATCCGGACTTTATCTGGGATTTCCGGTCGGGAACGTTTTGCTTCTCATCAAATCGTTATTTGAACATTAAAATACGCGCTACCGCTTGCTGTTGAACGATTAATATAAAAGAAATCGTTGATTTATTTGTTAATCGTTGATTTATTTGTTATAGGAGCACGTGTGGCTGACTGGTTAAGTGTCTTTTATCTTAATCGGAAGGTCGAGGGTTCGAACCCCACATACGACATGGTCACCCCCTTCGGATTTCCTTTCCCTTCGGGTTGAGAGGTTTTCTGGAGGGCAGTCTGGTGGTTGTGGCCCCAGTTCTTTAAAGTGACAAGCCACTCCTTCATCGTCATCTTCCCTTCACCACCAAAAAAAGCTATTTAGTTCCCCATTGAGCTTAGGGTTAGGGAGCCGTCTGTCATGACGTGGGTTAAGTTAAGATATAGCCTAGTATTGTGTGTGTCGTTGTATTGTGATTGATATATTTCGTGTATGCGATAAATTCACCACTGGTAGCCCCAGTCGGTATTTTTAAAAATCGTTCTATTACTTGTATTTACTCAAGTTATTGCATGAAAAGACTCCTATAAAGAAGAATTTTGTGTCGAATTTTTGTGACAAAAACCTTTCGATCAAACGCATTTTGCGGATTTGCTCTCCGTCGACCTTTCTTCATCCACACGTAAATCCCACCAGCAACTACTCCGAGAAGCAAGAAAAACGTCAATGTGAGTGGAGCTGTTGAGGCTTTATTCTTGATCTGAAAATCAAAAAATCATTTTCTTCGACTCTTAGATTCTATTTGTTTTTAATGTAAACGTTTTAAAGTAAATTTTGTTCAGAACTGCATTCAAATAAGCCTTGAACATGCAGAAATGCAGAAAATAATTGGTTGATGCATAAGTGTTTTCGTTTTTTTCGTACTTCTGTTAAAAAGTAACAAATTCACCAATTAATCTATAGTTTGCTCTATCAAAAAAAGTGTTTTTTTTGTTGAATTTGCATCTTTTTAAATGAATTTCGGTTGACTTTCAAGCAAATTCGAGAGTGAAAAACGCCTTTTTCGTAAAAATCTATAAAAAAACTCTACGGAAAAATTGGCTGAATGAATTTCTCTGAAATTTTGGCGAAATATCAAACGTTTTTTTTCTCTCTATCTTTTATCTATTGACACGAAGATAGGTTTTCTTTAGCTAAGGTGTCTAAACCGCTCAGGCTCAGGCTCAGGCTTAGGCTGAGGCTTAGCCTGAGCCTGAGCCTGAGCCTAAACCGCATCATCGAGTTAGCCCTTTTTGACTACCCGACTTCATACTCTCAAGAAAATCCAGGCATTAAATATTTTTAAACCCGTTTTAATGTTATTTTGCAGAAAAATAATTGCTTTTTCTAATGAAATCAACCGTAGTTTAATTGGTTTAATTGGTGCATTTGTTGGCTTGAAACGGCAGACGAAAAGGAACAAAAAGACTTATGCATCAACCTAATACAAGTACGGGAACTTTTGGCGCACGCTGTATTAACGCCACTTACCGCCCCATATGCTGCCGACGCTTTCTCGTAGTAGGTTGCTCCAGACAATGTATGACTTTCTGTTGAAGAATCGTGTTGAATCTAAAATTCTATTCTATTATATTATAAAATTTATATTATATTATAAAATTAAGGTAGAATTTTAAAGGATAAAATTAAAAAGTAACTGATAAAGTTAAATTCAAACCCGAAACTTCCACAAAGTGGCGCCTTTCTCGCTGATGTCACCGATGAAGATGTGATTCCCGTCGGGGGAGACTCTAGAAGTTGTAAATATATTAAAAACAGAAAAAATAAACACAGAAATGAATAAAAATAACAATATTCTTGTTAGAAAATAGCTATAATGATCTAAAAATAGCTATAATGATTACCTCAAGACGTGCGGCCGACCGAAACGCTCGGAAGTGGGCGAAAAAGCGAACTCGAGCAATCCGGTGCCAAGTCGAGAGCCGTAAACCTGAAAAGTTTTCAAAACTACTATATAAAAGAGCAATTGTACGATTTAAAACAAAAAAATTGAAAAATCAGGACCGAGAAGCGCTACGGGGGGTCGAACCCGACCCCACTCGGGGCTAGGGGGTTGTAAACAACCGCACTTCCTACTGCGCCACGGTGACTATCTGTCGGCCTCCAAAATAACCAGCTAAAGAAGCATCTAGCGACGATTCATCACCACCAAAACATTCAGCTTTTTGGCTGTTTCATATCTTATCCTTTGATTAACTAAAGGAGATGAAGTGCGTTTTGGTGTAATGGTTAACACAGTTGATCGCTAAGTGAAAGGTTGCGGGCTTGGGTCCCGGCAGCGAAGAAGTTTTTGAGCTTTCCTAGTTTATCTTATCCTTTGCTTCTTTTTCTAAAACAAACACTGATCGGAATCTCGTCTTGCGTGAAGCGATTGTACGAATTCTCGCCGGGAACCATGAAAATCGTGTCTTCAAACGAGTCACTCGAGTAGATATTCGTGAAAAGTGATGAGGAGACGACTGATTGAACAAGGCCTTCCATGTTGAGTTCCTGAAAATTGTGAGAATAGGCGAATTGATGAATTGATGTTCTGATCAAGAATTGATGTTCTCTGGGTTACGGCTCTCTGGATTACGATTCTCTGGGTTTTCAAGAAATACTCTATCATCTATCCATCGTTTTACAGTATTCAATTTACCTGTACTCTTCCGTTTTGTCGATCAGCGACAAGAAGGGTTTTCTTCGGTGAAAGGACAAGATCGTGCGGTAGCTGGAATTGCCCTTCGCCTGTACCCGGAGCGCCGAATTGAGCCTAAATATTGAACGAGTTGAGAGGGCCAGCTATACAATACAAATAAGGGCCCAGAAACCAAAAGGAAGCCCTATTCAAAAAGATGCTCTATTCAAAGTTATCGAAACGGCTTGGAACAAGATACCAGCTGATCGTTGCAAGAAGTTAGTTAAATCAATGAAGCGTAGACTCTTGGAAGTCATCAAAAACAAAAGTTTTGCCACTTCATATTAATTTTATTAATCGGTTCTATTTAAATGTCGTCATTTTTCAAACACAAATTTGTTAATTGTTGAGTTATTAAATAAATACTAAATGGTCTTTGTGCAAATGGAGCATCGGTTCTATTTAATTGTCCGCCACTGTAGATCAGCTTTAGATATTACATATCAAATTGATTTACGGCTTTGCCAACATTGGCTAGGGGAAAATTGGCTTCAAAGTGTACCTTGTATTTCCCGTCAGCTGTCAGCTCGACCACTCGCGCGTTGCAGTAACCATCAGAGATGAAGATGCTGAATGTTTTTTATTTTAATGATTAATTTAATGATGATCAGTTTTTCAGAATCTTTTAGAATCAAGATCTTTCATTTAGTTGACTAGTTTTGGACAAAGGAATGGAGAAAAGACAAAGCAAAGGACAAAGGACAAAGCAAAGGAGAAAAGACAAAGTAGAGGACAAAGCAAAGGACAAAGCAAAGGACAAAGCAGAGGACAAAGCAGAGGACAAAGCAAAGGACAAAGCAGAGGACAAAGCAGAGGACAAAGCAAAGGACAAAGCAGAGGACAAAGCAGAGGACAAAGCAAAGGACAAAGCAGAGGACAAAGCAGAGGACAAAGCAAAGGACAAAGCAGAGGGACAAAGCAGAGGGACAAAGCAGAGGACAAAGCAGAGGACAAAGCAGAGGACAAAGCAAAGGACAAAGCAGAGGACAAAGCAAAGGAGAAAAGACAAAGCAGAGGACAAAGCAAAGGAGAAAAGACAAAGTAGAGGACAAAGCAAAGGACAAAGCAAAGGACAAATCAGAGGACAAAGCAGAGGACAAAGCAGAGGACAAAGCAAAGGACAAAGAGAGGACAAAGCAGAGGACAAAGCAAAGGACAAAGCAGAGGACAAAGAGAGGACAAAGAGGACAAAGCAAAGGACAAAGCAAAGGACAAAGCAGAGGACAAAGCAAAGGACAAAGCAGAGGACAAAGCAAAGGACAAAGCAGAGGACAAAGCAGAGGACAAAGCAAAGGACAAAGCAGAGGACAAAGCAAAGGACAAAGCAAAGGAGAAAAGACAAAGCAGAGGACAAAGCAGAGGACAAAGCAGAGGACAAAGCAAAGGACAAAGCAAAGGAAAGACAAAGCAGAGGACAAAGCAGAGGACAAAGCAGAGGACAAAGCAAAGGACAAAGCAAAGGAGAAAAGACAAAGCAGAGGACAAAGCAGAGGACAAAGCAGAGGACAAAGCAAAGGACAAAGCAGAGGACAAAGCAAAGGACAAAGCAAAGGAGAAAAGACAAAGCAGAGGACAAAGCAGAGGACAAAGCAGAGGACAAAGCAAAGGACAAAGCAGAGGACAAAGCAAGGTTTCATTAGTTGACTAGCTTCTTCTTTTCAATCACTTCTTTTCAATCAATTGACTAGTTTCGGACAAAGCCAGCTCCAAATCTGAAGTCAAACCCAAGGACTATTTCTAACAAGACAAGACTGACTTCAAGCCTAGTCTAATCACTTTTAAAAGAGCTTTCAACTGACCGATCTCCATTCTTCGTCACTCCAGTCGGTTTACAAAGATGTCCATGATCGCTGCCCGGTACAAATTCCTCTCCAAAACGCCAAACAAGATCGAGTTTTTCTAAAAAATATGGAAATTATTCAATAACTGGATAAATTTTGTGGTAAAATCCTAATACTTTTCTGTCCACTAACTCTAATAATATTTTATAATACGTAAAACAGAGCATTGAATTGAATGCACTAGAAGGGGATGCGTTTACTTCAGTTCAAAGTTCACTTCTTAAACTCACTTCCGTTTTTCTTCCATTTTGTGACCGTATGCGCTCCAACATCCGTTGTATATATGTAGCCATCAACATCGACAAAGACACCATGAGGAAGGTAGAATCTAAGATTTGAGTCTAAGAATCTAAGAATTTCAAATTATAGATGAATAATTATATTATAAATATAATTTTGTAGATTCTTAAACGAAAAATCGATGCTTTTGAAAGAATTACGATGGAAAAATGATCCTTTATGATAGATTTAATAGATTTAATTTCTGTAAGCGACACGCGACAGCGAATTTCGTCTCCGTGCCAGTCTTTGGTATGACTTCAAATTGGGCAAAAGGATCGTTGAATCTCATTGAGGCCTTTGGAAAGTATTTTGGAAGATGCTATTTCGGAAAGCCAGTGTCGGCGATGGTTTCAACGATTTCGAGAAGGAGAGAACGATTTTTGGGAGATGAGGACCATCTCTTTAAATTTTGGTTCCTTATCTCTTTAAATTTGGTTCCTTTTGTCTCTATATCTGCTTCCTTATCTCTCCAAATTTGGTTCCTTATCTCTCTACATTCCCTTCCTTATCTCTCTATATTCCCTTCCTTATCTCTCTAATTTTACAGTCTCAAATCACTCACTGATTTCCTCCAAGTGCCTCAACGAGCACCGGAGTGTTCCCATCGAATCTTGTCATCAATAATGTCGGCTCGGCAATTGGTTTCTTGTCTTGTAAATGATTTGAGGCATCAAATGTACTAAAAAGAGAATGAATTAGAATCTTTCCAATCTTTTCAAGCTTTTACCTTCCATCCCAAACCCTCGAGCCTCTATGGAAAATGAAAAGATTTTTCTGTTGATCGAATGCTAATCCAGAGATTTGTCCTAGAGTGATGTCACCGATTTTTTGAATTTTTGCTTCTTCAATGATGCCGAAAGGTCTCTGGAATGGTTGATTGATAATTTCTAGGCAAGAACAGGAAAGGCAAGGCCCAGAAGTCCAGAAAAACAAGTCTGACTTGGCTCTGGGCAAATTGTAAGCTAATTTATTGCTCAAGCTAAGCTAAGGGAATTGCTCTAGCATTGATTTGGGATATAAAAACTAGCACAAAAAAAGCCACCAAGTCAACAGCCACAAAAGCCGCTCTAGCATTGATTTAGGATATAGAAACTAGCACAAAAAAGCCACCAAATCAACAGCCACAAAAGCCAACAATTCTAAGAATACTGTTTTTCTGTTTCACTCTATGGTTTCACTCAGTTTTCAAGAAAAATGCTTCTAAAATTTAAACCTCGCCACCGTAATATAAAGCTGAATTACTTTCCTCAAGTGACTCTATGGTGTAGCGGATAGTGGGCTTGCCTTCCTTGATTTTAGAACTTCTCCTTGATTCAGCCTTGTCCCTGGTTCGAATCCCCTCACCGCCACTTTCTCCTTTTTGTGAAAGCACCAATTTTTGAGGTATTTTAAAGTATTTAAAGGTATTTTAAAGTATTCGGAAGTAAGTAACAGTTCTCGGAAATGACTGCGAACAACTTTCAGTGATAAAAGAAGATCAGCTCTAGTTAGCCTGATTAGCTCTAGTTAGCCTGATCAGCTCTAGTTAGTTTTTTGTCTGAGCCTGTTTTGGCTAACCAGCTTCATTCAGGATTATTTCTGAGCTTCATTCAGGATTATTTCTAAAGGAATTGCCTGAGCCATGCGAAAACAAAGCAATCAAAACAATCAAAACAAGCAGTTTTCTGAACAAAACAAGGTTTTAGCCTAAAGTTGTGTCATTATCTGGCTTCAAAAGTACTTTTAGACAATCTAGCTTCACTTTTAGAACCTCTGCAACTTTTCAGCTTCACTTTTAGAACTTCTCCTTCCACTTCTACAACTTTCAACTCCTCACCCCGCTTTGCAAAGCCGTGTGCTCCAACTCTGGCCGCGGTGGCAACAACTCGAAGCCTTCTTTCGGGTATTCTGTACCGAAGAGTTCACTGGAAATAAATATTAAGAGAAAATTAACAAGGGAATTGTTTGAGCTCGGAATCGGTCTGGGGTAGGTGATCTATCTACATAACCCCATCTTAAAAAGTCAGGGAATACGTTTTTAGTCAGGGAAGTTTTTATTTTCACTTTTCTATGTTTAAAATCTTTGTAAAAACGCATTGAATGTTTTAGCGATTTTCGAAAAATCCGGTCCGCGCGCTTAAAACGGATTTGTCGCGAGCCCAGCGGATCGACCAGACGGTGTACTGAATAGTAGACATGGGGAAATCGGGGGCGACAATGTTTTGGCCAATAATTTTTGAATAGTAGACATGGGGAAATCGGGGGCGACAATGTTTTGGCCAATAATTTTTGAATAGTAGACATGGGGAAATCGGGGGCGACAATGTTTTGGCCAATAATTTTTGAATAGCAGTCATGGAAAATCGGGGGCGACAATGTTTTGGCCAATAATTTTTGATTTGTGCATCGAAAACTAAAAATATTCCCTAAGATGGGTTTATGTAGATAAATCACCTTTTCCCAGATCGATTCCGAGCTCAAACAATTCCCTTGTAAGAGAATTTTCAATTTAGAACTTGTTTTTTGGCTTTTCAGCTTGAAAAACTAATACAGTGCTCGAGGAATGAAAATTCCCGGTGCTAAATTGATCAATCAACTAGTTGCCATTGCCAAAGCTGACTCACTTTGCATTTTGTATGAAATTTGCATAAAAAGTTGCTTAGATTCTGCTTGAGGAGTATATCAAAAGAACGCGATTGCAAAAAAGGTCAAAAGAGCATCGTAAGAGCTCTTAAAGCGTCGTAAGAGCTCTTAAAGCGTCGTAAGAGCTCATAAAGCGTCGAAAGAGCTCTTAAAGCGTCGTAAGCGCTCTTAAAGCGTCGTAAGAGCTCATAAAGCGTCGAAAGAGCTCTTAAAGCGTCGTAAGCGCTCTTAAAGCGTCGTAAGCGCTCTTAAAGCGTCGTAAGCGCTCTTAAAGCGTCGTAAGAGCTCTTAAAGCGTCGTAAGCGCTCTTAAAGCGTCGTAAGAGCTCATAAAGCGTCGAAAGAGCTCTTAAAGCGTCGTAAGAGCTCATAAAGCGTCGTAATAGCTCTTAAAGCGTCGAAAGAGCTCTTAAAGCGTCGAAAGAGCTCTTAAAGCGTCGTAAGCGCTCTTAAAGCGTCGTAAGAGCGTCGTAAGAGCTCGTCTTAGGTAGAATATTTTTCAGAGCCTCATCAGAGCCAAGATCTCGTCCTAAGATCTGAAAGAGGGAGCTCTTATCTCTTTTAAGCGGCGCTCTTTTGATCTAGTCCCTCTGCTTGTTTTCAATTCAAATAATATGCTAATATGTTTTTGATTAATTGATCAATTGTTCAATCAATTGTTCAATCAATTGTTTATGATCAATTGATTGACAATTAACAACTTACGGTTGTTCATTTCCACCACAAACAGCTCCATATGGGAACGGATCGGGTTTCGTCGCCTCCCAGTAAAACATCATATAGAAATTACACATCTCGTTCGTTCCCATGTGTCTGAAAGAGGAATTCTGAAATAGTTTTAGAAGAGTCATTAAGCTTTAGAGATTTAAAAGTACAACAACGTTCTACCGATTAGAGATTTTAGAGATTCTTTAGAGATTTAAAAGTTCTACCGATTCTCAGTGCCTTTAACTGAGTGAGAGCTGAATGACAAATGTTAAACTTGTTAAACAGTTGCTAAACTTGTTAAACAGTTGCTAAACTTGTTGTTAAACTTGTTAAACTTGTTGTTAAACAGTTGCTAAACTTGTTAAACTTGTTAAACAGTTGCTAAACTTGTTAAACTTGTTGTTAAACAGTTGCTAAACTTGTTAAATAGTTGCTAAACTTGTTAAACTTGTTGTTAAACAGTTGCTAAACTTGTTAAACTTGTTAAACAGTTGCTAAACTTGTTAAACTTGTTGTTAAACAGTTGCTAAACAGTTGTTAAACAGTTGCTAAACTTGTTGCTAAACAGTTTTTAAACAGTTGTTTAATAGTTGTTAAACTTTAAATATGAAAATTTTAGTTTAGCACAATCACGACGAACCGGCCAACGATACTAATAACGAATTTTTTGTGTCAACTTAGTTTATTAGGGATTAGGTGATTTCTTTTGCAGAAAGTTTAGAAATCCCAACAGTGCTCATGAAATTCAATAAAGATTTGATAGATTTGGATTTGATTTGGACTTGCCTTTGATCTAGCATTGACTTTGATCTAGATCTGAGCTCAAAAAGCCGATTCTACTCACCCCATTGGCGTTGTTTCTGTCATGTTACTCGAGTCGAAACGACAAGTTGCTGCCAGCATATCACCCTTTTGAATCTTCAACGGATGATCGATCTTTTCGAAGAGCTTAAAGATTTAATGATTTTTGAGATTAGCAAGTCTAGATGTTACTGTAATTGGGTAGAATTCTAGACTAGGAGATGTGTTGGCAACGATATTTCTATCACTTAGAGTTGGCAACGATATTTCTATCACTTATCGCAATCTTGATCAACCTGTGGCCATTGTGGATTGCGTTTTCCGATTTTCGTCCACTCGTTTCCGTGCTTAAAATAACCGGACACAACGCGGCCCATCGCATGGGTGTGCGTTCTGAAAAACCTCTTATAAACATCTTATAAACATTTGTAATCTTTGGGAAAAGATTTGGGAAGATTTTTCTCAAAGAAAGTCGAGCTTGAATCTTGTAATGGCTACAGTCTGATTGTAGCGACTATTTGACGTTAAAGTCAACTAAAATGCTATGAAGATTAGACATTTTCGTGCTAATTGAACAATTCTCATGCACTAGAAGGCTTTGATTGCTCGAATAACAATAATAACTGGTCGAAAGCTATGAGTAGTCACATTTTAAACGTCATTCTCTGTGATCCAATCAAATTTTCTCTGTGATCCAATCAAATTACTGCTTCAAAACCCCAAAATCAAACCAAAAACATTCAAACCTGAAAGCAAACGGGTGCATGTCTGTTTCGTGATCGTATTTGCAGCTCATATTGCTCTGGAATTGTTGCATTTTCGGCGGGATTGGGTATCCAGCCACAAACAACATCACAGCTGCCAGGAATCTGAAAAAAAGGGTCAGAATAAGGTACAGTACTTAAAAAGCATTAGGTTTCGATTTGTTTCCCATTTGGTTCCAATTCGGGTCCGATTCGGAATCGATTTGGTTCTGACTCGGTTCCGATTCGGATTCGATTCGGTTCTGATTCAATTCGGTTATATTCAGTTCAGATTTGTTTCCCATTCGGTTCTCATTCGGTTCCGAATAGGCTCCGATTTGGTTCCCATTCGGATCCAATTCGGTTCTGATTCGGATTCAATTCGGTTCCAATTCGGATCCGGATCCGATTCGGTTTCGATTTGTTTCCCATTCGGTTCCGAATCGGCTCCGATTTGGTTCCCATTCGGATCCAATTCGGATCCAATTCGGTTCTGATTCGGTTCTGATTTGTTTCCCATTCGGTTCCAATTCGGATTCAATTCGGATCCTTTAAAAATCCTTACATCGGTTGTTCATCATTCATGTGAAGAGTCACTCCCGAATAGTCCATCACATTGCCGACAAACGGTTGAGCGTAGTGGATCTGAAGAAAGAAATTCGCATTCCTGTAGTTGGTTTTAGATTTCTCACCTGTAGCACGAGCACTTTAATCGAGCTGTCTTCATGGCCGATATTGAAGGCGACACCGGGTGGCAAGTTGAGATTCGGAGCTGAAAAAAAGCAGTTTCTTGCCAATTTCGAGTACATTGATTGGTAAAATATTGTAATATTAACAAGCACTGTTGTTATGAAAACAACAACAGCTCTATTTTCTTCTAGAACCTGGCAGCAATTAGATTTTAGAGCTGATTGGTTGATTGATTAGGTACTAAGATTGATTTGAAGATGGTAGGTAGTATTGAAAGATTGATTAGGTAGTAAATACTAGGGTAAAAGTCAGATCTTGGCTCGACTGAAGAAGTTCGACTCGACGGAAAGTTCTCGAATCCGCCAGAAGGCGCCAGAGGCCTGGACTTAACCTGGATTACAGGCCCTAAGCCCTTGGAACAACGGGGACAGGCCAGACTCAGGTCCAGGTCAAAGTAGATCAGACTAGTTCAGGCCTGGGTCAGATTCAGGTCCAGGTCGCCAAATTGGGCGACTAGGACCAGCCTAGGTGGCAAGTCCTAGTCGCCCAATTTAGACATGGCAAAATTCCAAGCCAAACCTAATTCCACCTTCGTTTTTTTGGCTGATTTTCAGCCGGTTGCTCTGAAATTTTGTGTACTAATAGAAATTATCATTTTTAGCTTGTAGACAAAATCTCAGAGCAATCCGTCAAGAAACGGTCGAGAAAATGAAGGTGGAATTAGGATCGGATTGGAATTTTCCCATGTCTAGCCCAATTCGACCAACCAAGTTGAAGTAAAGCCTCTTGATTAGGAAAAACAAACCATTCCTTGCCCAAGCATAGAGAATATGTGATGGCCCACTGCCGCAAGTTGCCATTCCGGTCCAGAATTGTTCCTGCGAGTAGGCCACCTCACATCCGTACAACAGCATGTGATGCACCCTGTCAGCGTGCGCGATCGGCTCGAAACCGACTGAAAATTTGAATTTTTTGAATTTAAGTTAAATTTTACAATTTCTCTTTACTTAAAGTCGTTTTTTTCGACTTTTTCTTTATTATTTTATTTATTATTCACTCACCAATGTAGCCAGCCTCAGCTTGCATTTGCACAGCCACATAATCATCCGTCTGAATAAAGAAAAGAATTAAAAACTTAAATAGATCTTTTAGAAATAATTTTCTAGTATTTACGACAGATTTTATTAAAGATTTGACAAAAGTTTGAGATTTATTTAGTCGACTAGCTGTACTTTGTGCTCGAATTTGTAAACGAATCCTTTCTGAACTGAAAATTTGTTTCAGCATCAGCTCTGGATACCATAAAACTCTAATAGAACGCCAAATCTTCGTACAATCGCCTAGTCTAACTTCTTTTTAGAAAATCATTCTTTTCTCAGCCCCTAGATTTTTCCCAACACTTTTGATACTAAAAAAATACAAGATTTCAAGGGCTATCATTTGACATCCAAACGAAAACTCTAGCATAAACCAGCGCGGAGAACGGAGAGTTCAAAGTTACACTACGCCATTGTACGCCCGTCATTGTAGGGCTGGCGTTCTATTAGCGTATCAGCTGAAAAATCCGCCTAACAGCGGGTTTTTCTCGCGGGATTCTTTAGGGATGACGCATAGTAGCGTAGTTGGAAGTGCGCTTGTTTACAATCTTTCTTTTTTAATCGTGTTATGAAGTCAGACAGATTACAGTATATCTATTCTGAAGCTTGATCTAATTCTCTAAAATTTCTTACTTTTGTGGGAGAATATCCGATCATTTGTATTGTAGATTTTCGATTGTTCGATGTTCGTCTTGGCACAGAGACACCAAGAATCGGAATGGCAAAGAGAAGAAACGAAACGAAACCTAACGGCCACGGGGGACCTTTCATCCTAAAAATCGAGAGATCAAAGAAGAAGATCATCAAAATTAAAAGAGAAACAAGAAAGGAACAAGAAAGGAACAAGAAACGAACAAAAAAGAGACATCAACATCAATTTCGCTATAGAATTGAGCATCGAAATGAAGTTTGAAAAGATTGTTTGTACTTTGCGTTGTACTTTGCGAACAAACGCACCGTTCTCGGCAAAAATTCTCGATTTGGTGACGATTTTCTATTAATTCAGTGCATCAGAAAAGATGTTTTACGAATTTTGATTGCAAAGTGCGCAAAGCGAACACGAAAACTGTCAAATTGTCTGTCAAAAATCGAGCAAAAGTCATTGCAATGTAAAAGGAAAGCAAAAAGAATTCAATTTTGGAATCCTTTATCCATTTTTGGATCCCTGAATCCCTTGTATCCATTTGATTTTAAAAATTACATTTCACAAAAAGCTTCAAAGAGAAAATCGATTTTTCATCTCCTTTTGAGTCAAAAAAAAGAAAAAAATGGGAAAAGAGCAAAAAAGAGATTTCAGAATATAATCTGAAAAAGATTTTTGGCTCTTGCGTAGTTTCCGGGTATTTTGAAAGGGTCGCCAAGCTTTGATGGCCTATTACTTTGTCCAGAGATAATATTAGAGTTAACTTTTTATATCATTGTATAGATAACATTTCAGGCTTTCAAATGATACCAAATAAAGCTACATTGGATTTTTTAGTCCCATCAAAAACAAGGTGACATGAGACCCGAGTTGGATAGGACTTACTTTGGATTACTTACTGGATTCTGTTGGATTCTTACTATAAGACTAAAAATTTGGCCGCTTGTGTGTTTTCCGTAGTTTGTAGTTTCTGGTGTTTTGAAAGAATCCTGCTCTTTGAAGGGGTCGCCAAGCTTTGATTGCCTATAACTTTGTCCAGAGATCATATTTTTGCTAACTTTTTATATCATTGTACAGAGGACTTTTCAGGCTTTCAAATGATACCAAATAGAGCTTGATTGAATAATCCAGTCCAAGAAAATCAAGCAGTACTGGATCCGAGTTGGATCGATCTCGTTTGTTGAGAGTTGGCTCCGATTTTCTTGGACTGGATTATTCAATCAAGCTCTATTTGGTATCATTTAAAAGCCTGAAATGTTATCTATACAATGATATAAAAAGTTAGCAAAAATATCGTTGCTGGACAATGTTATAGGCCATCAAAGTGCGAGGACTCGTACAAAACTTCTTCGATGATCAAAATTTCTCTGATGGCTTTGATGATCTATAACTTTGCCCAGAGATAATATTTTTCTTAACTTTTTATATCATTGTAGAGAGGACTTTTCAGACTTTCAAATGATGTTAATTGAATTGAATAAACAAGACCAAGAAAATCAGAGCCAACTCTAAGCAAATGAGGTCTATTCAAGAGAATCTCGTGTCGCCTTGTTTTCATGGGACTGAAAAGTCGAATGTAGCTTTATTTGGTATCATTTGAAAGCCTGAAATGTTCGCTGTACAATGATATAAAAGGTTAAGAAAAATATAATTTCTGGACAAAGTTATAGGTCTTCAAAGTGTGGCGATCCGTTCAAAGAGCAGGATTCTTTCAAAACACCAGAAACTACAAACTACGGAAAACACACAAGCGGCCAAATTTTTAGTCTTATAGTAAGAATCCAACAGAATCCAGTAAGTAATCCAAAGTAAGTCCTATCCAACTCGGGTCTCATGTCACCTTGTTTTTGATGGGACTAAAAAATCCAATGTAGCTTTATTTGGTATCATTTGAAAGCCTGAAATGTTATCTATACAATGATATAAAAAGTTAACTCTAATATTATCTCTGGACAAAGTAATAGGCCATCAAAGCTTGGCGACCCTTTCAAAATACCCGGAAACTACGCAAGAGCCAAAAATCTTTTTCAGATTATATTCTGAAATCTCTTTTTTGCTCTTTTCCCATTTTTTTTCCTTTTTTCTTTTAAATGATACCAAATAGAGCTTGATTGAATAATCCAGTCCAAGAAAATCAAGCAGTACTGGGTCCGAGTTGGATCGATCTCGTTTGATGAGAGTTGGCTCCGATTTTATTGGATTGGATTATTCAATCAAGCTCTATTTGGTATCATTTGAAAGTCTGAAATGCTATCTTTACAATGAAATAAAAGGTTAAGAAAAATATCATTGTTGGACAAAGTTATAGGTCTTCAAAGTGTGGCGATCCGTTCAAAGTTTGGCGATCTTCTCAATTCAATTCTATGCAATTAAAATTGTTATAAAAGTATTAGAAAGATGCTTAAAGTAAAAAGAATAAACATTGAACAATGACTAGTTAAATTTGTAAAGAAATCAGATTCTTAAAGAGGCAAAAGATTTTCTTTAAGTCAAAAGGCAAAGCCAGTCAAAAGGTAAAGCCATATTCGATTCGAATTCAAAAATCAATACCAAAGTTTATCAAGTTCTGAAAAGAAAAAGATTTAAGCATTTTTAAAGTTAAAGATTTAAGCATTTAAAGATTTTTAAAGTTTAAAGTTTAAAGCAAAAGTTGAGCGAAAATTCAGCATTTTTTTTTTCTTATTTTCCCCTCTTCGTTATCTTTATTTGTTCAAATAAAAATCAGAATTTCATTTTTTTTTCGTTTGCACGTCATCACATTAAATTGATGAGGTGTTAGAAAAGGAATTTCTTTTTTTTAAAGCTTTTTTCTTTTTCTCTCCTTTTTCTTTACTGAAAAGTTGAATTTAGAAAAGAATTTTGGAAAGAAATGAATGAAAATGGCCATGAATGAATTTAAATGAAGTGAAAATGTAAACAAAACATTAGATTGGAAAGAAAGTTCTCGGAAACAAGGTTTGTAAGAAGTGAAGAGAAAGAAAAACGGCTGATCAAAGTTGATCGATTTCTGTAGGTAAGTAGTTCAACTTTGACACAACTTTTCTCTATGTTCTTATACATGAATATGCAAAACAAATTCCACGTTTCTTTAACCAAATTTAATGAGGATCATTTTAAAACCAACTATAAGTTGATTGAGCTTCTACACCTCGAGTTATAGATCATCTAAGTTGAGCAACTTTTGTGGGTAAATAGTTCAACTTTGACACAAATTTTCTCTATGTTCTTACACATGAGTATACAAAATAAATTGTACTTCTCTATAACCAAATTTAATAAGGATCATTTTAAAACCAACGTCAAGTCGATCCAATCACTGGAAGTCGAGTTATAGAGTAAAATAGAAAAGTTCCCAAACTCCGAGACTCGTAATTTGGAAGTTCAACTTTGACACAACTTTTCCCTATGTTCTTATACATGAATATACAAAACAAATTCCAAGTTTCTTTAGTCGAATTTAATCATGATTCTATTAAAACCAACCATAAGTTGATTGAGCTTCTACACCTCGAGTTATAGACCATCTAAGTTGAGCAACTTTTGTAGGTAAGTAGTTCAACTTTGACACAAATTTTCTCTATGTTCTTACACATGAGTATACAAAATAAATTGTACTTTTCTATAACCAAATTTGATGAAGATTCTTTTAAAACCAACCGTAAGTCTATCCGATGACTGGAAGTCGAGTTATAGAGTAAAATAGGAAAGGTAAGCTAAGGTGTCATTTTGACTATAGAAAAACGGTACTTTAGCGCACTTTAGCGCGAAAAACGGCACTACGGTGATTTCTCAAAAACTATGTTCTCTATGCTCAAGTGCTCCCGTCAAACATTTTCCGAGAACTTTCTTTCAAACCTAATATGCCAAGATTTGCTTTTGCTTAGGCTAATCTTAAATAGTCTTAAATAATCTTAAATAGCTTAAAATTCTCACTTCTAACTAGCTTTAGCATTAGCTCGTATGCTAATTCTTATCAGAAATTGAAAAAAAATGGCATAAACAGGGCCGATTTAGAACAGTAAATTGATATAAAAAGTGAAGCAAAGTGAAGCAAAGATTTCGATTCATTGTCTAGATCCTTCAATAAATAATACAATCAATTAATTCTCAATTTTTCAATGAAAACAAAACCCGTTTAGCAAATAGTGACATAATTGAGCCAAAGAAAAGTGTAGAAAAGAAAAAAGGAAAGAAAAGAACTTAGATCTTTGAAAATTGAGAGGAAAAAGATGAAAAAAGAGAAGAAAAAGTCAACTTTGGCCTACTTTTGTAATAAATAGAGAAAATGAACAAGTATTTGAAGGAATTTGAGGGGAATTCTCGCAAAAGAATCGATTGAAAATACGGAAATGTTTGATAACTTGAAGAGTTTTATGGTTTTTTTGGTGTTTTATTTGAAAAAGCAAAAATCTTTGACGAGAGTGGGGTTCGAACCCACGCCTCCGAAGAGACCAGTGCCTAAAACTGGCGCCTTAGACCACTCGGCCATCTCGCCATGGAACCGGTGATTCTTGAAAAGGTTTAGTATCCTTATGTCGTAATGAAATGAGTGGGTGACTGGATATTCAGCGTAGGCCTAATAACGAAATTGGTAAAACGAGAGGGTTGAATGAAATGGAGGAAGGGGGAAAGGGGGAAAGAGAGAAAGAGGGAAAGAAGGGGAGGAGGGGAAAGAAGAGAAAGAAGAGAAAGAAGAGAAAGAAGAGGAAGAAGAGGAAGAAGAGAAAGAAGGGAAAGAAGGGAAAGAGAAGAAAGAGCCCAAAAAGGGAAAGAGAAGAAAGAGCCAAAAAGGGACAAAGCGAGAAACGTCATGAATGGGCAAAATTGAAGAAAAATAGGGAAATGAGTAGAAGAAACAGGAGAAATGAAAGAAAAAAGGGGAAAGGAAACGAATTCGGCTTCCCCTTTTTGGTCACTCTTTAGGGAATGGAAGGATGATGAAAAGAGACGAAGGAAGTGAATGTCAACGAGCGCTGGAGTTCGATCGACAAGGATATGACAGCTAAAAAAGCTACTTTAGCACTATTTTGATCAGTTAATCTACAAATTATAAGGCTTCGATGTGCATAGAAATTAACACTAGAGATGCGGAGTAAAAGATAAGAAAGCTGAATCAAAGCTGAATCAAAGCTGAATTGAGAAGACTACAATTCTGTGAAAGTTGCGCCTTTTTAGAATTCTCTCTAGAAAGTTTCCTGATTGATTTTTCTTTCATTTGTTTATAGCTAAAATAGCTAGATTTATAGCTAAAAGATAGCCAATCTTTTACAGAATTTAAATCTTATTACAGTTTTTAAATAACTTTTTTAGATTTTAAGTTATCGCAATTTGTGTGAGCTCTGTGATCACACCAGTTATTAGTATTCAAAGATAAAAATAAAAAAAATAATGATTTGATCTGTCTTCGCACTTAGCGCAGATCACAACCTGCTTCCACATTTACTGAGGCAGAAGTGTAGTTGTCGTAGCCGATGATACTCCGATGGCCGGGCTGGGGCGCTCGGAGGGGAACCCATGGGAGTCGAACCCACGACTAACCCGCGCCGACGTTGCTCAACTTGGCAGATCGGACGGGGTCGACCACAGACCCTTCCCTTTCTGATTCAAAGATACTCTTTACGAAAGACGATAACTTAAAATCTAAAGAAGTTATTTAAAAATGATAATAAGAATTAAATTCTGTAAAAAATTGGCTATCTTTTAGCTATAAATCTAGCTATTTTAGCTATAAACAAATGAAATAAAAAAATCAATCAGAAAGCTTTCTAGAGAGAATTCTAAAAAGGCGCAACTTTCGCAGAATTGTAGTCTTCTCAATTCAGCTTTGATTCAGCTTTGATTCAGCTTTCTTATCTTTTACTCCGCATCTCTAGTGTTAATTTCTATGCTCATCGAAGCCTTATAATTTGTAGATTAACTGATCAAAATAGTGCTAAAGTAGCTTTTTTAGCTGTCATATCCTTCTCGACACTTATGAAATAATAAAAATCATAGAGAAAACAATTAGAGAGAATTTCAAAAGGATAGAACTTTCGCCGCACTCTTTATGAGAGGCTAAAAATATTCTAGAAGCTTTAAAAGACACATAAATATACATACCGTAAATACTGTAACAGTACCCCACCCCCATAATGACGGTGCGTAGTCTGGCTTTGAACGAGTTTTTCTCGACACTGGTTTATGCTACAATACTCGTTTAGGTATCAAAAAATAGTTGAAATTCAGGGCTATTTTTTTGATACCTAAACGAGCATTGTAGCATAAACCAGTGTCGAGAAAAACTCGTTCAAAGCTAGACTACACAACGCTCCGCATCGTCATTATGGGGGTGGGGTACTATTACAGTATTTACGGTAGGAATCTAACAAGTATCCAAGGCAAGACAGATTTAACGTCAAGTTTGTTTGTTTGTCAACTAAATATCTTTACATTTGAAAGAAAAGCCCACCAAAGTTAAACAGCTGAATATCTTTAAAAGAAGTCGTATATAAGGCGGCGCTCGTTTTTCACTCGTTTTTCACTCGTTTTTCCTATTTTTTTTGCAATAATTCTGCAAATACGATAATTTTTCTTAAGTTTTGCGTTTTAAAAAACGAAAAGAACATACTCTTTTTGGAATATATGATAAGATAGATTAATAAAAAGAGATAGGAAATTGGATGTGAACAAAGGGAAGATTAGGGATAGATAATAAAGACTCTAAAAGATTAAACTTTAAAAGAAGATAGGATATAGAATGAGAATATAGAACGAGAATATAGAACGAGAATATAAAACGAGAACTCTAGAAAAGAAGTGCTTGAAGGGGGAAGGATGAAAAAGAGAGAAAATCGGAGAGAGATTGGAAGAGACGGAGAGAAACGCGTTGCATTTCCCCCTTCCAACCGACCATCCTATTTCCCATCAAAGGAGCACCTTTTAGACCACATGGAAAGACAGAAACATTGGGATTTCTGTGAAAAAAGAACAGTCTTATCGACTCAATCTCATAATACGGTTCCAATACGGTTCCTATTTTGATCTAATACGGTCTTATCGACTCAATCTGAATCTTTATCTCAACAACAACAAATACTTCTAATCACCTCATTAAAAAGCGAATTCTAAAACTAACAACAATACTTTCAATGTGTAACTTTTGGGAAATAGCAGTAACAAATTCATATTCTAAAAATAATATATAACGTTGTCAATTTGCAATTTGCAATTGCATCAATTGTGATGTAAAAACCATTCTTGTACAATCTACAACTTTATTCTTTTATTCTGCAATAAATTAAGACCCGTTATCGTTAAATCAACTGGTTCAATCAACTGTTTAGTAGAATGTACAAATAGAAATGATGCATAGAGTAAATCTAGCTTCTTCTCGAGAACTTCTTTTTAGTTTACGATCATGAATTGGTTTTCGCAAAAGTCGGCACATCAGCCGAATCGCTGACACAGAGACCATCTTTTGGGTAGAATGGAGGACAACACTGCGGTTCCTCGCAACGAGCCAGCACGTCACCCAATCTAGAATTTCGAGATTAAATAGTTGCCCATTGAATAGTACCAAACAATTGGATAATACAGATCTAGGACAAAGCCAGGCTCGACTTCAGAACTAGATCCTAGTTCGGCTCTGTCTAGATCCTAATCTGGCTCTGTCTAGATCCTAGTTCGGCTCTGTCTAGATCCTAGTTCTGCTCTGTCTAGATCCTAATCTGGCTCTGTCTAGATCCTAATCTGGCTCTGTCTAGATCCTAGTTCGGCTCTGTCTAGATCCTAGTTCGGCTCTGTCTAGATCCTAGTTCGGCTCTGTCTAGATCCTAGTTCTGCTCTGTCTAGATCCTAGTTCTGCTCTGTCTAGATCCTAGTTCTGCTCTGTCTAGATCCTAGTCTAGATCGTTGTTTATTTACCATCAATTTTTGACGCCTTGAAGCTAGTTTGTAGCTAATTTTTTGCTCATTCCGAATGAATATCTAAATCGTTTTTGTGTAATGAATTGAAATTTTCGATTTAAATCCTTTTAAAGTTTGTTTGTGTAAAAAAGAAGTTTTTCTTGCGTTGCGCTTTCTGCCCGCGCAAGTATCAGGCGATTTTGCGTCCACTCAACAAATGTCGTGGTTAGTTCGCTAGACTCTGAACTTTTTGAGACCCTAGCGAGCGAGTGGTTCGAGCCCGGACTTCGAGAAAGCTTTGCTTCTCTTCTCGGCTTCTCTTTTAACTCTCTGTCTGTCATTAGTGTTTACATGAATATCGCTATGCGCTTTGCAACATTTATGACTTTAACAAGAATTCTTTTACAAAAAACAAAGCTTTGATTAAGTCTTGGCTCGAATCAAGGCTCGAGTCGAGTCTCAAACGAGAGTCTAGCGCACTAACCACTTGAACACAACGACATATCTTCGAGAAACGGAAGATTGCTTGATACTCGCGCGGTCAGAAAGCGCAACGCAAGAAAAACTTCTTTTTTACACAAACAAACTTTAAACGGATTTAAATCGAAAATTTCAATTCATTACACAAAAACGATTTAGATATTCGGAATGAGCCAAGTCGATCACTTGATCTCAACCCGATAGAGAACCTCTAGAGCATCTTGGTTTTACCCTCTAGGGCAAATTTACAAAAATCCACCACAGTTTTTATCTGTTGCTGATCTTAAAGTCGCTATTCGGCTTGCTTTGAACGCTTGCTTTGGCTTGCTTTGAACGCTTGCTTTGGCTTGCTTTGAACGCTTGCTTTGGTTTGCTTTGGACGCTTACTTTGGCTTGCTTTGAATACTTGCTTTGGCTTGCTTTGGACGCTTACTTTGGCTTGCTTTGAATACTTGCTTTGGCTTGCTTTGGACGCTTACTTTGGCTTGCTTTGAACGCTTGCTTTGGCTTGCTTTGAACGCTTGCTTTGGCTTGCTTTGAATACTTGCTTTGGCTTGCTTTGGACGCTTACTTTGGCTTGCTTTGAATACTTGCTTTGGCTTGCTTTGGATCTAAACCTCCTTCAAAACCTAAACCTCCTGCAAAACCTCGTTTCTTCAATGCCAAATCACAGTTTTCATCATTAATTGATCCGGCAGAATAACCGATTATTGATAATGTTTTCTTTGGCTTCAACAAGATTGGTGTTGGTGGCAATAAGGCTTCAACATGATGGCTTGTTGGTGGCAACAAAGCTTCAACCAGGCATTGTGGCACTTCAATGTTTTTTTGTTGAATGAGCTAGCTTTCCAATGAGCTAATGAGCTATCTTTCCAATGAGCTAATGAGCTAATGAGCTATCTTTCCAATGAGCTAATGAGCTATCTTTCCAAATGAGCTAATGAGCTATCTTTCCAATGAGCTAATGAGCTATCTTTCCAAATGAACGCATGAATGCATGACATTTACAAAAGCCTTATTTATCATTGATTTCATCGACTTATCAATCAAAATCCCAGTTTTCTCAACTTTTCTCATCACTCACTTTGCACAAACTTTCCCGGCGCAGAAATTGCGATCACTCAAATACTTGGCACAGTTTTTGTCAACTGGACAAGCGACGAGATTGCATGTAGAGAATTCTTGGTTTTTTCCGCTAAAATTGAGAAATTTAGATAGATTTAGATCTTCTGGTTATCTATTTAAAGAAATCTATTTAAAGATTTGCATAAACAAACTCGCAATCCTTTGTCAAACATCGTCTGAATCGACTCCTTATCCCACATCCACCACAACTTCTCGAGCAATCACTCCACGCGCCCCATTCAGCCCAAACGTTGTTACCAGCTATTGTCACCGTTCGCACTAAAGAATCGATTTGATTATTTGTAATTTAGAACTTAGACAAAGCCTCACGAGTTAACAATAGGCTCGAGGATTTTTGAAGAGCTTTCAAGAGCTTTAAAGAGCTTTAAAGATCTTTAAAGCACTCCTTTTGCTTTTAAGGGATAGCTAGCTGGGCAGGCAAGGAATGGCTTTTAAAAAATGGTTAACTTTTTCTTAAAACAACTTTTTTTTTGGAGTAAATTATGTGTAAACTTCAAATTTCATCGTGAAAAGTTGGGAAAATTCGTTTTTTGATTAAAGGTACGAAGCCAAGGTGAGCCTTTGTCTCGTGGACTTTATTGAATCGGGCACGAGGAATCCGAATCTCAAATCAAAATCTCCCAAATGACTTTCCAGATTTGTAAATATTTAATCGAAATTTTACTTGGAAATTAAAAATTGGCTTCGAAAAGAGGAAAACGGATGCTTTAAAGGGCTCTTTTCTCGAGGAGAGAAAGGGCATTGGTGGCCGAGTGGATAGTGCGCTGGGCTCTCAGCCATAGGACCTGGGTTCGCACCCTAATGCGACTTTTTGTTTTTGTTTTTCTTTCGAAACAACGTCTAGGATTTGCATAATTGCATTATTTCGGCTTGCAAAGTTGGAATTGGTTCTTCAAGTTCGTTTCGGTTCTACGAAAATGGACAAAATGATCAAAAACGATCAAAAACGTTCAAAAACGAGTTTTCTCAATTTCATTTATTCCAAGAAGGCTAAAAGTGTTTAAAAAAGAAATAAATATCAGCTTTTTCATGTTTTTAAGGAAAACAAGTATTTCTGGTGAACAATGTTAGTACAAAGACTCACTTCTTTTCGCCAAAATTGGCGCTGGCGTGGTTCTGGGTGGTTTATCGCCTAAAAATTGATAAAATTGATAAAATTGATAAAATTTTCAAAATATTTAGCCATAATCTAACTAGATATTGTAAATATTTCTTTTAATATCGAAATTTTGAAATTTTCGACTCACTGGCTTTCGCGCGCAACTTGAAGCCAATATCGGGAGCGAATTGTGATCGAAAAAGCACGATCGCCATCTCATTTTCCGAAACAAATGTATCTATTGGCTTTTTTGAGCAACAGATTCTAGAAATCGATAGGAATATTATTCTACTATTAGAAGAATTCGATTTCAACCTGTATCCAGTATTTTTAAGATCCGAGGACAATTTCAACTCGACGTAATCAGTGCAAACGGTTGTGCAGAGAAAGGAGAAATCGTCGACGAACTCGAGCTCGACTCGACGACCCTGAGGAGCCTGGAAAGTTTGAATATCAATTGTAGTATCAATTCTACAGTACACATGAAGCCAAATTTCAACGCTAAAAGACACTATAAGTACCGTAGCCGGCCTTTTTGTTTGTTGGGTTACCAGCTGTGCTGAGATTACCAGCTGTTGGGTTACCAGCTACGCTGAGATTACCAGCTGTTGGGTTACCAGCTGTGCTGAGATTACCAGCTGTGCTGAGATTACCAGCTACGCTGAGATTACCAGCTGTTGGATTACCAGCTGTTGGATTACCAGCTGCGCTGAGCGTTCGCTGCACCAATATTCTACCAATATTCACGGCCGCACCAATATTCTATCTAGAGGTACTGAGCGCACGTAGCACAAATCTGATTGCAAATTCGGATTCTTCACCCCCGAAAACCCCTGAGTACAAATTTTTAGCTTTCTAGCTCACTTCGTCGTAATTTTACGTTAACGTAATTTGTATTATCGACAAGAGAAGAGATTTAAAGATAAGAAAGATTAAAGAAAAAAAATAGATCATGTTATGAAGTGAATCATGAATGAATCATGAAAAGAATGACTAGCTTGACTGGCTTGACTCAGAACTGGCTGTAGAAGGCTTTAGAAAGACCAGTTGCGCATGGATATTCTACCTAGAGATACTGATGGCACGCAGCAAGAATCTGATTGCAAATTCGGATTCCTCACCCCCGAAAACCCCTTAGTACAGATTTACAGCTTTCTAGCTCACTTCGTTGTACTTTTACGTTAACGTAATTTGTATTATCGTGTAGGCGTGACAAACGTTTTATTTTTTTTGTATTTCGTAGATTCCAAAACAGCTAAACCAGCCGAAAAACCTTGTTAACTGGTTTTTCCGGGCAGGCTTTGTCTGTCACGGTGGCGCAGTCGGTAGCTGGCCTGTCTACAGCTCGCATGGTCCGAGCCTATGGGACGGGTTCGACTCCTCTTAATGCCACTGAAGCTCGATTTTTGAATTTTTGGATTTATAAACTATATAAGCATAATATTATAAGCAAAACTATATTATAAACTATATTATAGACTATATTATAAACAAAACTATATTATAAATATATTATAAACTATATTATAAACAAAACTATATTATAAACTATATTAAAATCACAACTATATGTTATTTTGAGAATTTTGAAAAATTCCAGCTTTTTAGGCTCAAAGACGACTGAGAAAAAGCGGACAGACGGACGGACAGACATTCCTCTTTTATATAGTAGATTTTACTGCTTTCTGGGCAACTCTGGCACAATAAAGTATGTTTTTTTTGATATGTAATGAATTTGGAAACTTGGTACCGACAAAATCGTTTAGAATCGTTTAGAATGAACCTTTAACACCCAGGAACACCCTTGATCCACATCATATTCATCTGGATAACCGGGAGAAGAGAATTCAAACCATTCATCACTCATTTCGATCACTCCACCGCATACGGCATCTAAAAATGAACTACTTTGACAATGAACTACTGCAATCCTTACTTGACAATACTGTAAATAGTACAAATCAGTATTAGGTTGGTGTGGCGAATTGCCACTGCTCCGCAGTTAGTCAAAAATTCAATACACAAGTTAAAATTCAAAGTTGATGGATAAACTACCGTAATCAGTTACTAGACGATATTCAGCTGTCCGTTTGTTGTAGCTTGTATACTTTAAAAAACCCGTTATTTAAGCTTTGCTTTTGAGTGAGTTTGTTGTTCTCCTTTTTTTGCTTTTTATCATCCTTTTTTTCACATGCAAGTGTTGAATTAATTGTGATAGTGCCAGGTTGCTCTAGTTTGAGCGAAGTTGCCCTAATAAGGGAAAGTTGGATAAATTGTGCGTTTTCAAGAAGACCACTATTGAACCACACCGAGACACGGTCTCACAAGAAATTATATAGATCAAAACATCAACATATATTTCTTACAGTTGGTGCGTCTTTACGTCTTTCGTCTTTACGTCTTTTTTCAAATGTTTTTTTTTTTAAAAACTATCCCAACATCAACAAAATTTCGTTTTAAACTATTAAAAAGCTTTAATCTTTCTCTATAAAATGGCTTTTGTGAAATTTTTGGAAATATTTTTTATGTGCCTTTTCACAGGCTTAGAGTCGAGCACCCAAAACTACTCCAATGCCGAAACTGCTTCTAAAACTACTCGAATTTCGACGCTTTCTTCAAAACAAACCTATTCTGATGTCATAGTAAAAAAGATAGAGCTCATTTGATTGCATAATTTTGATAAACTTGAAACAGCTCTCCTTTTATCAGCTACTATAAACAATCGATTAGAAAAGCTACAATCTATTCGATTTTTATGGAAAATCTATTAGTGTCAGCTCCGAGCGAAACTGATATTTTAGTTACTATTGTTATTATTGAATGATTTGTTTATTCTTATGCAAATGTGTCCTCCCTTATGCTTATCCCTTTTATTGCCGAGAAGGGGCGGTCCTTGGGATTGCCTAAGAGGACCTAGAAGGAGCTAGAAGGATCTAGAAGAAGCTAGAAGGACCTAGAAGGAGCTAGAAGGACCTAGGAGGAGCTAGAAGGACCTAGGAGGACCTAGAAGGACCTAGGAGGAACTAGAAAGACCTAGGAGGAGCTAGAAGGATCTAGGAGGAGCTAGAAGGACCTAGGAGGACCTAGAAGGACCTAGGAGGAGCTAGAAGGACCTAGGAGGAGCTAGAAAGACCTAGGAGCCTAGGTCTTCCTACATATCTTCCGGGTCTATGCAACTGTAGTACAGGTCGGTCATTTCACAGGGACTCCCCTCTAATACGTTGGAGGAGTTGAGTTGGGTTCTCGGGGTGTTAGAGATGGTGGGATATCAAAAGGGATCCACAAAAGGGATCCACTCTCTTTAACTTAACCCAAATTCTAGTCCACATCCGTTTATACCTAGGAACGAATATTAGGTAAGTTTTGGTTTTTTAGTTAAGTCTTTACAGTTTCTTTCCGAAACGTTTTTTAAAAATAATTCCTCCACTAAGAAGATTTCTATTTAAACTACTAAAAAGCTTTAATCTTTCTCTATAAAATGGCTTTTGTGAAATTTTTGGAAATAGTTTTTATGTGCCTTTTCAAAGGCTCAAAGTCGAGCACGCAAAACTGCTCCAATGCCAAAACTGCTTCTAAAACTACTCCAATTTGGACACTTTCTTCAAAACAAACCTATTCTGGTGTAAAAGTAAAAAAGATAGAGCTCATTTGATTGCATAATTTTGATAAATTTGAAAACAACGCCTTTCAGATTTTCTTTAAAACAGCAATTGAAAATTTCACATAGAAAAACCCATTTTTTGAACTCTTTTAAGCTTTTGAAAGCTCTAAAAAACATTTGAATATACTAGCTAGTGCAGGAAAAAGAATTTTAAAGAAATAAGAGCCAAGCTTTCTATTAGAATCTTTAAAATCATTAAAATATTGTTCGGATTCAACTCACTGATCGGATCATCGTTTCTCTCGCAAATTTCTCCACCCAAACCTGCAGGACAAATGCATCTAAATGTTTTAAGCTTAGTTTTTCTTCCAAAAATGTTAGAGATTCGTTTATAGATCTCACTGGAGATTCGTTTATAGATCTACAACCTACTTTTGATCATATCTTTCAGTCATTTCTTTCAGTCTTTCAGTCATTTCATTATTATAATTGATTCGTGTCATTTGTCATTAGAAAACGTTTTCCCTTGTCAAATGACATCAAAATCATGCGAATTTGAGTAATCTATGATAGCCAATAGAAAGCTATGGCCATTTATAAATTAATATCTACAATATTAAGCTATTAAACCGGGAAATTGAACCTTTAAACAATTTTTATTGGGTTCTTCGGATATAAACAAGCGTTGCTAAACTTATTGTTGTGAGAGAAGCTTTTAAAACATGTCTTTTTGTATTTAAAAGCACATTATCTTGTGTATATTTGGAATCCTTTTTCTCTATATTTGGAATCCTAATTTCTTATTTTTAAGATCTTTTTTAAGAGCCAATTTGAAGTCCCGAGGATCATGAACACTCTCGTCGAACTCAAGCGGTAGACAACTATATTTTGAGGGCTGCAATCGAATCGGATCGATGTCAAACGACGTGTGAACTTACTCAACAGTTTCTATGTTCAAATTCTACTATTGATGAGCATCTCCACGCCATTGGAAAGACGTTCTGATGCGGGAAATGGCTTCCTCACGAGTTAAGCAGTGCAAAAAAGGCTTCACGGGTCGCTATTGCCGGAATCCTTATCCGCCACGCTAAAGATCGTGGCTTTTTTGATTCTCTCGTTACTGGAGATGAGAAGTGGATCTATTTCGGTAATACTATTCGAAAACGGCAATGGCCAGGACCAGGAGAACGGCCAAATCCGACCGTGAAACCGGACATTCATGGGAAAAAGGTCATGCTCTCAGTATAGTGAAATAACAAGGGCCTTGTTTATTTTGAGCTTCTACAACCCGGCCAAACAGTCACATCAGACCTCTACAAACAGCAAATTGGTCGGGTCGATGAAGCTCTCATTCGTCAAGCTCTCATTTTTTCAACAAAATTAGGAAAAGAAACGAAAAAGCAGTCCTGAACAATCTAATCGATTATTTTATTTAACGAAAAGACTTTCTGATTAATGTAAACGATATTTTTGTGTAAACAACAAACTTTGCGCATTTTCTTGGATGAGGATAGCCACCGTTTTGACATTCTAGCTTTGTCCCAGTGCATTTATCTAAAAGTGATCTTTATTGATGATCATTTTCTTTACCATTGTTTTATTATTAGGTTGTCCAATAAGTAATGCGTGTTTTGACACGATTTTCAAAATATCACAAAATTAACAAAAGAGAACTTTATTAATCGATATATTCTCCACAACAATCAACAACATTTCTCCATCGTCCGTCATAATAGAATGAAGCTGGTTTCGATGAGAAGAAATCGTCGAGCCATTTTTGCACCTCGTCAACACTTTTGAACTTGTGTTCTCCAAGAGCGTGCGCCATCGAACGGAACAAATGGAAATCAGATGGAGCCAGGTCTGGACTATACGGCGGATGTGGAACAGTCGACCATCCAAGCTTCTCAATCTTCTGCTGTGCGATTTTTGCAATATGCGGACGAGCATTGTCAAACTGCAGTTTAATCATCGAAGTGTCCTCTCCTTTACGACAAAGAGCTTGCTGCACCCTTTCCAATTGTTGAGAGTACAAGTCAGCAGTGACCATTTGACCGGGGTTTAGAACTTCAAAATGTACGATTCCTTTAGAATTCCACCATACGCACAATAGGGCCTTCTTTCCATGCAATTCTGGCTTTGGCGTCGGTTTCGGATCTTCTCCCGGCGACAACCACTGGTGCTTCCTCGTTGCATTGTCAAAAGAAATCCACTTCTCGTCCGCAGTAACGATGGAATCAATAAAACCAGAGTTCTTTGTTTGGCCAATGAGAAACCCACAAATTGATACACGAGCAGCTTTATTCGCTTCACTCAATTTGTGGGAAAGCCACTTTCCGCATCGATTAAATTTTCCAATCTCATGGAGATGATTGTCGATTGTTGATTTGGAACAACCAAATAATTCGGCCAACTCACGAGTAGTTTGAGTTGGATCAGACTCAATGGTGTTAAGCAAAGCTTCGTTATCAAAAACGACTGGCCTTCCAGCGCGTTCCTCGTCCTCTAACGACTCGTTTCCGTCCGCAAATCGTTTAAACCAGCGCTGGCACTGGCTGATTGAAATTGAATCCTCTCCAAATGCGGCACAGATAGTTCGATGGCAATCCGCTGCATTTTTACCTCGTTTGAAATCATACAGCATTGATGAGCGGACAAAAAACTTTTTGTCTTTCATCTGCAAAACAACATATCTATTATAAAACAAAGGCAAATGAATAAAATAATATATAAAAATAAACACAAGATGCTGATGATTAAAAAGAGCATATATTTGCTCGAAGCGATTTCGCAATAGTTTCGAAATAAGTAACACGCATTACTTTATTGGACAACCTAATATCTTTAAAAAAACTACCTGAACAATATGCAATGTTGATCTTTAAAATGTCGTAAAAAGATAGTTTTTCTCGTTGACCAATTGTTGATTGAAAGAGTGGATCTCTGAAAAAAGTTTTGTGATTTGATTGAATGTTTAAATCTTCAGTCATTATCAAGTCTTCAGCTATCTTTGAATCTCTTTAAATGTTTAAATCTTTATTTAACTTTGAATCTCTTTCAATCTTAAGATCCTCATTTAAAAGATATTCAATAAAAGTTGATAATAAACAACCTGGTAATAATCGTTTTACTCGTTTGATCGTTTGAGAAAGCCGTGCTACCATAGTGCATCACTGAGCCAAGGTCATAGGGAACCTAAAAAGAAATAAATGAGCTTGTAGCTGAGATAAGGTTTCTATAGGTTTGTTTTGGAAGTAATTTTAAGGCTCAGGCTCAGACTTAGGCTTAGGCTTAGGCTTAGGCTTAGGCTTAGGCTTAGGCTTAGGCTCAGGTTCAGTCTCAGACTCAGGCTCAGGGTTAGCTCAGGCTAGTCAAGGCTAGAGTTAGATCAAAGCCAGGTCTGGTTCACAAAAAAGGTTCGCTAGAAAGCCAAGCTGGAAATGAAAGAATGAAATGCATTTCAGCCCAGTTTCAGCCTTGAGTTTGGCTCAATATCCGTTGTTAGAGCAACTTTTTTATATAAAACAGCTAGTTTAGTTTTCGAGATCGATAAATCGATTGGAGCTAACAACCTAACCTAACAAGCTAACAACAGCTATTGACCTAACAAGCTCTACAAGGTTTTCCAGGATTACGGGAACTACGGAGACTTTTGTCTCGTTACCAATTTGTCTCGTTACCAATTTGTCTCGTTAACTCTCATTAGCCAAGTCTAACTAGTACTCATTCAACTATTATTGTAGGCTTGCTACTGTTTTTAGCAAAGAACTAACTTCATTTGAAGAACTAACTCCATTCGAACTCGATTTCCTCTAGCTCTAAAGTACTGTAGCTCAAGTACGAGTTCGAAACTAGGTACTAATTGTAATCTAAGCTAAAACAAGCTAGCTTAGACTTTGATATTGCATATTTTCCTTACAATTTAGATTCTTTTTGTCTTTCTTTTGGTTTATTTTATTTATTTAACTATTTATTTACCATTTTTCTTTGGTCTTTCTTTTCTTTGCCACAAAAATCTCTCTTTTTAGAATGACCAGTGTACAGAGATGCGATTATCGACCTACACAAGCGTGGAGTTCTGGCGATGGATATCTCTAAGCGATTGATGATGCATAAACAACTTGTTTACTCGACGATAACGATGTTTACAAACGCTTTCAAGAGTTAGGAACAAATTCTGATCGTCCTGTGGTGGTAAAGCGACCGTTGTCACCGATCAAGAATCTTCGAGATCATCTACGCTTGAAAGCCAATTGAAATGAGAACTGAACCATTCGAATTTTACGAGCATTTGATGCAGAATTTTACGCTGATTCCAAATAGCATCGAGGGATCAAGCAAAAGCCGAGAGACGATCCAATCTCGGGACATCTGGATGCCATATGGACAACGGACCAAGGAACGGAACTCGACCACAAAGCCCAAGCCTCCGACTCTGCACCTTCAACGCTAGGACATCCGCCTCTCAAGCTGATAAGACCGCACTCCATGAGATGAGCAAGAAGATCAAATTCGATATCATCGCCTTCCAAGAAACAAAGGGCAAAGATGACTCCACGAAGACCAGGATGGCAAAGAATATAGGAATCTCTTGAACTTCTATAGGCCGTATTGTCAAAAATCGTCTTGGAATGAAAACTTATAAATTTTCCAAGACCAAGCCAGGCTTTTTCAACTTTTAGGAAGCTTGAATGTCCTTGTTGATCTCAATTTCCTTTCCCTTACCCCAAGTGTATCAATTTCTTCGGTTCTTTGCTGGAAATCGCCAATGTATGAAGGCAAAATGAAGTCTTTTTCGATCTAAATATATTTCAATGAAATCTCAGCTCTTACACGAATCGAATCAGCTCTTACTTGAATATAATTGAGTGCATCAGGTCGACTTTGTTCATGCCAGAGTCCTAACGCGTGGCCCACCTCGTGCTCGACGATTCCTTGCTAAAGCCAGCAATATAAGAGCGCTCTTTTAGGTCAGTATTTTGATTGGAACTTAATCTTTGACTACAAATAGACAAAGTAGACAAAGTAGATCAAGGAGACGATGTACTTAGCGTGATAAAAGTTTGCTAGGCCTAGTACTCACTCGTCCACAACTATCACCAATCGAGACACCCTGACGGCCACCATTTCGACCGATCATTGAATAGCAACTAAAATCTTTAAATTCTTAATCGTTGAACAAGATTTAAGGCTTTTTAATAAGTTTATAAAGCTTTATTTCATATCTGGGAGCTCGTTAATTTGAGTTGAAACGCTATAGCTTTTATTTGCAAAGTTCTATGATTGCTACACATGATTTACTCAAATGAATCCGTTGTAACTCAACTTCTAGGCTTTGGATCGACTTGCGATGGGCCTCATTCGATTCTTTATCAAATTCTGACTTGTTAATGTGCAATTTAAATGAAGTACTAGCTTTGAAGAACATTGAGAAATCCGGTCTTGAAGTTAACCACTCCGGATTCTCACTGTTGGTGATGGTACCAGTACCATTGTAGCTCAACTCCGAGACTGCCGATTGTTCCGAAACGCGGGAAAATGTCATAATTAACTATTTTATGAGTTTTCCCTGTGTTTCCGATCGATCGGCAGTCTCGGAGTTGAGTTACAATGGTACTGGTACCATCACCAACAGTGAGAAGCCGATGTGGTCAACTTCAAGACCGGATTTCTCAATGTTCTTCAAAGCTAGCACTTTATTTAAATTGCGCATCAACAAGTCAGAAATTGATGGAGAATCGAATGAGGCCTATCGCAAGTCGATCCAAAGCCTAGAAGTTGAGTCACAACGAATACTCACAGTAGTCACTGTGACTTGACTTGTTTTCAATTTTTGTCAGATAATTGATTAAAAAAACAGTTTTTTATGTCATTAAATAATGTTAGATAATATTTTTTAACATAAAATAAATATCGAAATACAGTTTTCTCTTTTTCTAACAGCTTATTATAAAGAAAATCATCAAAAATAGCTAAATCAAAAATAGATCAACTAGTACTCGTTCAAGAGCTTGTAAAATGAGTTTGATAACTCAATTTGGGAAACTTTAAAGAGAGAAATGTAGCTAAGATTAAGGGCTACAATATTTTATATAATAGGTAACAGATTATAGTAGAAATTGGGCGCTAATCTATCGAAAAGATGTCTTTGTGAATAGCTAACACTCTTGACTTGATTATAAACGCTATAGCTTTTATAGTTTAGAAAATTTTAACTATTTTAGCTATAAAGTAAGAAAATAGCCAGAAAAAGAAAAACAAATGAAAATGCGAACCCTTGTCCCTTGAAGAACTCGATATAATCCTCGTCATCACCGAGATCTTCGGGCACTTGCTCAAACGAGAGACACGTGTGCGTCTCCCAATATTGAATAGCGGCAATGATTTGGGAAATAGCGAGGAATTCTAAAGAAAAAAAAGAGCTAATTTGTTGTACTTTGTGGTTAAAAATGGCAAAAAAACTGGCAAAAACACGATTTCTAGGACATTTCTGAGTTCTTGATTCTGCTTAAACATATCTATCGAAAAGAAATCGTTGTGAATACTTTAAAACTCTGTGCTTTTCTCTTTAACACTTTTCTAGTGGCTCTTTTCTGTGGAATCTTATTTAATGTTTTGATTTGAATATCTAATTCTCGCGTCCCGCCTCTAAAAGATCGCTTTTTTAAAAGGCGTCCCTTTTATCGGCGCGAAAATGCGTTTTCTATCGGATTTTTCCGGGGAGTACCTTTTTAGATGCGGAAAATTGTGCTGATTCCGAATCTGAAGGAATTTTTCAAATCCCTTTGACAGAAACTTTTTAAATTGAGTTTTAGCGGTTTTTTGGTCATTTTGTATGGGAAATTTTGTGGTACCCTGCAGTTTGGGGCTCGTAACTCGACAACGAGGATCTAGAACCAAAAACGAAGGGATAATTTTTATTCTAGAGACTCTCACGAACATTTTGATACAAAAATCATCAAATTTGCTCAACTCTACAAAAAGTTATAACATCTTTAAAGAATTTTCTCATTTCTTTTTTAAAAACTCTTATAACTTTTTGTAGAGTTGAGCAAATTTGATGATTTTTGTATCAAAATGTTCGTGAGAGTCTCTAGAATAAAAATTATCCCTTCGTTTTTGGTTCTAGACCATCGTTGTCGAGTTACGAGCCCCAAACTGCAGGGTACCACAAAATTTCCAATACAAAATGACCAAAAAACCGCTAAAACTCAATTTAAAAAATTTCTGTCAAAGGGATTTGAAAAATTCCTTCAGATTCGGAATCAGCACAATTTTCCGCATCTAAAAAAGGTACTCCCGGAAAAATCCGATAGAAAACGCATTTTTGCCTTATTTCGCGCCGACGCGCCGATGTGCCGACGCGCCCACTTTCGATTGTCTTTTCGTTTTCGTATTGCCTTTTCGTATTGCTATGAAACACTGAACCAACGGTTGATTCTATTCTCTTGTATTTTCTCGCTAGATTAGTATCGTGCTAGATTCGGAATAAATATCTAATAATCATTGCCCCCATCGGTATTCTCTCACACACTGCACACACTCTTTATAGAGCTTTTATAGCTATAGCTTTTATATTTCAGAAACGTTAACTAGCTATAAAGTAAGAAGCTATAAAGTAAGAAGCTATAAAGCTATAAAGTTTTAGCTTTTAGCTATAAAGTAAGAAGATAAACTCACCTAAACTTTCATGAAATCTATACCGAATCGTTTCTGTTGGATCCCATTTGCCTTCAAGATCGGAGATGAAACTAAAATCCTTAATTGATTATGAGATTAGATTAGAAAACTCTCAATTGTTTAAAATGCGATTTATTTAGTTGCAAAGTAAAGTTGTAACGAAAACATCTGTCTATCAAAAACATTGGCGTGAAAGTCAGAGGGCTGCCTTATATACGACTTTAGACTTGTAACGAAAACATCTGTCTATCAAAAACATTGGCACGAAAGTCAGAGGGCTGCCTGGTTCAAATTATTAAACAGTTAACGACTACGCGAGTGTACGCTTGAAAATAACGTTGTGCTAACATTTGTACGAATGTTAACACGAATTAGCAAGTATTTTAGCAAGTACTTTCTCTCATTACCTTCTCGTTTGTCGCACTTTCCCCCTTTTTCCCTTGCTTTTCGAGATCTCATCGAGGATATTCGTCGCTTGCTTTTCATTCAGAAATATGTCTCCTAAATAAATCCAGAATCATCCAGATCCATCCAGATTCCAGAAAATCTGTTTCAGAAAATCTGTTCCAGAAAGAAAAGTGTTCAAAAGAAACCCTCAAATAAATAAGGAGCGATCTCCTGCTTGACTTGTGGTTGTTGCGGGGAGATCGAGATCGGTTTCGTGTTGTCCACCTCTGACTAAAATTCTTGAAAGGCTTTCAAATCAAAAAATCTTTCTCTCACATCACTTTGAAATCCTCGATGTCCATAGACTTTTCGATGCGCTAAACGTTTCATCTTTAGCAATAAAGTTGAGACGGCGTCGAGATCGTTTTTCTTGATCTGAATGAAATCATTCAATCTATTTTCTCTATTTTCAAGCATTTTCTTACTGTTAGGATGACTTTTTGATAGAAAATTCGTGTAAATCTGCAGAGTATGATCTGCAGAGTGTGCCTTGGCTGCCGTAGCCGTATCCGTATCCGTAGCCGTAGCTGTAGCCGTAGCTGTAGCCGTAGCCGTAGCCGTAGCTGTAGCTGTAGCCGTAGCCGTAGCTGTAGCCGTAGCCGTAGCCGTAGCCGTAGCCGTAGCCGTAGCCGTAGCCGTAGCTGTAGCCGTAAGCCGTAGCCGTAGCCGTAGCCGTAGCCGTAGCCCGTTACAATTACTAGATACTACAGTAACCCGGCCAGCCGGCCAGCCGGAAAATTGAATCGGTTTTTGATTTTCTCTTTTGAAAACCTACTGTGACATCCAGATTGGCCATTTTGTGTTTAAAACAATCACTTTGTTCAAAAATATGCCAAATTTCGGTGAGCCACTGTTCAGTTACCCAATAGCGCCAATTTACCGCATAGGAAAAAAGTGGCGCTAAATCAAAAGCGCTAAATCGAAAGCGGAAATACATAGATAGAAGAAAACAAACTCCATTCTTTAGGTAAAGACGTAAAGAATGAAGTAAAGAGAGAGACAAAAACTATTCCATATTATAAACAATTAAGCAGAACAGTTTTTTTGGAGATGTTTAAACTGATCACATGATTTACACAAATCACATGATAAAGCTTTTACCTTAAAATGCTGAGACAGCTCCTCGTGTCCAGACGAAAGATGAATGATGAGGAAGAAAAGTCCCAGAGATGTCCATCTCCACATCTGGAACTGGTTTTGAATTAGAAACTATATAAATAACTAATAAATAACTAATAAATAAGTAATAAATAAGTATTAAATAAGTAATAAATAAGTAATAAATAAGTATTAAATAAGTAATAAATAAATAATAAATAATAGCCAAATTACTGATAGCATAGACAATCAAAAGTTAACTGTACACTTGATCATCCTGTACACTTGAAGAGACAATCAGAGGTACGGGATGATTTATTTTCTGGCTTATATTATTGATGACTAATCTTATCAATTGAATTGAATGAATTGAATATTGATGGGATATGAAGAACGGATTCTATTAGGTACGAGGGAAAAGAATTGCGTTTTTCAGCTGGTTGACTTTGACATACCGTAAATACTGTAATAGTACTCCCGTCGTACAGTCGCGTAGTCGCAAAAGTTTTTTAGTATTTCATTGTTTTTCAAAGCGCCCGTACTTTCAAAAAATGCGTCTTTGGTATCAAAAAATAGCTGAAATTCAGGGCTATTTTTTGATATCAAAAGACGGAGCATCACGTAGTCTAACTTTAAACGCATTTTTCTCGTCATCAGTTTATAATGACGGCCGGAGCATCGCGATTATGAAATCTACTATAAATACTGTGATAGTAAAGTCGTACAGTCGCGTAGTTGCAAAAGTTTCTTTGTATTTCTTTAGTTTTCAAAGCTCCTGTACTTTCAAAAAATGCGTCTTTGGTATCAAAAAATAGCGCTGAATTTCAGCTATTTTTTTGATACCTAAGCGCATTGTAGCATAAAGGAGTGTCGAGAAAAACGCGTGCAAAGCTAGACTACGCAACACTCCACACCGTCATTATGGGGGCGGGGTACTATTAGGTTGATGCAAAAATCTTTTTCATTTTTTTCGTACTTCCGTTAAAAAGTAACAAATGCACCAATTGAACAACGGTTTATTGCATTCGAAAGGCCAATTATTTTTCTGCAAAATGACATTAAAACGAGTTTAAAATGTCTTATGTCTAGATTTTTTTGAGAGCCTGAAGTCGGGTAGTCAAAAAAGGCGACGGCTCGATGATGCATTTTAGACGCTTTAGCTAAGGAAACCAATCTTGATGTTAATAAATAAAAGATAGAGCACAAAAAGTTCGATATTTTTTCAGATTTTCAGAGAAATTGATTCAGCCAATTTCTTTATAGAGGTTTTTATAGATTTTTATGAAAAACCCGTTTTCACTCTCGAATTTGCTTGAAAGTGAACCCAAATTGACTTAAAAAGATGGGAAATTCAACAATAAACACTTTTCATTTAGAGCAAACCATAGGTTAATTGATGACTTTGTTATTTTTCAAAAGAAGTACGAAAAAAATGAAAAAGACTTTTGCATCAACCTAATATTACAGTATTTACGGTAACTAATAAATAAGTAATAAATAAGTAATAAATAACTTTAAGCTAAGCTAGATAAGGTAAAAGTCTTAAAAAATAGAAGTGATGTGCTAGAAATTGCCTCAACATACGAGTTTTTGTCTCAAAAGGGTGTGAAAAGTGAAAGTGCTTAAGAAAAGAAAAAAAAAGAAAAGAGAAACGAAAACTTGTCTTGTCTATCGAACTATCAGACTTGTCTATCGGAAAGAAAAGGGAACACTTTAACAATCAAGGTTATGAATGAAATGGGGGAAAAACGACAATGACAATGATTTGTTTGATGAAAAAGGTATTGATGTAATGTCTGTAAATGCGAGAAATCTAGCACAGCTTAGTGGTTTTTCTAATTTCAAATTTTAAGATAAAACAAATAGTTATTTAAACCATGAACTTGGGGCATGGAAAATCGCTTATAAACCAATTATACGCAGAGGTTCAATTCAATTTTAATTTAAGAATGAAACTGTTGCTATAGTGCCTTTGCTGATCCTATGCAAAATGATAGGACTGATACAAACTCCTGCCATCCTACTCGTTGCGACCAGGCGGGCATTGCGCTCAAGTCGGCAACGGTCGGGTATAAGTGGTCCGCTCAAGCGCCATCCATTTTCAGGGCTAGTTGATTCGGCTGGTGAGTTGTTACACACTCCTTAGCGGGTACCGACTTCCATGGCCACCGTCCTGCTGTCTATATCAACTAACGCCTTTCATGGGGTCTCATGAGTGAAGGTCTCATCGTCTCATGAGGGCACTTTAACCCGACGTTTGGTTCATTTCACAGCGCCAGTTCTGCTTACGAAAAATGGCCCACTAGGAGCTCTCATTCAGGGTCACAGTTCACTGAAGAAACTGCAACATCATACCCATTGAAAGTTTGAGAATAGGTTGAGGGCATTTCGCCCCCAATTCCTCTAATCATTCGCTTTACCGAATATAACTGATACAAACTCCTGCCATCCTGGGGGAAACTTCAGAGGGAACCAGCTACTAGATGGTTCGATTAGTCTTTCGCCCCTATACGCCAGTCAGACGATCGATTTGCACGTCAGACGGACACGTCAGACGTCAGACGTCGCTACGGACCTCACCGGAGTTTCCTCCGGCTTCGTCCTGCTCACGTATAGTTCACCATCTTTCGGGTCCTTGCGTATACGCTCTACCTCCGCCCCATGGCAAGCCATCGAGACGGGGCTATGGTGCGACGCACACGACGCGACGCACAGCGAGTGCACGTATCCCATATGCATGGCTTAGTCTCTCAGCCTGAGGTGACCACTTGGTAGGATCAACCAGATATCTGAACTAAGTACGCACAAATACCGTTTACGAAATCATTGACTTTAAAAAGCCACAAATTTTTAATCATTTCTTTGCAAAATAATAGGACCACCACGTTTCTTTTTTATTTTCTATCGGTTATAACCATTTGTTTGCCTGTTCTATTTCTTTTTCAAACTAATTTTTATTTTTTAGGAAGATGGATCGTGAAAAATCCCTTTCGCGGATCGAACAGATGAAAATTGTGATTTTGGAAAGGAAGAAAGTTGTCGAATCGAAAGATCGCAAAGAAAATGAAGCGCTCGCACCAAGTTGTCTCAAATTTCTTGAAGAATCCTTTCAATTATGACAAGAAGAAGTCTCCGGGACTTCCTCAAAAGCTCACGGTCTGCGCTGCATAAGTCTGCTGGACGTCTGTTGTCGAATTCGGTGCTGTTGCTACAGGACGTCAAAGCAAAAAATGGTGTTTCTACAAAAGCACTCCTTCTCGTCCACAAAGTGCGTCCACAAAAGCACTCTTTCTCGAGTTATCAAGTGTATGCCTTACATCAAAAGAACAGTCATGAAGAAAACACCAAAACTGAAGCCGGCACACAAAAAAAGGACGACTTGGGCTCGGGATCACATTGATTGGAGAAAAGTACACTTTTTGTCGGGTTTGTTAATAACTTTTTTTGTAGGTCAAGAAAAAATTTAATTTGGATGATCCAGACGGCAACAAGTATTATTGGAACGATTTGAGAAAAAATCCAATGCTTTGTGGACGTCGAAACTTCGGAGGAGGATCACTGATGGTATGGGAGCCTTCAATGCGAATGACTCTCTTGATTTAGGATTTGTGACTTGTCACATGAACTCGAACGATTACCAGGACGTCCTTGCAGATCGACTGCTTCCTTTCCTAGCACAAAACCGAAGGAAAAACGGAACCATACCGATTGCGCGGCGAACATTGCGCCGCAAGCCAAAAACGAAAATTTCGCAGCGCAAAATTCGGCGGCGCAATTTGCGCAGCGCAACCGTGATGAACCCAGAAAAACTACATTTTTCAACAGGATAATACTTCAATTCATGTCAGCCAATCTACTAAAGCTTTCGTCACAACATCGATTTTCTCCAATAGCCTGCCTACTCATCGGACTTAAACTCAATGGAAAACTTGTGGGGCATCCTTGTGAGGAATATTTATGCTTAAACCAGCCAGTAAAGCAATGTGTTTAACGGAATTCAGAATTTGTAGCAAAAACAGCCAAATTACAGCCAAATTTAAGGGAAAATTGGATGAATACACCAATTTGAAACACGTATTTGAAAAATTTGGCAACAAAAACGATGTCTCTCATTTCCAAAATTTGGATTTCAAAGCCCATTCATCGTCGATTTGCACACCTTCCACGCCAAAACAACAAGTGTTCCGTGTTTATTTTTTGCCATTTTCTTCACTAGAAACAAGGGAAATTTTATTTTCACAAATCATCAGATCAAAAAAAAAATGAAATTTATTAACCACAAGTTAAACAATGAATTGAGATCAGCAAGAGACCGGGTTGAAAAAGCAGCGATTACGGTTGAGAATCTCCATTCCGGCTTGGAAACGCTCGAGATCGCCGCGCTTCCAACGACTGAAATTTTAGGTTGATTGGTGGTGCTAGATGGTGTTCGTTTAGGCTTAGCCTTAGGCGTAGGCTTAGGCATAGGCTTAGGCTTAGGCTCAGGCTTAGGCTCAGGCTTAGGCTTAGGCTTAGGCTTAGGCCTTAGGCTTAGGCTTAGGCTTAGCCTTAGGCGTAGGCTTAGGCTCAGGCTTAGGCTCAGGCTTGGACTTAGTGCGTAGGCTAGCGGCTGGCTAGCGCCTAGCACTAAGTCTATTTGGGTTTGGGCTATTAGGCTTAGGGCTCAGGCTTAGGCATAGGCTTAGGCTTAGGCTTAGGCTTAGGCTTAGCCTTAGGCGTAGGCTTAGGCTTAGGACTTTAGAGTACAAAGTACAGCACAAGGTACAGCACAAAGTACAGTACAGTCCCCAATTCCTATAGATGTCAGAAGCTGTGTGTTTCAAGCACAAATGCTGGCTAAACTGATTGGAAACTGAGCACACTGATAGTTTAACTTTATAGATTTATAAGTAGTTTATAGGTTTATAGATTTGATAGGTTTATAGATTTGATTTATAAATCATTTATAAATCATTTATAATTTTAGAGATTTAATAGATTTTGGCTTATTTTTAGATCCATTTTTGGCTTAATTTTATATCCATTTTATTTTCTAAATCCTCAATTTTATAAAGCCTTACCCAGCTTCAGGCAAGAGCTTGTTTCGGCTGAGAATTTGTAACAATTCGACCTCTTTTGGCGAGAAATCCTGAAAAAAATTGGATTTTTTTGGTTTTTTTGGAAAGACAATAGGATTATGTCACATTGTGATTGGGTTCTTATCGTTTGCAGTTTTCGGAAATGCTCGCAAACGTTTAAAATCTATTGCAGGAGCTTTGAGGCTTGATTTGAGATGTTGACAACAACAAAAACAAGTTTTGATGTAATTTCAAATAACAATAACACTTTAAGAGCTGGCTTAACACTAAAATTAGCTTATGATCTACAGTATTCTAGGCTGACTACAGTATCCCAGGCTGTCTACAGTATTCTAGGTTGACTACAGTATTCTAGGCTGTCTACAGTATTCTAGGCTGTCTACAGCATCCTAGGCTGACTACAGTATTCCTAGGCTGTCTACAGTATCCCAGGCTGTCTACAGTATTCTAGGCTGTCTACAGCATCCTAGGCTGACTACAGTATTCTAGGCTGTCTACAGTATCCCAGGCTGTCTACAGTATTCTAGGCTGTCTACAGTATCCCAGGCTGTCTACAGTATCCCAGGCTGTCTACAGTATTCTAGGCTGTCTACAGTATCCCAGGCTGTCTACAGTATCCCAGGCTGTCTACAGTATTCTAGGCTGTCTACAGTATCCCAGGCTGTCTACAGTATCCCAGACTGTCTACAGTATTCTAGGCTGTTTACAGTATCCTAAGCTGACTACAGTATTCTAAGCTGTCTACAGTATTCTAGGCTGTCCACAGTATCCCAGGCTGTCTACAGTATTCTAGGTCCTCAAACATCAAAGCTAAGCCGGCTTTTAGAAAATATATCACAATCATTATCTGAATTTCTTCAAAGCTAGTGTATAATTTTAGTGTTTTAACATGTTTTGAAAAGGTTTTTATCAAAAGATTTGTGCTTTTCGAAACGATTTTTTAGGGAATGGCCATCAAAGAGGCATCTAAATCACGAAAAGTACCAACTAGATCTAGAAATTTTCAATGTAAACGCCAATGCGACGAAAAAATGGCATATCTCGCCTAATTTCACTCTGATCTTTTTCACTTTAATATCAATTAACGCAGAATTGAATTTTCTATCGATTCAAATCAAAGGTAAAAGGTTGAAGTGAAATCAGAAAGATATGGAGATCGATACCTATCACATCAAGAATCATCAAGATCACATCAAGAATTCCCAGGTCTAGTACCAGCCAGGATTCTACTAACCAGGATTCTGCTAACCAGGATTCTACCAACCAGGATTCTACCAACCAGGATTCTACCAACCAGGATTCTACCGACCAGGATTCTACCGACCAGGATTTTACCGACCAGGATTCTACCGACCAGGATTCTACCGACCAGAATTCTAGACCAGGCCAGACCAGGCCAGCTAACAATTAAGTGCAACCACTTTGGCCAGTAGCCAGGTTCAGACAGGACACTAAAGTTTCTACCTTGATCTTGGCCTTGACCGTTCTGGTCAAAGTCCAATGGACAAGGAGATTCCAAACGACTCTAGGACTGGATTCCGGACTTCAAACCCAAAGACAGTAGGCTGTAGCCAGATCCAGCCTTGGTTTCTGGGGCTCAAGGACTCCAGTGAACTTCTTAAACTTCAGTGAACTTCTTCAACTTCAGTGAACTCCAGTGAACCCGGTCAGACTTCAAAAATTTAGGAAAAAGTTGGAAAATCCTGTTTGACCTATATTGTTCATACCAGGGATGGGCTTGGTTTCTGATCAGACTTGAGCCTGACCTGATTAGTCTGATATCAATGTAGAAAAGTAGAGCATTAGAAGCATTGTTTATAAAGGTGTTAAAAACGGCTGTGTACCCATATTGTGTTAAAATTTTGCTATAAAATCGCTCACCTGAGCGCTGAGCACATTCGAGAACATTGCCAACATCACCGCCAACAAGAGGCACAACGATTGAAGGGTGAATCGCATTTCGTTTAGAAAAAAAAGAGAATACGTCTTTGTGACCTTAAAATCAGAAATTGGAAATGAAATCAGATCTCATGGAAAACAAAAAAAAACGAGTGAGAAATCTCGTCATATAAATTTGGCAATTTTGTGATTTGTACTCTTATCGTAAAGCTGAATAATTCTTTTTGATCAATTGCTTTTCAGCAGAGCATTTCATCACCAAAAAGAGGGATTTTTAAGCTTTTTAAGCTTTTTTTGATTACTAGAAGAAGTTAGCAAGCAAGAAGAGCAAAAAAAAATTGTTTTAATGGTCATTTTTGATGCGTTTGGACAACCGCAAAATACAAATTGTGTAGAGGAAAAGGAAGTGAAACAAAACAGAAAGTAAAACACAAATTGTGATGTATTGACAAGCAAAAATAATTACATTTAGAAACGGAATTGATTTAGTACTGTGCTGTACTTATTCTCAGTACTGTGCTGTACTTATTCTCAGTACTGTGCTGTACTTATTCTCAGTACTGTGCTGTACTTATTCTCAGTACTGTGCTGTACTTATTCTCAGGGATTTTCAACAGCAAAAAAGCCAACCTTCCAGGTCAAGCGAAAGCCAACGGTATAGTTGAAAACCAAAGTTGCAGGCTAGCAGTAAAGTTAAATTCTAGGTCAATTGAAAGCCATTGACTTTAGCTTGGCTTTGGCTTTGACTTTGGCTTTAGCTTGGCTTTTGGATTTGGCTTTGGATTTGGCTTTGGCTTTGGCTTGGCTCTTGGCTTGGCTTTGGCTTGGCTTTGGCTTGGCTTTGGCTTGGCTTTTGGCTTGGCTTTTGGCTTGGCTTTGGCTTGGCTTTTGGCTTGGCTTTGGCTTGCTTTGGCTTGGCTTTGGCTTGGCTTTGGCTTGGCTTTGGCTTGGCTTTGGCTTGGCTTTGGCTTGGCTTTGGCTTGGCTTTGGCTTGGCTTTGGCTTGGCTTTGGCTTGGCTTTGGCTTGGCTTTGGCTTGGCTTTAGCACTTTGGCATTTTGGCTTTGGCTTGGCTTTGGCTTGGCTTTGGCTTGGTTAGCCTTGGCTTTTGGCTTTGGCTTTGGCTTCGCTTTTGGCTTGGCTTTTGGCTTGGCTCTTGGCTTGGCTCTTGGCTTGGCTCTTGGCTTGGCTCTTGGCTTGGCTCTTGGCTTGGCTCTTGGCTTGACTTTGGCTTTAGCTTTGGCTCTAGCTTTGGCTTTTGGCTTGGCTTTTGGCTTTGGCTGGGTTAACCTTGGCTTTTGGCTTGGCTTTTGGCTTGGCTTTTGGCTTGGCTTTTGGCTTGGTTTTTGGCTCAGCTTTTGGCTTTTGGCTTTTTTCCAACCCTGGTTTCAAATAGTAAAATCTGTAAGGAGCCCAGGCCAGATAGACTCGCTTATCGATCTATTGGCAAGCTCATGTTTAACTGTTCAGATCTCAGCTTCTAGAACAGCTATTAATCTGCTTGTTTTATTGAAAAGCCAAGAATGTCAGCTTCTCATTGCTTGGTTCAAAAGAAACAATTTTCAGATTGATAGCTTTTCTAGAAGCTGAGATCTGAGCGGTCAAACATGAGCATGATGTTTGTATCGATAAGCAATTCTAAGACCAGGTACTTTGAGGAGCATATCTGCTAGTAAAGTTAAACCAAAACTTAGCTTTTAATCCTCACTCTTGACCTGATCCTTGCCTGCCCGAAAAATGGCTTTGGAACAACTTTGGATCAAGCTATGAATCAAGTTTTTCCACCCTAATGACGTTGACTAGCGGGGTAAAACTTTACTTTACTAGGTCAAAATTTTTTCAACTGAATTCAACTATATAAAACGTAAAGAAAAGAGTCAAAAGAAATCAAGAGTGTGTCAAAATTGGTGGGTTGTCTGATGTTGAAATGGAGTCATTGTTTGAGGAATGAAAAGGAGAAGGAAAAGGAGAAGGAAAAGGAGAAGGAAAAGGGGAAAGTGGAGAAGTTAATTTCCGGAAAGATCTCACACGATAAAGTAAACTGATTTAGACAAGAATAAACAAGAATAGACAAGAATAGACAAGAATAGACAAGAATATACAAGAATAGACAAGAATATACAAGAGTAGACAAGAATAGGCAAGAGTAGACAAGGATAGACAAGAATATACAAGAGTAGACAAGAATAGGCAAGAGTAGACAAGGATAGACAAGAATATACAAGAATATACAAGAGTAGACAAGGATAGACAAGGATAGACAAGAATATACAAGAGTAGACAAGAATAGGCAAGAATAGACAAGAATATACAAGAGTAGACAAGGATAGACAAGGATAGACAAGAATATACAAGAGTAGACAAGAATAGGCAAGAATAGACAAGAATATACAAGAATAGACAAGAATAGACAACAACATAGTTAAAAATACTTTGTCTAGATGTCGTTTAAACTCGAAACGCATCTTTTCTGGCGCCCTCACTTCAACAGATCCACTTCAACAACTTCAACAACAGACAAGCAGCAGAAAGGGTATCTTTCTACTATATAAGGTAAAAAGTTGGGAAAATTTGCTAAAATAGTGAACTTGAGTGTGCCAGAAAGATGCGTTTTGAACAGCGCAAAGAACTTTGGAAATTTTGAAAACAATTACCGTAATCATGTCTTTATTTTGATTCAATTTATCTATTAGTCTAATTCTTTGAGAGATTATGAAGGATAGATATCGAAAGATATAGAAAGTGAATGAATTGAATAAAGATAGAGACAAGGGTACGGTAGAAAGACAGGTTTAGAAACAAGAGACACAGCTTAGAAAGATCATCACAGCTACTGTAGTCTCTTAAAGCTATTGTAGTCTCCTAAAGCTACTGTAATCTCTTAAAGCTAGTGTAGTCTCTTAAAGCTACTGTAGTCTCTTAAAGCTACCGTAATCTCTTAAAGCTACCGTAATCCATCAACCCATTTGAAATTCGCATAATTATTAACAGATTAAGCTGAAAATTTGCATACAGGGGTTTTCGGGGCCGCAGAATCCGAATTTTGCATTAGCTTTTGACTATCGTAACCCAAAGTACTCGAAAAAGAAGTGCTCGTCTCAACTTTGAGGCGCAATTTCGAAAATTAAAGAAACTTTTTTCTATTTGACCGATTTTGATGACTTTTGTATCAAAAGATGACATTTCTTTTAGCAAAAATGAAAAATAAAATGAAAAACCTTTTAGCCTCTTTTATTCCATTATAGAGAGAGTCGATTGTGATTGATCATTGATAATTGACGGTAAATTCGGAATCTCTAACCACGAAAACACATTTTTTGCTATTTTTTGCTATTTTGACAATTCCAGAGCGGTTAAACACGAAAATTTGTATTTAGAAAGTACAAATCTTCGTGTTCTCAAAAAGAAAACACTAAAAAAAACGCATTGTTTGTAAAGGTGTTGAAAACGGTTGCGTTTTAAAAATTATAAGCTTACTATTGGGTTGGTGAATTGAAAACTGCGGGCTATTGTCCTATGTGACAGTTTGAGCACTTTCTTCAAAAGAAACCCATTTTGGTGTCAATGGAAAAGTTGTAAAGAATCAAAAATCAAGCTTATATCCAAATTTTCAGAAAGATAGACTTAGTAGTTTCGCTTAAAAAGACACACTTAGTAGTTTCGTTGTCTTCTGTGTGTTCTTTGCGCGGCCGTGCAAAGATTAATCGCGGCCGGGTGACGATAAAAAATTTTTTACGGCAACCACCTATTTTAATATCGCTGATTTTATTATAAAAAGAATAAAAATCACCCGGCTAGAGTGATTTGATAGGTTTACAAATTTTTGGAGACACTGCAAGGCTTGGAGAAAAACAAGATCGTCACTCATCAGACACCTCAGCTAAAAGGCACCTATTTGAGAAAACTAAAACCACTAGCGACCACAAATGGAAAAAAGATCTCAATTGTGTCAATCAAAGCGCTGAAGACGTCCTACGGTGGAGGAGATCCAGTCACTTCTGGTGTCTGATGTATTGGAACCGTATTTGAACCGTATTGGAACCGTATTGGAACCGTATTAGATCAAAATAGGAACCGTATTCGAACCGTATTGGAACCGTATTTGAACCGTATTGGAACCGTATTTGAACCGTATTGGAACCGTATTTGAACCGTATTGGAACCGTATTGGAATCGTATTGGAATCGTATTGGAACCGTAAAAGAAACCATATTGGAACCGTATTTGAACCGAATTAGAACCGTATTTGAACCGTATTGGAACCGTGTTAGATCAAAATAGGAACTGCATTAGATCAAAATAGGAACCTTCTGGTGTCTGATGAGTGACGATCTTGTTTTTCTCCAAGCCTTGCAGTGTCTCCAAAAATTTGTAAACCTATCAAATCACTCTAGCCGGGGTGATTTTTATTCTTTTATAATAAAATCAGCGATATTAAAATAAAAAAACAGGTGGTTGCCGTAAAAAAATTTTTATCGTCACCCGGCCGCGATTAATACCCCCCCCCCTTTAATAAATAAAAGCTTAATAAAAAAGTCTATAATCTAGCTAGTATTACCCAATAATTTCTAGTTTTATACCCTTTTTACGACTGTACAAATCACAAAGAATTGTAGACGAAAAGTATCGGTGAACCCAATTAAAGCGCAATTTTCAAGTCATCGCACAAAAATAATCATCACAGAATCCAGAAAAAGAGTCCATTCAGTCAAAAATTGGGAAAATAAAGCCCGAAAAAAAAATCGTTTACGCATTTCCGCCAAAAGTGCTTTTTGAATTGGCGAATAAATCGAGTTTCTTGAGACAAATTGAGGAAAAAACGAAAAAATCAGTCGAAATTTGAACAAAAAACTAAGAGATTGCCTCGTTGGGAACACTAGAAATGAGAAAATAGAATTTCCTTTTGAATTTCCTTTTGAAATTTTGAAAATAGAAGCAATTCCGGAATTCCGGAAGAGGATTTGAAAATGTTTTGCTTGTTTTAAAGCAGGCAAAGTATAACAAACGTACTGGTGTCGAGATATGAGCGTTTCCTTGAGAGCAAAGTTACAAGGGAATGGC